TAATATTAAGTTTTATAATTCTACAAAAATATACATTTTATTTGGATTTTAAATGGTTTGGAGCTGCACATCCCAACTGTTCAGGTTGGAAGGTTTCATGAAGTACTATGCACCAGAATACATCCCAGTGGGTATGACTTAATTCATATTCTCGGGAATATTATTTTCATAAAATTTTGGGACGGAGCCTAGAATTGATACTATATATGAAAACAAGTGCTATTAAATAAGTTTTTGTTAAAAGCTTTTTAAAATGAAAGTGATAAACGAAAATCTTGATGTCATTATTTTTGTTTGTAATGAAATTTTTATTTTGGAATTACGAAAGTACAATTTCTATCCATAGGATTGACATGGTCATATAAAAATTCTAAGAAATAAATTCAAGTTTAGTGTAACATACAATAGATAATATTAAGACCATTTGGCGGTATTTATTTTGAACGTAATCGTAGGTCTCATGATGTTTAAAAATCTGTAAAACAAATACATTTCTAAGAGATATTTTAATTTTATGTTTTTCAGCAGTAAAATCCACAATAAATAGAAGTGAAGTTAGAAAACATATCATATGGAACGATTACAACAAAATACAATTGATCGGAATAGTTGGCATGAAAAAGGCATACATTATATGGAACAACTATTTGATTTTCGTGCAAAGGCCTTTTATACATTTGAAACAGCAAAACAAATTCTAAATCTTGATGCACACGATTATTTAAAATATCGTCAATTAATTAGTCTCAGCTATCCAAAAGAGCCTTAAAGAAAACATGTCATTGCATTTTCTATATTGGAAAAAAGAAGACGTTCTAATAGAAAAACAAAGTCACCCACTCAGTTGATGTATAAACTTCAAATGAATACAATAACTGTTGAAAACCCAACGGCATCCATCAAATGGGAACACATTTTAATGAGAATGGAATAGATTGGAAACCAATATTTTAATAAACCTTTTCCGTCTACAATATACACCAATCTTCGTAGTTTTCAATTCAAATTTTAATGCGTTTAGTCCCAACAAATAAATATCTTCTTAAATTCAAATTATCATAGATCTAGCAATTTGTGTGATTTTGTTCTATGGAGATAGAATGTATTGAACATTTAATATTTGAATGTCAATTAACATTAATTTTCTGGAACAAAATTCAAACATTTTTATTCTCCAAAGGTTATGAAATACCTTTAAGCTTAAAACAGGTGCGTACTACGGTTCTATCATGTCATATTTCTTGCATTTGTTTATTCTTAATTATCAGATAAAATGCAACTGAAGAATTATAACAACATCAATTATTGTTTATTTTTCATTTGTCAAATATTTATTATTATTTTGTGTACAACTGTCCGTCCGCTATGCGATCGACAATCAACCTTTTACACTTTAAACTTACAATGCACAGATCTTTGTAAAAATCATTGACATACGCCAAAAAAAAAAACATGTACTAGCGGCAGACTGTAAACTGGCCAAATACACGGGAAAACGCTCCTGAGAGTATCCTAGAATAAAAAATTCCGGGGGAGCATGTCCCCGTAACTGCCCCCCCCCCCCCGAGAATCACGAAATCGTGCGCGACGGGCCTGTTAATATATGTATATAAATAGTGTACAGCTTACTTTGATATCTATAAATTTACTTAATTTGGGTGGACTTTTACATGATATATTTCAATAGAGAGCAACTCCGAGGATTTACTTGCTTTTTGTTTACCTTAGTGTAGGTTAGACCGAAATACCGTATCAAGTTTCTTATCCGAAGTTTAACAGATGCGATTGGTTACCAATAAAAGAAAGCCTTGCTAAGACAATGTCATAATATGAATTTTTATAAAATTGCATCGATGTTCATGTCCGGTCAACAATTTTGTCATTTCTTTTTACCATGAATTATATAGACATGGAAATATTGAACTATTCCTTTGCAAAACTACCATGTCAAGAGCTTAGATAATTGGCATGTAGCAAGTGACCCTAGTTACAAAAGTCATGCCCTGTGTTCAAAAATGGCCTGCCATAAAGTGTCGCATAAAATTCAGGTTCCTGCAACCAAGGTCAAGGTCATACAAAGAGGTAAAATTTTGAATAAAAATACGAAAATATGTATAGTGACCAACTTGCCACATTTCTTATCGCCAACGTCTCAATCTCAAGCTTCTGTGACAATGCCTACCTTGTTTCACTGTCAAGTTGAGTTGAATAAGTAATATATTTCAGAAGATTGGCTATAATTATATGATAATGGTGATTGATCAATAATTGATAATAAAAATGTGTATAATACAATATAAAAACTTCCTAAATAATCATATGTAGATTTCCCCACTTAGATTATATAGACATTGAGCGTTACCGGTACATTGTTCTGAACGATATTTACAGAAATTTCCGGTCACGCGGATTTTTTTTTCTAAAGTAAAATATATTGTCCAACAATATTGACCCGACACTTCATTAATTTCCGTAAAGGTCAGGTGATAAACATTGGTATCTAACAACTATATTGATATCTTTGTTAACTTCACACGTAAATGAGTTGTGGTGTGTTGGTATAGATGCCTGACTACTGATCTGAAGATCCCTGTAACGTGGTGTTGGTATGGTATATACCAACACCACGTTATAAGGACACGCATTTTTTTTTTTTTTTATTTTGAAATTTACTTTCAAGAATTTATTTGAAATCGTTTGACTACATCTGGTTTTTAGGATACCTTTTAAGTAGTGGTTTTTTATACATTTTTATTTTTCATTCCATTACATTATCTTAAATTAATAAAAAAGACAGCGCGTTCATAATACAAATTAAAATACTACACAGATAGAACACACACACAAAAATCACGTTTTGTACGAGTTAAGAGAGAAATGGCAATTTTAAAATAAGAAAAGAAGAACTATAAAAAGTGGTTGAACCAGGATTCGAACCTACGAGTGTACGTCTATATTCTTGAAGTGAAAGCCCTTGACAATTGTGCTAAGAGGGATTTGTAATTCAGACCATTTAACAGCTGGTTATATACATTCATATCGATTTACAAATACATGTTTGTAGATTGTAACGTTTACGGAATTTACCGACTATTAATTTATTTCACATTAGTATTGTGTAATACATGTATATAGTAACTGAAAAGAACAAAATTATATGAACATAACAAACAAAATAAATGCCATAGCAAGAACATTTATTAAAATATAAATAATTATTGATTAATTATATAGACATTTATTATTAAATAATTATGAAATATATAATCTATATCTTCACTTGATTTATCTTTACGAAATTTATGAAATTCATCAAGGAATTGGACATATAAAGTTAACAATATTAAGATGGATGGATTGGGTTGTTAAAAAAGAATTATGACTTCGAGGCTTGCGTCTTCATATTCCGTTAAATTTAGAACATTTTCGTATACGGCGATATTGTAATGTTTTCTACAATTTGTTCACAAGTTTATTAAATCATTGTGCCAAACGTTTGTATCCTGTGATATTGAATAACCATGGTATCACACACACGGCATAGCGTATCAAAAAACCTTTTGAAACTATAAGTTGTACTTCAGTTTATTCATAATTTGCTGTCTCTTTTTCCATATATTCCATCAACATATTTGATTATATTTAAGTGACATAATGTTCAAATTTGATGTCATTCAGACATGAAATGGCTTAATAATCAAGTTTCGAACAACAGTGGTCATTTCGTTAAATGTAAAAATATCACGTACGTTGAAAAATCGAATTTTGTGCGAGTGTTAAATTTTGCCAAGAATTTGGCAATACTCCTTCAGCTAAATACGAAAATATTACATGAACGCAGGGCAATTAATCAGCCATCAGGGCACTCGTTTTCAGCTGGCAAAGCAATTCAAATATCACAGACAGGAATGTACGAGGAAGAAAGCGGAAAATTGTCGGGACGTTAGTGACGTCAATTGCAAAAGCGCAAAGAATGGACGGTAAAAGGTTCGCAAACTGTCCGGTATGTTCGATGACTGCATAGGGTCACCTCATTTAGTTATGACTGCACCTCATTTAGTTATGACTGAAGGATTAAATAATTTATGGTACATGTCTTTTAAACACTGTTTTATTTTTCAGTAGATATACGTGTTTCAAATATATTAATATAATGATAATGATATACAGTAATTATTATTAGAATTACAAATGTATATGACTCGATTTTGTTTAATTAATGATAGCCTGTGCTCAGTAGTAGAGAATATCTTTCAAATGATAAATATTTTCATTTAACTGTTCACAATTAAGAACGTACATTGACATGTGTGTATTAATACAATAAATCGCTTTTTCATTTACATTTCATGTCCATGACCATTGAGTTCCTCTATTACTCAAAAATCTATTACTCAAAAATCGTGAGAAAAAGCGGAGAGGGGTCGGCTACCGGGTCATTTTTTTTCGAAGAGTGGAATGTGATCGCTTTCTTTCTCACTTCATCTCTATAAATGAGGTCTGATTATAGTTATAGGCCTATAGCACTGAGGCGAATACTTTCAGGAATAATGACGCTTGTTACATTTTTAATTTATTTTGTGAAATCATGGGCGTCACTAACTGCTTTGTAAGCGTTCCTCTCGTCATTTGTAATTTTCACAGAATTGTTATTCATTTAACATATGTTATTGATCTTTTCACTGTATATAGAGGACATACTTGTAAAAGTGTGCATGTTAATTTAAGTATGTGAACAGTAGAGCTGCAGTCCCATTACAGTTTGAACAACCCTTTTATAAAATGAAGCAACTAATACATGTATATACTTTTTAAACAAGAGGCTCCACCGAGATGGGACAATATACGACTCGTGGCAAATTCTAAAGAAGGTCTCACAGAAAAAAATATGCTTTTAACATAGATGGCAAATATTGTTTTAAATGATAGAAACGATTATTTTTTCGTTCAATGTGAAAGAAAATATATCTGTGAAAGAAAATATATCCATGACAAATGACTTGATTTCATTTTTACTTAACAAAATAACAATTCATAAATCAAGTTATTTTAAATTTATGTTATCATTTTTCAAGTTTGCCTTACAAAGTAAAATTGAAAACTCTGTACTGTTAACATTACTCATTTACACAGTAATATCAATTAACAATATATTTAATCTTCCAAAGGCATAATGGTATAACCCTTAATGCAAAATATAATTTCACAGCTCTAAAATTTGGATAATCTAAGACAAATAATGATAATCTAAGACAAATAATGATAATCTAAGACAAATAATTGAATAGAAAATTTGCAAATAAAGGAGCATCACTCCATCAATATCAAACTTGACCTGTGTTTTAACATATTTGTATGCCTGATTATAATGTTATCTTGCTGAACCAATTGAACAAAAAATTTGCTTAAAAGGGGCACTATTCTGTCAATAATCAGCTGATAGCAGCTTAATTTCAATTTAAGCTGTGTTTTAATATAACATTCATACATGCCATATATCAACATTATCATTGGAATCCTTCAAGAGTTATCCGATGAAAACCAATAAGTTTGCTAAAAAGGGGGCATAACTTTGTCCTTTATGATTTTAATTGCTGCCAAAATCAAACTTGACCTGTGTTTCAATATAACATACATGCCAAATATAAACACAATTATTGAAATACTTCTCAGAATCTTTGGGCTTATAATAAAAATTCACTTTGTCCAGACTTATATAAGCCAGCAATATAATACTAAAATTAAAATAATAATGTAATGCACTAATCATTAATAAACATTTCGCCTGTCACAGAAAATTGCAAATGAAATGGCTGTGCTTCACAAGTCAGTTTTTCAAAATTCTTTCTGTGAAATAAACTGTAATATTTCAATTTATCATGTAAAGACTTAATGCTTTTCACTCCACTACTTAAATCATTAGAAAGATAGTTTTCAGTAAAACGTTTTATCATATAAAGGACATCTTTAAATTTGTTTGTGCCACTTTTTGTATTATGCTGTTGATAAACTGTCGTGGTTAGTGGCTTTACATTAATGCTTGGCTTTACTAATGATACCTTATCATTTTTAGAGATTTCATTCTTTGCAAGGTTGGTATCCATTTTATCTGAATGTATTTTCACTTCCCTTTCATCTATAACATCATTATTTGCACTTGAATTCTCTTCTGATTTTAAGTTAACTCTTTCAGTACTGCCTTCTTTAATGTCATTAACCTTTACAGTCTGTGTATCATCTTTATCCCCTTTACCATATTCACCTTCATCAACACTTTCATGTTCACTTAATTCATTCTCAAAGTCAGTGTTAATATCTTTATTAATATCTATATCATCTAAATGTTGAATACTTTCATCATTTATTTCATGGTGAATGGGAGAAACGTTAGTGTTTTCTTCTTCTGTATACTTTCTCATATTTAATTCTAAACCTATTTTTCTGCATGTACCATCTTTGTCACAGTTGTCTTTTAAATTATCTACATATTCATCTTCATCATTTTGTTTCATATTTGTTCTTTCACCATTTGAAATATCTTTGTCAGTTGGTACAATTTTCATTTCTATATCTTGGTCATTGACTTTACCTTTAAAGCCATCAATCACTACTGTTTTTACTCTCTCTTCCTTAATTCTGAATTTTTCACCTTTAGTAGACAATACTGCTTGATGACCTTCACCTATATTTCCCAAGATGTTTATGCTTTTATCATAATCATTAAGGAATTTTAAACTTTCATAATTAATCTGATCCAAATATTTTTTCTTGCTTGGTTTATCCCATTTACCATCATGTAAAATATCTTTAATGTCATTTATCTCAAATAAGGTCAAAAGGTCAAGATTATCATGGAAATTTTCAAGTTCAATGTCATCTTCTTTTTTCTCCTCACTGCAACAATATAAAGCACCTGTGTCAATGGGATGGGCTTCAGTGTTATAAATATATCCACCTAAAAGCAAACAAACAAAATAAACATAAAATGCATACTTATGAACCTTATCATATCATATATGATGTGAGTGATGACAAAGAATAATTATCTTAAGCCATTTACTGTAACAAAGAAGGAAAGTGAATAAACAACAACAATTTTTAAATATATACCATTAATAGTAACAAAGAAGAAAATTAAAACAAAAATACATATAATAATTTTCAAAATGAAAATAAATTAATTTTCAAAATAAAAATAAATCATGGAACCCAGAGGTTATACTAATACACTCATCACATAATTATGTTGTAGGTGTTGATAATGAACATATATTTGAAATTTGAAGAAAATCCATAAAGAAATAAGAAAGTTATAGACAAAATAAGGAAAATTCAAGGTTTAAAAAGGAAATCATTCTGGAAATATGTACACTAGATTTATAAACCTTGTCATATTAGTAAGATGTAGGAGTTTGAAGATTGAAGTAAATCCTACTAGAAACTAGAACTATCGCTGAATGCGATTCATACCCCCACCAATGTCCTTGACAGAAGACAACTTGGAAAGGTGGTTAAGGGAATAACTTCAGTGGCACAAATACATAAAAAGAAATTATTATCTCTGGTGAAAAAAAAGACTAATTGTACAGGTAATAGTAAAAATATCTATTATCAAATCATGTTCGAAACAGTTACAAATAACCTTTCATTTTCCCAATATACTAAACTTTTTATAAGTCAATTTTTGACCTTCAAGTGTGGCCTTGACCTTCAGCTGGCACAAGGGTAAGATGGATTCTGCACATCGCCCAATTGGAGTTGAACATTGAGTAAAGTTTGAAGAAAATTCCTTCCATTAGTATAGAATTTATAGAGCGGACACAACATATTGTCTAGTATTGATTGTATGTAAATTTAAAGACTTAAAAAGGGGCATAACTTTGTCAAAATCCAATACAGAGTTATGAAACTTGACCTGCATATCGTAATTGTGACACCTCATAATCTCTTTAAGTTTCAAGCAAATACCTATGCTAGTTTCCGAAATATTCAAAGAACATGTTTTAATCTAAGAACATTTTTCTAAGTCAATTTTTGACCTTCAAGTCTGACCTTGACCTTTAGCCTGCACAAAGGTGACATGGATTCTGCACATAACCTTGCTTAGGTGAATATTTGAGAAAAGTTTGAAGAAAAAATTCTTCCATTAGTATAGGATTTATAGAGTGGGACACAACATATTGTTCTTAATATGTGATTGTATTTAAATTTGAAAGATTAAAAAAGGGGCATAACTTTGTTTTAAATGCAATAGAGTCATGAAACTTGACCAGCATATCTTAATTGTGACACTTCATTTATATTTTAAGTTTTCAAGCAAATACCTTTCCTAGATTTCAGAAATATTCAGATAATATGTTAAAATTAAAGAACATTTTCTAAGTCAATTTTTGACCTTCAAGTGTGACCTTGACCTTAAGCCGGCAAAAGAGTGACATGGGTTCTCCACATAACCTTGTTTGAGGTGACATTTTGAGCCAAGTTTGAAAAGAAAATCTTTCAAAATAAGTGTAGGGACTATTAGAGCGGACACGACATACTGTGTAATATTTGATTGTTTGATATTTGACCTTCAATTGTTTTGACCTTGACCTTGAGCTGACACATGCGCAACATGGGTTCTGCACATCCCATTGTTGAAATGAACATTTGAGCCAAGTTTGAAGAAAATCTTTCAATTAGTGTAGGACTTACAGAGCGGACACGACATATTGTTGTAATATTTGATTGTTTGATATTTGACCTTCAAATTGTGACCTTGACCTTAAAATGAACACATGGGCAACATGAGTGTTCTGCACATCCCCTTGTTGAGGTGAAAACATTTGAGCAAGTTTGAAGAAAATCTTTCAATTATTGTAGGACCTACAGAGCGGACACAGACATACTGTCTAATATATGATTGTGTTTGATATTTGACCTTCAATTGTGACCTTGACCTTGAGCTGACACATGGGCAACATGGGTTCTGCACATCCCCTTGCTGAGGTGAACATTTGAGCCAAGTTTGAAGAAAATCCTTCAAGTGGTATAGGAGTTATAGAGCGGACACGAAAATGGAGACGGACGGACGGACGGACCGACCGACGGACGCGACAAAGCGAATCCATTATAGCCCCCCCCCACATTTTGTGGTGGGGGTATAATGAAGAAGTTATAGTAAAAAACAAAAATTTCTAAAAAAAATCTCAGTTCAAGGGGGACATAACTCTAGAAATAGTCAAGCTATTAAATCTTCTCAAGCACGGTTTGAGTGATATTAAGGAAAATATGCTTAAAGTTTGAAGTAGATACATTAAGAAATAAAGTTAAAAAAACACACCAAAAAAACCACCTTTCCATGAACATTCTAAGTTTAAGGATAATAATTCTAATAATATAGTTGCAAGAAATATGAACCTTGCCACATATGATATGGGTGATAAGAAACATATATTTGATGTTTGAAGTACAAATGTTAAGAAAAAAAGAAGGTATACGAAAAAACTAACATTTTTTCATGAAAATTCTAAGTTCAAAAGGGGTAATTCTGATAATTTTGGTGCTAGTGTCAAGAAGCTTATCATATATGATGTGATTGATGATCAGAAACATATATTTGAAGTTTGAAGTAAATATTAAGAAACAAAGAAGTTAGAGTGAAAAGGATTTTAATTCATAAAAACTTCAATCACAAATCTGGACGCAGTTACCGACACTGGTTGAGTAGGACAGCTCTCAATATATTTCATAGAGTTGAGCTTAAAATGACATGCATAATCTCCATACTGCCATCTATCCATATTTCAAGTTTCATAAAAATATTTTCAGTACTTTTTGAGTTTTCACAAATATTGTTATGTTTGCCATATTTTAAGTCTATTTGTTGCCATACGGCATAGCAACCAAATTTCAACTTAGGAAGAAAAAAAAGGTGTGTATAATCTATAGATTGCCATCTACTCATATTTCTATGCATTGTCCTACATGTGACCATATTGGGATAAAGGGCCATTTCTATTGTTGGGCCATTTTTATTGTTATTTTCTTTTGTTTAATAGAAGACCATTGGCCCCTTTTTCTATTGTTATGGAATTCTCTTGTTCTCTTTTGTACTGTTTACAGTTAGATGAGCCCTATCCCTATTCAGTAGTGCTAACAGACAGATGGCAAAACTAAAGTCCCCTCAGGTAAACAGGTAGGGGACTAATAAACTGATATTCCCAGCCATATGGACTAGATCTTAACCTTTGTAATATTTTAAAAGTTTGCTTGTATTTTTCTTTCTTTAACTGACCAACAAAAGTAAGTTCAAGCTAAGAGAGAAGTAAACAGGTTTACAATATTTTATTAGTGCCAAATAGTTTCGGTCAAACTTGACCTTCATCAGGACCACATACATGTATAACTTTCTAGATACTGGACCACAATTGGTTTTTTATGCCTTTTTTGCTGTAAGACCTTATCCTTTAAGGTCAAACAATTGGCTTTTTATTTCTTTTTTTTGCTATAAGACCTTATCCTTAAAGGTCAAAAAATTGTTTTTTATGTCTTTTTTTGCTGTATTTTTGACAATACCTTGTAATTAATGAATGGATTGTCTTGATACATGGAATAAACAGCCCTTAGGACAAGACCTTCAAGGAGGCCAAACTGATTTGGACTTTGACTCATAAATGACTTTGACCTTAGTGTTTAATTATTGAATCATGCTATTATATATTGTGATTAATTGATAGATTTGATTTATTTAAATGATACCAGACACTCTTTTCTATTTCTGTATTAGGCATTGGCAATGACAACATGATAATTATCACCAAAGCTCACCATTACAGAATGAGAAGTTTTTAGTAACTATGAAGTCTTATAATTAAACTATTACCAGCATTAATAACACATTGTCCATTAGGTGTATCTATAACTGTCCCATGACTACCTGTGTTGTGCATGAAGTTATCAGGGTCAAACAATAAATATAAGTACTTTGTAGTTTCTGCCAAGAAAAAGCTTTCCATTCTATTCTCGAGTGTGTGTGTTGTCACATCTTTTACCTGCAAATGGAACAAATATAAATATAGATGTTTTTCTTTGCGTAATAATTAAAACAGATAAGATGTAAATATTATAATTAAACAAGAGAACAATACTGATCCGCGATTTAGAAGTTAAAAAGAGGCACTTTTTAGCTCGACTTTTCCTAAGATATAATTTGAGCTATTGCTAGTCATGATGTGAAAGTGGATGCCATTACAGTCTACAAACTTTAACATTGACCATTATGTTTATGAACTGTACAATGCAGTACACCAAGGAAAAAAGGGACCACCATTATCCTACACAAACTGGACAACGTTTTTAGTGTGTTTGGTTATTTCTGACTGATATTGGCTGCCTCAAGCAGGTGGCTGTCAGAGTACATACATAGTTATTTTTATTGGGAAAGTTCCTAGGCAGGTGGGTTGCCTATAAGTATAACGGTAGCCAATTAAATAACATCGAGAACTTACAGTGGCATATCCACATTTAGTTTTGCTGATATGTTCTATTGCTTCAAGCATATCCACACCTATTTCCAGCAAATAGGGATCTTTTGTAGCCTGGTATAAATACAAAGCAGCCTCAATCAGTTCTGAAACATATAACATGTCAGTTTCAATAAGAAACATTTTATAAAGAAGATATGTTCCTGTAATGGAATAATTTTCTCATGTCCATTATCTCACACATAATAGATAACAAGTTTTTTCTTTATGATTGAAATTATTTGTTTCAACTTACAAATATATCTCTGAAACAAGGGGGCTCTGAATCGCTCACCTCAAGACAGAATGGACCAAAACATTCTCAATAGTTTATGAGTTGGACAAGGTTTTAGAAGTTAAGACCACCATGATCTTAAATTTTTAGTGAATGATCTACAAATTAATAACCTCCACACTAAATCTTAGGGCTAAAGACCCATTATATTTATGAGAAGATTATCTAATTGTTTACATAAAAGTAAAACCAATGACTCCAATTTTGGAATATTGGAAGAGATCATCCAGACAATATTTCAAGCCAAATATCTAAGCATTAGCCTTTGGGCTTTGAGGGAAGAAAATTCTTGAAAGTTTTACTGTATACATATAAGGAAAATCCATGCTTCCTTAGGCAGGACTATTTTGACCCCAATGCCATAATTTCAGCAACCTTGGAAGTATCTACAAGGTGATGTTTCATGCCAAAAATCTTAGCTCTACCCTTTGGGATATCAAACAACAAGACTGCATAATTTATGTGAAACAAGATTGCATTCGTGAAAAAATGCTATGCCACCACATTAATACAACACTTAATAGTAGAAACAGAAGTATTTTTTGTTTGTTTCTATACAACTGAACTTTGCTATAATGCATGAGCGTCTAGTGAATTTGGAAGTCAGTGGTTGCTATGGAAAGTCATGGTTGCTATGGCAAGTCACTGGAAGTTATGGAAAGTCAATGGGTGCTAAAGAAGTCTATGGCTGCAATGGAAAGTCCATTGTAGCTATATGAATCCCTGATTGCTATGGAAAGTTAATGGTTGCTATGGAAAGTAAGTGGTTGCTATGGAAGTCAATGGTTGCTATGGAAAGTCAATGGCTGGAATATTTATCACTGGTTGCTATTGAAAATCAATGGTTGCCACAGATGGCACTGGCTGCTAAAGAGATCTTTGGTTGCCATGGAATGGTTGCTTTGTAAGTCACTGGTTGCTATGTAAGTCACTGGTTGCTATGAGAAGTCACTGGTTGCTATGGAAGTCAATGGTTGCTATGGAAAGTAACAGGTTGCTATGGAAAGTAGTGGTTGCTATGGAAAGTCAATGGTTGCAATGGAAATGTATGGTTACTATGGAAAGTCACTGGTTGATATTAGAATTCATATATAAGGAAAATCTATGTTTCCCTGGGGTGGGGCCAATTTTGACTTCAGGGCTATAATTTCAATAACTTTAGTTGAGGTCCACATGACTATGTTTCAGGTTAAATTGATGAGGAATTGCATGTTATTATGTATTGTACTCAACAATAAAAAGAAAAACATAATCCAGAAGTAAAAACAAGAATTCATTTAAGTATGTATAAGTTATGTGCCCTTGAAATGACCTCAAATAAGTAGACAAGTCTGATTCAGGGGCAGATAACTCAAAAACGTGAACGGTGACCCCAATTTTTTTTTTGCTTCAAATGTTTCTGTTATCATATTCTAACAACATGCAAAGTTTAAAGAAATTCTATTGAACAGTTTTAATTTTGCCTATATGTCTATATGAAAACTCCCGAAAACGTCCTTAATAGTAAAATAGTAGCAGAAAAATCAATATAATCAAATATACATAACATACCAGGCCTAAGAGGATAGCCTTCCCTACCATTGTATGCCTCATTCTTCACTATATTATAGAATTCTGGAAGACCTCCAAATTGCTTCCAAACTTGATGGAAGTTATGTAGCGACTTCATTGCTTTATCAACTTGACCTAGCATGGCCTGAAAACATACAAAACACTGGTTGCATACAAAATATCTAAGCTCTGGGCATTGTGTCTATTTAAATTAAGTGACCTCTAGAGCAGAAGCAATTTTGACATCTATGTAAATTTTGTTAATGACCACAAGGTGATGCATCATGGCAAATATCTATGCTCTGGGCATTGTACTTTCAGAGAAGAAGTTTTTAAAGACTTTTTACTATACAAGTGTGAATTTAGTGACCCAAAGTGTGGGGCCATTTTTTAACTTACATAAGTAGATATCCACTAAGCAGTGCTACTTGCCGTATATCTAAGTTCTTGGCAATGTAGTTACACAAAAGAAGACTTAAATTTACTCCTATACACGTTTATTAAACTAAGAGACTCCTTGGGTGGTGCCAGTTTAGACCCCAGAGGTATGATTTTCAAAGTGTTGCAGAGGACCACAAGGTAATGCTAAATGCCAGACTTAAATGTTTTTTTTCTATATAAGTCTATATTAATTAGGGCGGCCATATATTGACCCATGGGTCATGATTACAAAAATAATATCAGTTTTGTGGAGGTCCAGAAGGAAATGCTACATGCCAAATATGTAAGCTCTGGGCATTACAGTTTCACATGATGAAAAAATAATTTCAAATTGAAGTGTTTATAAAATATGTGACCTCTGGGGTTGAGCCAATATTGACCCAAGAGGAATGATTTATTTTAATTTCATATAATTTCAAATAATAAATATTTAAACTCTAGGCATTGTAGTTGCACAAAATAAGACTGAAATGTGTTCTCATACAAGACTATTTTTCTATTTTAGCGCTGGTGACCATCTTGTTCAGCAGACCAGAAACATTTGCACAGTTTTTATAGAAAACTAACCAAGGATCATTCCTTTAGTTTCATCAAAATTTGCCAAAATAATTAAGGAGTAGATCTTGTTTAAAGGTTTTTCTATTTTAAGCTCTGGTTGCCATTTTGTTCAACAAACCAGAATCCTTTGAGCAATTTTTATAAAGGCCCATATAAGGATCATTCCTGTATATTTTCATTCAAATCTACTTAACAGTTAAGGAAGAGATGTCATTAACATACTTTTCTATTTCTTTTAGCTGACTGGCGGCCATCTTGTTGAGCAGAATGGATCCGTCTGAGCAAATTTTGGAGGGAACTATCCAAGAGTGTTATTATTATTATTATTATTATTATTATTATTATCAAAACATAACAGCTTGCTGTACAGAATGATGTAAAAGCTGGATTTGTATAGTTATTGTATAGTTGTTGTAAGTTGTTGTGGGGATATACTAGACATTTTCTGTGACAAATGAACCAACATACCTGTATCCCAGGCCAATAACAGTCAAGAGAAGTAAATATTGGTAGACTAATGGACCCTTTAGTCATATGTGCCCACATATACCAATCATCTTTCTTCAAATACTTCTCAATAGATACAAGATATTCTAAAAACAAACAAAAGCATTTGCAACATGTTTTCTTCCAGTAGTTATAACATGTTAAATTACAGTAAAATTCCTAATAAATGCCATTCCACTAAAGACCCCCAGGCTTTTTGATATGGACAAAATCTACTCATCAGTGCTGAACTCAAGAGTAGATCCATAATTTATTCGAATCATTCTAAATCCATTTTATTTTATAGTAAACACAAAAATATATCATATGAACTTTAAAACCTTCACACTTTTTATTGTTATCGTAATTACGAAAAAATGTTTGGAGGGAACTTGTTGCAATAATAGCCCCCTTTTGGAAAATGTTTAGCCCCTAAGGGCAATTAATAGGAATTTAACTGTAAGTCAAACAAAACTACAAGGGTTTTTTTGTCACAAAAACAAATGTCTCCAATGTATGTACTCTAAGGATGAAATTAACAGCAGCATGTAAATTCAAACAGAGGTTTGTACGGAGGCATAGAGGTGACATTTGCAGTTTTATTTGATCTCATGGCCACGACTTGATATCTTGAGGCCTCAAGATATTATCTTGTGGCCACGAAATTCATGACTTATTATCTTGTGGCCTCAAGATATTATCTCATGGCCACGACTTATTATCTTAGTGGCCACGACTTATTTCAGCCAATGAAAATGGTCGTTCCATCTTGAACAATAGTTTATATCACTAAGACCGTATATCACACACTGGCCACAGCTTTCACAAGATCGACGGGTCAAACGCTGCAGCGGTGAACAAGGGGAACGTTTTTTAATTATTATTCTTCTTTTTTGTATGGTCAGGTGTCTATAAAGATTTACTATGCTTAAATTTAATATTAGAAAATATTGATAATTGTTACATAGTCCCTTTGTACATGTAAACAAAAAATAAACATGTTTTGACTTCACAGATAGTTGATATGTTATGTTTAAAATTCTGTACAATATAGGTGTTCACAGTGTCAGTTTTTTAAAGTAAAGATTACCTGACTTGTTATAGGGAACGTAGCTTCCTGTACATATTTTATTGACTTCTTTATTCAAGTTAGAGGCATACAGTTAGAATATCATAGATTTAAATAAATTTCTTTGATTTAAATATTCAAGGATGAGCACGGTATAACTTTAAAGGATTTAATAAAGAAATATAAGCGGTTGATGTATACTTTTAAGGTCGCTCATTCAAATAACTTCCCCCCTTTCCCTGTGGATTCGAAGACTTGTATCTAGATAGTTATTATTGAAGATATACTACAATGTCACAATGATAAAAGGCTAACTTTGACGGGTTTTCTGAGTCTCTTTCTTTTATATATAAAAACTGACATATACAAGTTTCAAAGACATATGTCAATTCTTTCAAGAGCTCCTATTTGATTGCTACTGCTATTGCTGTGCTACTGCCAATTTCACATTTTATAATTTTGCTACTGCTACTTCTGTGCTACTGTTTCTGCCAACTTAATGTTTTATAATTTTGTTACTGCTACTACTCAATGCAACTGCTAACTTCCTACCAGTGATGACCACTACAGAAACTTGATCCTTAAACGTTTGGCCCATTAGATAAGAATACAGAGGGCCAATGGGGGATGACAAGACTCTACATAGTGGAAGTGTTAATGGGATATATACAGTTTATAGAGATATACTAGCTGATAAGCCCTTACTGAAATTCAGCACGTCTCTAAGAAAATGCGAAGGAAACTACTTAAGTGAATATACGGTGGTGATTGCCCGCCCCTCCTGTGACTGCTATTGCCAGTGTGATATTAAATTTTGTTCAAGATGAAACGACCATTTTCATTGGCTGAGATAATAAGTCGTGGCCACAAGATAAAAACTCATGGCCATGAAATAATAAGTCGTGACCACAAGATAATAATTCATGGCCACAAGATAATTACTCGTGGCCACGAGATAATATCTTGAGGCCACAAGATAATAAGTCATGGCCACAAGATAATATCTTGAGGCCATGTGATAATAAGTTGTGGCCATGAGATAATAACTCGTGGCCACAAGATAATAACTCGTAGCCATGAGATAATATCTTGAGGCCACAAGATAATAAGTCGTGGCCACGAGATAAAATAAAACTGCATATGTCACCTCTATGCCACCGTAGGTTTGACCTGTGAAAATCAGACAATATTTTTTTCTATTTTTTAGCACCGGTGGCCATTTTGTGCAGTGAAGCAGAATTGCAGGCGATATACACAACGGTTGGTACTGATCTCTCGTGTGAAAATTCCTCAAACTCCCTGCTGCAATTTGACCTGTGCAAGTCTGACAAAAAATTTCTATTTTTAGCTCTGGCAGCTATTTTGTGTTGCGAAGCTGATATGTCGGCCAAATGCACAACTAGGGTTGGTACAGTTCACTTCAGTTTAGTTTCGTCAAAACCTCCTGCAGTTTGACCTGTTAAAGCTGAACAAGGTTTTCTATTCTTAGCTCTGGTGTCCAATTTTTGCAGTGAGGCAATATGCACAACTAGGGTTGGTACTGATCACTCTTGTGAGTTTTGTTGAAATCCCACCAGCCAGATAAGTTTAATGTGGATGGACGGACAGTGAAGGCAAAACTGGCAGACATTATGCTAAGCTATTACAAAAATATCTCTATTTCAAATGAGATAAGTAAGCCGAGAAAAATTATATATTTACATTTAAGAATATTAAGATTTATTCTGTAGCACTAGTAGAATGGTAATTACTGCTTGGCACATGCTACATTAGTACACAACAGAACCTAGTTTACTGATGTAGGCCACCAGCCAATAACATAAATACAATCTTTATAAACCAAACATACAATACAGTGTTTGGATAAATTTAAATCTATGCATAATAACAATTATCAAAATTGTTGAAAATACAATGATGATAGATTACAACAAATGTATATATATGTATATATATGAAATTTTCAAATCTATAACTGAATTATAATCTTTTCTTTTTTCTTTTTTTTTAATGTTGCATGGAATATATACATTGCTAAAATTTTGAACAGTTTTATATTTATAGGATATCAAGATATTTAATTTATTAGCTGTGACATCAATATAATATTTTCTGGCAATATAATAACAAGAGGGCCATGATGGCCCTGAAGTCGCTCACCTGTATATAGGCCCCCCGGAGCGGGGCAAGTTTAAACCCAAGGGCCTTTATTTGAATAAACTTGGTAGACACCCATTAGAAGATGTTTCATGCTAAACATCTAAGGTCTAGCTTGTTGGGTTTTTAAAAAAAAGATTTTTTAAGTTTTTTCTTTACACATATACTAGTATTTAAAAACAATGACACTCCTGGGGCAGGGCCAGTTTTGACCCCAGGGCTTTTATTTGAACAATCTTTGTAGACATTTACTAGAAGATGTTTCATGCTTAATATCTAAACTCTAGCTATTCGGGTTATTTCCAAGAAGATTTTAAAGTTTTGCTATACACATATAAGGAAAATGAATGTCCCCCTGGGCGGGGCCTATTTTGACCCCAGGGCTCTTAGTTGAACAAACTTGGTAGACATCCATTAGAACATGTTTCATGCTAAATATCTTAGCTCTAGCTCTTTGGGTTCTTTAAAAGAAGATTTTTAAGTTTTTACTATATTCATATAGGGAAAATCAATGACCCCCTGGGGCGGGGCCAATTTTGACCCCAGGGCTCTTATTTGAACAAACTTGGTAGACATCCATTAGAACATGTTTCATGCTAAATATCTTAGCTCTAGCTCTTTGGGTTCTTTAAAAGAAGATTTTTAAAGTTTTTACTATATACATATAGGGAAAATCAATGACCCCCTGGGGCGGGGCCAATTTTGACCCCAGGGCTTTTATTTGAACAAACTTGGTAGACACTCACTAGAAGATGTTTCATGCCAAATATCTAAGCTCTAGCTCTTTTGGTTTTTTAGAAGATGATATTTAAAGTTTTTTCTTTTGGTTGCCATGGCAACCAGAGTTCTGCATGGAATTAAATTCTTTGAACAATTTTCAAAGGTGACCACCAAAGGATCATTTCTGTAAAGTTTGGTTGCAATTGGCCATGTGGTTTAGGAGGAGATGTTGTTTGAAAAGTTTGACGCCATTTTTTGAAGGACGCACGACGGACGCAGAGTGATGACAAAAGCTCACCCTTGAGCACTTTGTGCTCAGGTGAGCTAATAAGTGTGACCTTAATTCTGCATATACTTGACAAACTCTTAAGTAAGAAATGAAACTTGTTTTCAAATACTTCTAAAGAACATACTTTGCAATTAAGACCCTGTTTGTTAAAATATTTTAATGGCTTCTAAATGTGGTAGACCTGAACAAACTGAGTGTAACAATGCCTGAATTTCCTAATATCTAAAATGGATACATATGTTGCTTGATCATAAATGCTTTCCATACAAGAATACAAAATTCATAGTAAGATAACCAGAACAATCTAATTTGCTATACCATCCTTGCAAATAACCATCCTTTAGTCTTTGACAAAATAAATAAACAAATGTGTAAACAAACTTTGTACACCCTGATTCAACCAGACATACCCAATCCCATTACTACATAATAGTGTTTTATTTCATTAAAATATTTAGCATATTCATTTACTAAGAAGCATTTTACAACAAATTTTTAACATATCTACCTTTCCATGATTTTAAACCAATATTTTATACAATGCATAGCAGATTCTTAATCAAAGAAACCATTTGCAAGCTGAATAATGGATAAGTTCACAATTATTGGAATTTAAACCCCCACAGCTCAGTTCCGTACGAAAGAGTAAGTAAAGTAAAATTTGTATCAAATAATTTAAACAACAGGGCCATAATGGCCCTTATATCACTTGTCTGATTATTAAGGCTCTCTATTTATATTGTTAGCAATGAATGAAAGGCAGATATAATGAACCAATATTATAAAGTTCATATCTGCACCTGAAATAATGCAAATGTAAACAAGGTTTTTTCCATATATGAGCTGTCACCTAGTGTTTGATACTAGGTAACCCATATTCGAACTTTACCTAGAAATCATTTAAACAACCTTGCTGATAAATTTTCAAGATAATTCAGCTGATAAATTCATCCAGGAATGAACATTGCTTATATGGAAAAAAACACACTGTTCCAATTTATACATATTTGGCAGGGGGACAAACACCTTTGTGTCCATTTAATAAAACAACCAAAAGCAATGAGATAAACAAGAGCCATGAAGAATCGAGATTGAACAAATGTGACCTCTATAGTTTAACTAATTTTACTTAAACAAGAATGAGATTAAGTTGTGTATTAACCAAATGATTATCCTACATATCAAACAATTTAGCCATGAACATGGTAGTTTTTGAGGAAAGTCTTTTCTTTACTTTACAAGTCAATGTAACAAAAGTTACCTTCCATGATTAATATAACTTTTGTAGAGGTGTACCAGTGAATTAATATACTTTAAGCAAACTAATTAATCTCTAGGTAGCTCCAGGCAAGAACATTTAAATAAGTTTTCTTGTATATGTTTATAATCATGATTACAATGAGAGTACTTACCATTATACATGTCCAGAAGTTCTGTGTTTTGAAACATGATAGAACCCTTAACAAGATACTCAAAATAAGAATCAACTCCACCCCCAATTCCAGAATCAAGTGCTGTCCACTTTCCAGTTGCAACATCTATATGATTGCCTACCTGAAATCAATCAAAAAGAAATTTATATACCTTTAAAGAAAACAGATGCACAGTATGTGTGAAAGTAAGAAATAAATAATCAAAAAAGCAAGTGATCATTTTCTCAAGCAAATTAAATAACCCCTGCCTATATACCCCTGGTGATATGATATGGATAGTTATAGTTTGACAATTTTAGTTGTGTTAACACCACTACCAAGACATCACTGCAAACAATGTCTATGCCATATTTTTATATGAATATAGAAGGAATAAATTAGTGACAAGTTTTAGTAAATCGTCTTATTTTCATTGACTTATGTATTTTTTATAATGTTTCAATAATATCCAAATTTGGCTAAAATCAGTCCAGTACTAGGAGAGTAAATATTTTTAAACTTTTGGCATGTATAACAAATTCAATATTACTAGCCTCTAAAGTTTCAATGTCTATTATACATTATAATAGCATTTTGCAGCTTAATAGATCTATAAGCTTTGACAGCTATTACCACAGTCCTTCTAGTCCTAACAATTTCTATTTAAAGGTCCATCATGCTTCAGAAATGCTATCATTTTTATTTTATTTATTCTTTTTTTTTTGTATCTTGTTACAGTTTCCAAAATTACTCATTACCCTTTGCTTCTTTATAGTTAATTAGAATTTTATATGGAAGGCAAAATACTACTTTGTTTACATTTTGCTACCTTTACAACACATTACAACAATGGAAACATTATATTTCATTTATTTATGGATGCTATTTTGTTTTCACAAACTTGCGCAAGTGTGTTTGTGTATTTAAGCACTATGGAATTTTGACAAACGGCGATGTATTTCGGTAACAAAAACAAATGCATTTAACATTTTTAAAAATGACTTCCCTTCAAAAATTTTAGGGAGGCACCTTCCAAAATGGAAAATGTCCGCCACAGCAAATAACGGGGCAAACATCTGTGGTGGCAACTGTATGTTGGCAATCTCCAGATACCAGCTTGTGACCCTAGGTGAACTATATATCAGTATGATATTGCAGAGATGTCAAGATGTGTGTATACCAACAATCTCTATAGTTAATTGTCTATAATAAACTGTAAATAGCAGCCGTGTATTTGTTTACCAACTATAGTCATGTGACTGGCTTGACTATACAGTGTATAGTTGGATTTAGCTTAAACAAGAGGGCCATGATGGCCCTAGATCACTCACCTGACCCATCAAAAACATCCAAACAATTACCTAGACAAGCATTATGACCAAGTTTCATGACAGGTGAGTCAAAATGTCACCACTAGAGAGTTAAGAAGGATTATCCATATTTGAGCAGTGTGACCTAGTTTTTTACCCAGGTGACCTATATTCGTACTTGACCTAGAAAAAATTATCAAAACAAACTTTCAGACCAATTTCCAGGATACTTGGATCAAAACAGTAGCCACTAGAGTGTTAACAAGATTTTTCTATTTTTAGCTCCTGTGACCTAGTTTTTCATAAAGATGACCCATGTTCAAACTCATCCGAGCAATTACCTAGACAAGCATCCTGACCAACTTTGATGATAATTGAGTCAAAAATGTGACAACTAGAGTGTTAACAAGGTTTTTCAATATTTGGGCAGTGTGACCTTGTTTTTTATCTGAGATAATCCATGTTCAAACTTGACCTAGAAATCATCAAAACAATCTTTCAGACCAATTTACAGGATATTTGGATCAAAACAGTAGCCACTAGAGTGTTAATAATATTTTTCTATTTTTAGCTCCGGTGACCTACTTTTTCATCCGAGATGACCCATGTTCGAACTCATCTGAGCTATCATCTAGACAAGCATCCTGACCAAGTTTGATGATGATTGAGGCAAAAATGTGACCACTAGAGTGTTAACAAGGTTTTTCTATTTTTAGCTCCAGTGACCTAGTTTTTCATCTGAGATGACCCATGTTCGAACTCATCCGAGCTATTACCTAGACAAGCATCCTGACCAAGTTTGATGATGATTGAGGCAAGAGTGTTAACAAAGTTTTTCTATTTTTAGCTCCTATGACCTAGTTTTTCATCCGAGATGACCCATGTTCGAACTCATCTCAGCTATTAACTAGATAAGCATCCTGACAAAGTTTGATAATGATTTGATGCAAAAATGTGACTGCTAGATCGGTGTTATTTAAACGAACAAGTGTGGGACGGACGACGGACATTCAACGATCCTAAAAGATCACTGAGCTAGCTCAGGTGAGCAAAAGTCAGCAAAATGAAGCTGCTATACATCAAACATGGCAAATGTTTCTGTTTTGACCCTTTCAAGAGCAACCTTGTCAAGAAAGGAAATAAGATATTCTGATGATACAAGTTCTGTGCATTTTTCGTTCGAACTATTAAAATATAAAAGTGCTATAATTATGAAGACAAAAAATTGTTGAAACAAGACAAACAAAAGTAGATCTCAAAAGTTCAACATGACGATCAGGTGAGCTCAGAACATAAAACAAAATTGATAAGCATAATTATCTAAAATAAAATTCCAATGAAATTACCAGGTCTATGTTTGAACGAGCTTTGTAAAGACTATTCATAGCCCTCATGGCAACTTTTTCAAAAATTGGGTCTCCAGTAAGTTTACTTAATGCTCCAAATTCCACAAGGAATGTACCCACACCAGCAGTACATGTAACAGTTGTCTCCCCTGTTGGTACACCATACATCAAATTCACTGTCCCATAGGGCATGCCAGTTGGTGTGTCAAATGCTGCAGATAGAGCACAATATGTATAATCAATTTATTTAGAAGTTTATTCATATAATAAGAGCTCTTCATATCAGAGCATCATGGACCTTAAGTAAGAGCAGTTGTCAAATGCACAAAGTTAATATGCAATCAAGCTCAATAGACATTATCCAGAACTCGGAAAATGTGGGTTTTTCCCAGCTTATCTATTGGTACAAACTAACTTTTAACATTATAGATTCACGGTGCACTACCCATCACAATAGATTAATCAACCTGTTTTGCTTGTTTTCGAAGCTGTAACTGTACTAGTTTGTTTGTACCTACTTTATTAGCTGGAAAAAAACTAAATATTCTTAATTCCAGAGTTAGCCTATAGAACAAGAGCTATCGCCTAGTAGGGGCTACACTCGACTTATTTCTACAGTCAAACACATCAGAGGATGAAAATTATAGTAAGAATACTCTTTAAGAAACAAAACAATAATGGCCAACGTTAAAGTTTCTGGACAGCAACAGCAACCTGATAGTAGCAATAGCTTGAAATTTTTCTTTGAAAAAGTCAAGCTTAAAATCAAAGAATAATAAAACGCTGACAATATGCACAACTATTTAGTAAGTTTGTACTGATCATTCTTGTAAAGTTTGGATGAAACTGGACCAGTAGTTTTTGAGTTGTAGTCTGAACAAGTTTTGTGGCAAACAGACAGACAGACAAACAGACAGATGATAGAGAAGTGATCCTTCCATGTCATCGCTACTCTGTACACAAAAGAGTAGAGGCAACACAAGATGGGGAACAATAAAGAAGCATTCCAATGTAGTCTGGTTAATATCAGGTCATTGTCATTTGTCACAACAGTAGTGGAGATTAGGGATCATATTTCAAAGTTGTGTAGGCTTGTATAGCTGTAATCATATTTCAAGCATAATTATTTAATCAACATACAAGTCATTATATAAATGATGTAATCAATTATTTATCATTTTTTATTGCCACAAATTATGACAAATATCAAAACCAAAGCAGTTTATTTATTTCCCTTTAAAGTTTTACATGATTTTTTCTGCATTATCCATAATGCTTTTCTGCCTTATATTACAGAAATAACATGGATCAAAGATTTCCATAAAATAATTAAAGAAGGTAGATCCCTTTAACTGAAAATGGACTTCTGTTTTTGAAGGAAAAATGTCAAAATATAAACTTTTTAAAGAAATATTTCAATTTCTTTCAACTTTTTTTATGTTTTTAAATCAAAAGTACTGTGGCACATTTTTTTTAGTGCTGCTTTAACAACAAAATTATCAAAGCAGCAGTAATGAGTAAAGTGAAGTTTGACAATTACAATGTCTAGCTAAGACAAAACATACAGCCTCCAAAGATGCTTAGAAATTCCCTAATTATTTCATTTAAAACTAAGCAAACATAATTAAATTCTACAGAATTATATTACATGTACCTGGTAAGAGTCTTCTTGCAACATCTTCTGCCATTCTAAGCAAGGGACCAGAACATGGCCAGCCTGGTTCAAGGTCTAATCCACCTCTTTTTGACATCAAATGAGCTGATATAAGACCCCCAACAACTAAAATAATAAACACTTCCATAAATCTGTAGTTTTGTAAATGAATGTCATATAATATATCAATGAACTGGTTCTAGATTGCCCACCTGAGATACATTGCTAGAAATTGAAAATGTCACATTTTTTCAAAGAAGAAGTAGGTAATTGAATCTCACATTAGTTTTGTCATTTTTTGACAGCTGTGTGATCCATATTATACTTATAGATGTCTGTAAAATAATGCTACATACCTAAACTTCTAGTATCTAAACTGTGTGCATTGTAATTTTCAACAAGATTTAAATCTATTTACCTATAGAGTACAAGTCTAAATAAAATGACCTTTGGCAAGACAAAATTTTACCCTTGGGCAAAGATTTATATAACTAACTTTTGTAGAAGTCAGCAAGGCAATGCTATATGCCAAATAGCTAAGCTGGTTTGAACAATAACAATTCAATGTATTTCCCTTTATTAGTTTATATAATTTAAGTGACCCCACAAGGATGGGGCTAATTTTGACCAAAAGGACATGATTAAAATAATTATTGTAGTGAAACTCAGAGCTATAATTAAATGGACAGAAAGTTATAATTCATACACTTAAAATCTCTATCAGGGGCACTGCCAGGCTGGGACAATGCTAGACGTTTTTTACTTCTTCTAAAATCAAACAAATAAAAGGTTTAAACAAATCTTAAAAAAAAACAAAAAACAATTTGCCTAAAATCAGCTCCTAAATAACACTACACATAAGGATCTGACATTCACCACAGGTTACGTCACTTTCTTGTGGTCTTTCAAACAGCCAATCATTGGTGAGCTTTCATTCTTTTGAATTGAAAGTGATGCGGTTTCTATTTTTAACCCTTGGAATACCAATACTGAGTAGATAATTTTCATGATTATGAAAACAAACTTGGCGTTGTCCATATAGCCGACAGATAAAGAGGCAAAACAATCTTGCCCATTAACAATTGACTCTATTATTTCAAGTTAATTTGTTATAAATAACTTCAAACATTTTTTTTAACAAAAATCAAAGATTTGTTTAACTTCCACAGATATTGTTTGTTGCTGTTTTTTTAAAGAGTGAAAGCCACAGGCTTTGCGTAAAATGATGGCCCTTCCTCCTAGGATGAGGGGCATTATTGGAAAAGTCATAGGCTGAGCATGTACACGCTCTTCCCTGTTTTACCCGCACTTTATGTAAGTTTTTACAACAACAAACAACTGTTTTTTAAATTATAAGTTGCAGGTTCTACTTCCATTCTATTTATCAGGGGTGTGTCATGTGACTTGAGGACAGTTTTATTTCTAATTTCTAACCAGTCATAGCAATACTGGAAGTGAAGATAACATGCTAGTGTAAGTGTGTACATGCTCAGCTTTCCGGCTTTACTTCAATAATGCCTTTTATCTTTCACTCACCGCTAAGATGAAGTTCACCACAACATCATGAACATTAAACAAGGTCATTATGCAAAATGTACGGCCTTTATGAGAAAACTTGGCTATTATGAGATTGGAGATTTTGATTGGCTCTCCAGCTTATGAATCTGCTTTTTTTTTTCATTGTAAAAAGTTGCTATTTTGAATTGCTGCAAGGTAGATTTCCGAGACATTTTTAAAACAAGAATCTCATTTGCAATACCTCTAAACAACCGAATTTTATATTAGTTATTTTTTGTTTTACAAAGTACTTAACTTTTTTAGATTATGTGTAGTTAATTAATAAAATTGTTAATAATTAGGTGTTTTCATAATGGCTTTGTTGAGGCCAAAGGTCGAAGGCTAATATGACAGTTTAAAGCCCAATAACAAGGCCATTATGAAAACACGTAATTATTAACATGATATCAATAATGATTTAACACAGATCAAGAAGGGTTTCACAGAAAATCTTAGACAACAGTTTTTTTTAAGGCCTTGATCAGTTGTTGTGCAACATTCCATAGAGGCCATCTGTTGATGCTAATAAAAACATTTTGGGGACAACCCTGATTACATAATCATATCATTTAAGAAAATAAACAAAACTGATTTTGTGAAAAAATGCTATGCCACTGCATTAACAACAGATGTAGACTTTTTTTTGTTTCTATACAATTGAACTTTGCCATAATGCAGTAGTGTTTAGTGAATTTTGGGGTCAATGTCATATTTTAGCATTTCGAATGAAAGACAATATGCAGATGTGTTCAGGAAATCATTACCTTGGGAAAATGCCACATAAAGATCAAAGATAAATTCCCATAAACCTGAAATGCTGCAAATATCAGATTCTGTCCCAGTCTAAAACTTTGATATTCACCGATATAATTTGTGTAGCACATTGAGATGATTATGTCAAATGCAAGACCAAGGTTTGAAGGTCAATGGTTTTGCTACAAAAGTAAAATTTCTTATCAAATTTACCTCTAATATTTGTCTCAAAAACTGATACATTGATGTCAACATCAAAATCAAGCTTTTCAATGACAAGATTAGCAACTCTCTGAAATTCTGTGTTGTTTCCCATAATCACCAACATGTCAAGGGTATCTATCAGAGTCAATGAGTAACTGTAATACAAATAAATAATCATTATAAAGCATGCTTTACATTGAGAAAACTAATATCATATATAATGTAAACTGATTTTTAGGTATCATACCGGTATATAACTTCAAAAAAACATTGTTATTATGTCCAACACATTTAAACATATTAAAGCCACTGATCTTCAGATGGTAAATTGAAACATTGTTTGCAAAGTAAAAAGTATTTTGAATGCATTTTCATTTTTCTGGTATCAAAGAATTATGTGAGAATGGTATCTTATATCTTACATATAGATTGTTTACAAGTAAACTTAAAGCAGCACGCCTCCAGATTCATCCTAATTTTCATGAAAATTTTGAAAATGTATTTAAAGGTAAAATATTGTGAAATGAACAAAGAAAGTACTTGACACATTACAATCGGCACTTAAAATCCACGTAAATTACCAAAGAGGTCAAAATATGCATAAATAGCCCCTACTGCGTTAGTAACGCAGTAGAAATATGGTGATAAATACTACAAAATACAGTCATTAATTGCACATAAGATATAAATTATCACTTGAATCTTTAATTTGTTTACTTTTCTCAAAGTTTTAGTATGGTTTTTCCAAGTTTAATTTTCTTGAAATATTTTGGGTCATCTGGAGGCATGCAGCTTTAAAAGATTTTGTCAATATCATATGCCTAAATCTTGTTTTCCAGGTATGGAAAGAACACATACAGAAACATAATTGTCAAATTAGTAATATAGATGCTCTTTACCCTAGCGACTTAATTTTCGCGAAATTCGCAGTCAATGTTTGCGCGACAAAGCCATCCTTGTGAAAAATGTGAAAAAATTGTTTGCACCAAAGTTTCTAGGAATACAGTTGCCATATTAAAGCCTTATAGAATGAATGACTTCAAAGAGAAATACAGTTACCTATAATTGTACCTCTGGCCACATAAGTATCCAAATGTAAGCTAGAAAGGACAGACTGGGGGCCATAAAGAATTTAATCAGCTCCCTATGGTCCTGTATCCACATAACAAGTATCATAAACCAACTTTATGTTCTTTTTGAATTATGGCAAGATCCAGTTTTGTTATTTTCATCATTTCTGTAGCCATAGCAATCACAATTAAAAACAAGAACGTGTTTGTTAAAGACAAATGCCCCCGGCTCAGATTCTTGTCAGTAGCAATATTTCAAAAAATGTTTACCCATTCACTCAGTTATGGACAGAAACATTGCCAAAAAATTGTAAACACAAGTTATATAGCTTGACAGAGTCATGGCATTTTGTAATTGTGAAATATATAAGTTGCCAAGTCATTGCTATGACTTGTGAAGTGATAAATATTCAACTTTATCAAATATATATAAATGTAAGAAATCTATACTTGGCACCCTTGACCTTGACCCACTGACACCTATAGAATATCATGCAAGTTATCTTCCTACCAAATATGAAATACATCTGTCAATAAAGGCTGTATGGGAAAATGTTATACCCCTTACTCCATTCAAAGGAAGAATACCATGCAAGTTATCTTCCAACCAAAATATGAAATAAATCTGTCAATAAATAAAGGCTGTATGGGCAAAAGTGTAAAAATCTATTTTTTAGCACTTGTGACCTTGACCCAACTGACCCCTAACTCCATCCAAAGTAAGAATAACATGCAAGTTATCTTCTTACCAAATATGAAATATATCTGTCAATAAATAAAGGCTGTATGGGCAAAAGTGTAAAAATCTATTTTTAGCACTAGTGACATTGACACACTGATCCCTAACTCAATCAAGAGGAAGAATGCCATGCAAGTTATCTTCATATCAAATATGAAAAACAACTGTCAATAAATAAAGCCTGTATGGGCAAAAGTGTAAAAATCTATTTTTAGCACTTGTGACCTTGACCCACTGATCCCTACCCCAATCAAAAGGATGAATACCATGCAAGTTATCTTCCTACCAAATATGAAATATATCTGTCAATAAATAAAGGCTGTATCAGCAAAAGTGTAAAAATCTATTTTTAGCACTGGTGACCTTGACCCAACTGACCACTAACTCCATCAAATTTTATGTTCCTATCAATTATAAATGACATCTGTCTATAGAATATGGTTAATACACCTGTAAAATGTAAAAATCTATTTTTAACATTGGTGACCTTGACATTGGTGACATTGACCTTGACCCAAATGACCCCTTACTATACCCAAAGAAGGAGGACCTCCCTTGGCATGTTTGGATTAAACATGAAAGACATCAACCAAAAAATAAAGGCTGTATGAGAAAAAATTTTAAATTTATTTTCTAAACCAGTGACCTTGACCCTAGAGACCACTTACTCCACAAAAAATTAGAGGACCATCAAAGGTATCCACCTACCAAATATGCAAGATATCATTAAATAAATTAAGCAATTAAGAGAAATTTACAATAAATCTAACTTCCGGAATAGGTTAACCAGACAAGGCCCTATTTTCAAAGTGAAAAAAGGGAAATAACTGGGAAATATGGATGACACAGTTATATAACTTGGCAATATCATGAACTTTGTATTGATAAGTAAGTTTGGAAATTATGAAGCCATTAGTATAGATAGAATTTAAGATATTTCCAACTTGCCGTTTTAGGTTAACCATTATTCATTATCTAAGTGCTGAAAAGGGCAATAACTTGGTAAATATGGAAGCCATAGTTATGTAACTTGAACAAATCATGTACTTTGTATTGATTAGTAAGTGTGTAAACTAAGAAGCCATTGGTACAGGTAGAACTTAAGAAAAGTCCAACTTGCCGTTCTAGGTTAACCTCGTACGGACAAACGGACAGATGGACGGTTCAATTACTATATGCCCGGGGGCATAAAAAAAAAATGTATAATTTCTATATGACCTTCTTTCCACACACAAGAAAGCATCAATGTTGCTTTTGTATTTTTTAGTAATGACTGGATCCAGAATTCTAAAGATGAAGGGAAGGACAGATTGACAACCAGGTGCATAGCAATGTACACCAAATTTTTTTTGGGCTTGTGAAAGTAAGTCACTACATATATGAAAATTGTGCAAATCTAACCTTCCCCATGTGTCATGGCCATCACAAGTTAATGGTCTTAGTTCATCATAAGGATATGCATGTCTGATATAGCCATCATATGCATGATGAAACATATCTGTAACTTTTTTCCTGAAAGTAAACAACATGGATGCATTTAGAAAATGTGCACATTAAAGAACCACAAACTAGATAATATAATATTTTTTTCTAAAGCACATTATGCGTAAGATAAAGATTTTTTTTCTCCTTGCTGCATATTTTTAAAATATTTGTAGACTCTGCTACAAATTTTCTAATGACAAAAACCTTCACAGTGATCTTGATCATTATTCCTGGCAAAATTTTGATTGATTCTTACTCAAGCACTCAAGGAACAAATTACACAACATAATGAAAGAATTTTTACTAAGTCAAGGGCAATAACTCTACAAGTACTGGATAAATCCACAAGCGAAATCCAAGGTGCACAACTACATATGCTGACCAACATTCCTGTTAAATTTCACGACACTCGGGTTAAATACATTTTGAGCTACGCACGACACAAATTGAAAATTGCAAATTTTAACTTAGTCAAGGGCAATAACTCTGACAAAACATATCAATTTACAAGTGAAACCTCAGATGCACAACTTCACATGCTGATCAACATTCCTGTAAAGTTTCATGACCCTATGTCAAATACTTTTTGAGCTACATGTAACACATTTTGAAAATTGCAAATTGTTACTAAGTCAAGGACAATAACTCTACAAATACAAAATAAATGTAAACGAAAATAACAGGTGCACAACTACACATGCTGATTAACATTCCTGTAAAGTTTCATAACCCTAGGTTAAATAATTTATGAGTTACGTGCGACACAAGTTGATAATTGTAAATTTTTACTAAATCAAGGGCAATAACTCTAAAATTACTAAATATTTCCACACGAAAATACCCATGTGCACAACTTCAGATGCTGATCAACATTCCTGTCAAGTTTCATGACTCTAGATCAATTCCTTTTTGCGCTATGTGCAACACAAAATCAGAACGGACGGTGGGATGGATGAATGGACGGACGGACGGATGGACAAGGGTAAATCTAAATACCCCACCCATAGGAGAGGGCACAGTTTCTCTAACAAAACTGAAAAAATCCACATGCAAAATCCCAGCATAGCTTCAAAGTGATGTTGATCATTATTCCTGTAAAGTTGGTTGATTCTTACTCAAGCACTCAAGGAACAAATAACCTAACATAATGAAACGGTTTTTACTAAATCGTGGGCAATAACTCTACAAATACTGGATAAATCCACATGTGAAACCCAGCAAACACATGACGTTAAAATAACGTCGGATTAATGTTAGATTTTGGTCACGACGTCGGCGACCAAGATACGACGTAAATCTGACGTTAAAATACCGATGTCTAATAGACGTTTCTTTTTGACGTTGTACTAACGTCAGGTTCTGATCGGTGTCCTGACGGTAGGTAAAAAAAATAACAAAAAATAATCCTTATTCGCTGTTGTAATCATTTAAACTTTTTTTCAAATGTTATTTGGATTACAAATGAAGTGTTGTTATATAAATACAGACCAAGATCGCGGCGCTGCAACCTAATAAAACATATAGGTGACGCTGTATATATGCAAGTTACATGTGTTATTGTTATGAAATCTATTTATAGCCACAGATCTGTTTACAAGTTCCAATCATTTAACGTTGTAATATTATCATTTGTGGTACATTATATGTATCAAAATTACGAGTTTTAATAGTGCTTTAACATTTAATCATAGTGACATAAAAGGGAAAGAAAATTTAATTAACCTATAATTCGAATCTAAAGTCACGTGGATAGAAATTCAAATTCGTAGGCGTTACGTTTTGGCTGTCGGTCTGGAATCGGGATGCATTGATAAGTGAATATTATAGATTTTCTTGAACAAAAAGGTCAGTTCAAGTTATTTCTACTTTGTATTTGATAAATAATTGCATAATTGCAAGCACTCTTAAATTTAATTATCATTTTTTGAACAGCTGAAGTAAAATGTCACACTAATTCGCGATAATGTCTAATAATAAATCTTTTTAAAATTGACATGTTTTAACTCTGCTTGTGAAGAGTTTATAATATGCCTTTCAGTACTAACAAAGAGAATGCTTAGTTTTCATATTTTTCTTAAACTGTGATGTTTTTGTCAGTTAAAATCTGAGAATTGAGAATGAATTTGTACGATTTCGAGCATTTCGGACCAAGACGTTTCGGTCCCAAATAACCCAAAACGTTCCGGTCCCAAATTACCCAAGACGTTTTTGTTCCAGACATTTCGGCATTAAATCTTTAATTTAAAACTATGAAATATTTAAGACTTGCGTGCGTAACTGTTCTATTTCAAACGTAGAATATATACATAAGTTAGAATATAATTTTCTTTTCAGGTAGTTAAAGTGTTGGACATGCTCTCAAAGGTCGGAGGGACGGAAACACGTGAATATGTAAAAAGAAACATATGAAAGTAAGATTTTTGTAAATTCTATTACATACTTTAATCCATACTAAACTGGAGTTTAAAAGCGGCTTTTTAAATGTTCAGTATTTATGTTTACTTTTAATTTTTGTTAAAGCTCTCTTATAAAAAGTTGGCAAAATTGTTCATTAAGTTAAGATAACCATGAAAACATTTTTGCTTGTTATTTTTACATGTTTCATAAATTTCTTTTTTTCAGTGAAAATGATGTCACACACGCTATTGGGCGCTACAAACGCTACATATCCTCCGGACAGACGAGGTGTGCTGAAAATGGTCAGATTGAGGTCGGAAAATGGTTAGATAATGGTCAGATTTTGGTCAGAAAAAGGTTAAATAATGGTTAGATTCTGACGTCTACCTGACGTCAGATTATTACGTCAAAAAAACTTTCAAATCCAACCGTTTTTCCGACCGTCATCCGACGTCAGAACCTGACTTAAATCTGACGTCAGTATGACGTCTTGTGTTTGCTGGGAAGCGTTGTGTACAACGGTCTAACTTATCTGTGTTAAACAACTCTAAGCCTGATGGGTAACGCACTATGTTTCCTACATGGCGGCTTGAACACGGAAATGATTTAACAATACAATTGTAAACTAAAGCGAAAAAACAATTAAATTTAAAAGCCATCTGTGGGATCTACTACAAATAATGATATTATTTAATCTATTTACCTGTTTGTTTATTGTATTTTGTTGAAATAGATCTGATATTTGTATACATCATATATAATGTGTTTTATAAAAAAAATAGCCATAGTCATTTTTACACTAAATGGGGGTGAGTGACGTGTTGTACTTAACACAGGTCGATTTGAGAGACCAGCGTGTATATGACTTGTGTTTACAATGGTATCTTGAGTATCTCAATTATCAGATTATATACAGACACAGGGACTTCTGTCATTTTTTTCTTTTCTCGATATATATTATAACAGAGGATACAACTCAAAATTGCTCAATTCATGAAAAAGTTAACAGAATGCAGTATGCAACAGTTTTTATCTTAAATTGATTGTTGGACATTCATGAAGGAATCAATGATTTCAAAAAATGCCTCACTTTGATACATGGACAAGATATTAAAAAAAATAACCTTTCGTGCTTCAATTTTACACATGTTCATAAAATTTTAGTTTGTAAAATTACGCATGTCAAACGATATATTATGCAAACGTATGCTTATATGAGAAAGTTAAATCATGTAATTGGTTAATTATCAATCACCCACCACCATCAATGATGCAATCAGTAGTTATTGATCAGCAACCAAATTGCTTCTAAAATTTATTTAGTGGCATACAACATATTTTACCGGAATCTACAACTTGCAAGTTTAATTACAACATAAACAAGACAAAATGTCAATAATTATTAACGGTTTTTCTTCCCTTTTTTTTCGAAGTATTAGTATTCGTAAATTCAGTAAGTCACAGACTAGAATAAAGCTGTGTGCTATGTTAAGTTAGCCATGTCGTTTGAAGCATTTGCCGAATCCTGTAGATTCTATCACCTCATATTTAGCAGTAATTTTCATGGTGTTCTAGCACTAAATGGAGCTGCAGGCAGATTCAATTTATACTGGCCAGTTGTTAATTACAGTTTCTGACACCCTTGCTCAGAAAGCCACAAGGGGTAAACAATTAATCTTTTTATTGATCTAAATTATTACAGATAATTGTTAGTTGGAAGGGCACGTAGATTTACCAATCAAAGGATTAGTGTCACCATTTACTGTATATTGCTATACTGTATGGGGATAATTGTTAGTTATTAGCGTTCTAGAACAGTTAAAAATAACTTGACAAAAAGATTACATAAAAATGTAAAATTTCCGGCTGCAAAGTAGATGATTTTAGATTATTATGTTTACAGAGACATAAATCATCTCCGGGACAGAGACCTTGTTTCCAATCCTAGACGTCTGAGATGTTATGACATGTACCAGCGACAATCTGACAGCCAAAGTAAATATTGAAAGGTTAGTTATTTCCTGCAATGTTACAGGTTTAATGAAGAGTTTGTAGTAGAACTTGGGTAATGACCAGTTCATAGCCCGGGGTTCTTTGATATCACAGTACTTAACATTTATTGGAAAATATTCAAATATAAATACAAATGTATCATACATGATTGAGATTATTCTTTTATTTAATAAGTGATCCTTTTCCAAGACTGTCTGTCAAAAATTTATTTCTGAAGATCCAATTTAAATGTCATTTTTAAACTATTTTTTAATTTCTGCCATTTTGGGTAATTTCAGAGGAGGTTACTATGTTATCAAGGTAATCCCCAACAAGAGCTGTCACAGGAGACAGCGAAGCTCGACTAATAAAATACTGGACTCAGTAAGGAAAATAAAACTATGAAAGAAAAATCAATTATGATATAAATATATTTCTTCTTAAGACAAGAAGTTATAGTTGTAAACATAAATTCCAATTTCAAGGGGAAAAACATCTGGAACTAGACATACTAGAGTTATGGACCTTGTCACACAACATATGTGTAATGATAAGAAATATATATTTAAAGATGGAAATAGATACCTTAAAAAGTAAAGAAGTTTTAATATTTCTTAAAGAAAATTCTAACTTCAAAGGGAGATAAATCTGACAAGAGCCATGTCAACATGGCCATCCCTTGCCCAATGTGTTTGCTCATTGGAAGAATATATATGTAGAAGAGCAAAATAATTCAATTTTAAGAGGTCTTTTGGTAATGAAAACTGATGGCTGAAGTGATTACAGATTTGAAACCTATGTGAATACCGATGGCTGAAAATAACAAAGGGCAATAACTGAAAAATAATGCAAAGTAGGTTATCTTTTTTGTGTGTTGCACTCCTCCTCAATGAGATCTATCCACCTATGAAGTTTCAAGTTGATATCTCAAAGGCTTTTATAGTTATGCTCTGGACAAAAATTAAGCATGAAAAATAACAAAGGGCAATAACTAAAAATTATGCAGGGTAGAGTTATCATTCTTGTGTGCTGCACTCCTAATAATTATAAAGGGAAGAGTGATCATTCTTGTGCATAGTATTCCTCCTCAATAAGATCTATCAACCTATGAAGTTTCATGTTGACATCTAAAAGACTTTTTGAGTTATGCTCCACTCAGATGAAAAATTAAGTATGAAAAATAATGAAGGGCAATAACTCAAAAATTATGAAGGGTAGAGTTATCATTCTTGTGCACTGCACACCTCCTGAATGAGATCTATCCACCTATGAAGTTTCATGTTGATATCTCATAAACTTTTTGAGTTATGCTCTGGACAAAAATATTCAACTTCATGCAAGTTATCTTCCTACCAAATATGAAATACATCTGTCAATAAATAAAGGCTGTATGGACAAAAGTGTAAAAATCTATTTTTAGCACTGGTGACCTTAACCAAACTGACCCCTAACTCTATCCAAAAGAAGAATACCATGTAAGTTATCTTCCTACCAAATATGAAATACATCTGTCAATAAATAAAGGCTGTATGGGCAAAAGTGTAAAAATCTATTTTTAGCACTGGTGACCTTGACCCAACTGACCCCTTACTCCATCCAAAGGAAGAATACTATGCAAGTTATCTTCCTACCAAATATGAAATACATCTGTCAATAAAAAAAGCTGTATGGGCAAGTGTTAAAATCTATTTTTAGCACAAGTGATCTTGACCCACTGAAAAAAGGATGAATACCATGCAAGTTATCTTCCTACCAAATATAAAATATATTTGTCACTTAATAAAGGCTGTATGAGCAAATGTGTAAAAATCTATTTTTAGCACTGGTGACCTTGACCCAACTGACCACTAACTCCATCAAAGTCTATGTTTCTATCAATTATAAATATCATCTGTCTATAGAATAAGGTCAATACACCTGTAAAAATGTAAAAATCTATTTTTAACATTGGTGACCTTGACATTGGTAACATTGACCTTGACCCAAATGAGCCCTTACTACACCCAAAGAAGGAGGACCTCCCTTGGCATGTTTGTATTAAACTTAAAACATCACATAAAATATAAAGGCTGTATGAGCAAAAATGTTTATATTTATTTTTTAAACCAGTGACCTTGACCCTAGAGACCACTTACTCCACAAAAAAATTAGAGGACCATCAAAGGTATCCACCTACTAAATATGAAAGATATCATTTAAGAAATTAAGCAATTAGGAGAAATTAAAGATAAATCCAACTTGCCGAAATAGGTTAAACAGACAAGGCCCTATTTTCAAAGTGAAAAAAGGGAAATAACTGGAAAATATGGATGACACAGTTATATAACTTGGCAATATCATGTACTTTGTATTGATAAGTAAGTGTGGAAATTATAAAGCCATTAGTTTAGATAGAACTTAAGATATTTCCAACTTGCCGTTTTAGGTTAACCATTATTCATTTAATTTTTCTAAGTGCTGAAAAGGGCAATAACTTGGTAAATATGAAAGCCAGAGTTATGTAACTTGCCCAGATCATGTACTTTGTATTGATTAGCAAGTAAGGGTATAATGGTTTACCGGTATACCGATATATTGCAATATGAAAAAATAAATTTCGAACCGCAGTACAATTTTTGGAAAACCGGTATTTTATAAAAATCATAATTTTCAATTAATTGCCTTCTAATTTTGTACAAATTTCACATAAAATCTTTAATTGGCAAATTTTGTTGGCGCCAACGTAAGATAAAAGTATCCGACAACTAGTACACTTAAAAGTCAATAAGCGGCCGCATAATTTACATAAGCGGCCCAGATGTGAAAGGTTACACGCGACTAGTTTTGTTTATCAAATAGTGTGACACTACTTTCTATTTATTCCTTACATTTTTATTAAGTTTCTACTAAAAATATATACATATAATAATAATATATAAATGTTACTCCATCTTTACATCAAAACATATACACGACAATACGTATTGCAATATATTGCAATACGCTTCAGCAAAATGGCAATATATTGCAATACGGTTTTTGCTGTATTGTTACACCCCTATTAGTAAGTGTGTAAACTTAGAAGCCATTGGTACGGGTAGAACTTAAGAAAAATCCAACTTGCTGTTCTAGGTTAACCTCGTACGGACAGACGGACGGACGGTTCAATTACTATATGCCCGGGGGCATAAAAAGTAGCCGAATATATACCAGGACCGAAACAATTAAGAGCTGAAAACACAAAGGCCGAAATGTCCAGAAGGTGAAACATCCAGTAACCGAAAGATTTCGAGACATTTTGGCCCCCGACGTATCAGCCCCCAAAATTTCCAAAAAACGTTTTTGCCCCGGGCGTTTTTTGGCCCCTTTCAAAACGGCGTCATATTTTTGTACAACCCAAAATTGAAACAGAAAATTTTTTCCGTTTTTTTCATTTAACAAATTTCTTTTTTTTTTGTGTAATAAAAAATCAAAAAAATGAGGAAAATTTCCCATTTGGGTACGACCCAGGAAAGTGAAAAAAGGTCAATTAAATTTTTATTGCCAAACCCCTTTTAATCAATCGAGGTTCTTAATAAATGTTTTCGTTTTAAAAAAATTTAAAGGGGGGGCAATTTTGCTTTCCTTAAATAAAAATTTATCGTTTTAATTATTTTTTTCGGTTTGGGCGCCTCGTGTAAAATTTAATTTCAGACGAAATTTAAAATTGGGATTTATTGGCAAACCCCTTTTAAATTTTTTTAAAAAACGCCCCCTTTTTTGAAATAGAGGGGGGAAAATCACCACTATTTTTCAATTCCTAGAATAATCAATCAATAATTTGAATAAACTACAATTTTTATGTATAAAATTTCCTTTAATACTTTAATAAAACTGCAATAAAAAAGGGCCGAAACGTCTCGCGGAAAAAAGCCGAAACGTCTAGGGGCCGATTTTTGCAAAGGGGTCGATTTGGTTTAGGGCCGAAATGTCCTGTTTGCAACCGAAACGTCCATCTACCCTAGTTAGCTGTATTCGCATAGTTCTAAATAATAGTAGGGCATCGTCAAATATTGGTTACAACTTTTCACCTGAAAATTGTTATTTCTTCTTCCTTAATGACACGGCTTTCGCAGCTGGAAACGAAAAATATTATTATCAAACTAATTCGGAGCACCATGGACGCTGACATCTTGAATTGGTACCCGTCTGGTCTTTTGCGTGATCATACGAATTATGCACAAATAATAAAAAGGATAGGGAACCAGATTTGATCGGTACGTGTAATAGGTCAGACTCATATATTCATTTTCCCATATCCATACATTATAAGAATTGACTTAATCTTAAAATTGAGTATTCATGCTAAAGATGTAAGTTTTCAAGAAGAATGACATGCCTGACACATTAATATGAACATCTTATATAGGGTTGACTAACCAAATTTTTCGCAAAATGTCCCCAAAGATGATTACAGTACCCTCATTTTCACTGAATTTTTCTGCTGATCACAGGACTGACATATATTTTTTTCATTAAATGCAACTATCCCAATGAAAAGTTATCCCAGAGACTTATGAAACAGTTCATTTTCTTGAGAAAACAATGCAGTGTTAGGTTCTCAATAATTTTCTTACTTCATACCATGGAGCTAAATATACATTACAGTATATGTAGGTATAAATCTGTGTCACATACATAATGTAAACATTACATTTTCATCCAATCAACTGATGTCCCATTGAATCTTAGGATTTCCCGGCACTGTTTGCAATGTTATAATACTGTTATTACAATAATCTGCTGACCAACAGCAATACTGTTTTACCCTTTCCGTCAACCTTCGGCTCCTCGCAGCGGTTAATTCCCTAGATCAGTACATGTCCCGGGATCACCTTATAAAAGAAAAGCCGGGATCAGGGATCGTATTGAACATATGTCAAGGTTCAGAACTTTACACTAATGAGGGGAGAAAATATGTAAGCGGCCGGATAGCTCAGCCGGTAGAGCCGCGGAATGGCCCGGTATTCCGAGGGTCCCGGGTTCGAGCCCCGGTCAGGCTGCACAATTTACTCACCCTGTAACACATATAATAGTTTAATTTCGGGAATTGACAACTTGTTCTAGGTGTCATCGCGATTAATTATCGATTAGCTCATGCCTTTTAATTGTTATAGACACGCTTGTGATATGAAAGACCCTGATGCTTAGATGCAGAAATGTTCAAGTTAATGACATGTACTTAGATTAGCCATTGCATCGGTAACTTAGTCTAAATTTATGGTTAATCATTTAGATTATATGAAATTGTTAGATACAGATTAAATCTATTCTTTCCTTATTGCTTTTTGTCCTACGCAGAATACGCATGCTACTTCCGTTTCTATGAAAATATCATAAGTGTAATAAAGTTTCCTTTTAAAAGGAAAGGCTTGCACAGTTGTGCCTTCATCCCAACCCTTTAAAATTGTTCTTATTTTTTGGGTTTCAATTTATTATCACATTTTTTTTGAATTACGGTATTTGTATATCATAAAGGGTTTATTTAGTTGGGTTTTTTTTTGGAAAACCGAATATTTTTTTGTCAAAACGATTTAGATCTATTCTCTATTGTATAAAACTAATAAAGAAAATGATCAATCGTAAAAATATTAACGTGATACTGAAGGAAAACAAGTGTGCACATCTCATTTCCCCTTTTTCGCAGCGAAATCATTCCTTTGCTTTATAGACAAGTAAATGCACTAAAATACTTCGTTACGTGGTACCAATTAATAAGCATGTATCAACTATGATACATAGATCAGCACGTGGCAAGGTTAATGATATGCATGGGCTATTTTTAGATTACCTCGCCAAGAGGTTGAATTGCGTTCAGTAGATCTAAATATAACTCGATCATGCGTGATTTGGTAAGCAGGACCACCCTTTGAAGACGGAATAAATAATACTACAGTCACCATTCTCTATTGTATAAAACTAATACAGACAAAAAAACAATTATAAAAGAAACTAACTTTTGCGTCTTGAAAAACAAATGAAACGGAACAATTTCGTTTATACCGATAAATCAAGTAAAAATAGAAATCCTATTTATATACACAAACTGGGATTACCGAAGTAACTAAAATAGCTTAGATTTCCGTAATATTACTCCGCAGTATGACGGAATCGCCCGAATTGGCACGATTGCAATCGGAAACTACATCGGCTATTATCATTAATTCCGAAGACTGACGGAAAAGGCCGAAAAGTTGCGATTGGCACGATTGCAGCTGGTTTCCGTTCAATCATGCACAACAGATGTAAGCAGGAAACCACCTAACCGGAACAAGTTTTCCAGATGAAATGGCTTGCAGCCGTGGCTGCAAGCCAAAAAGGTCTACGGAGATTATGAAACCGCTACTGATGTGTCCATGATAATCATCGTCATCATCATTAATAAAAAGAGTTATTATATTGGACAGGGAACTACTATTGAGTGGCATACGTGATAGTTTAAAATGTATACCAGTATAATAAAAAAAAGGTGAATACAAGTTGGTAAACAATCAAGTTATTTTCATTTTATTATAATATATCAGTAAGACTTTTTGCAGATGTTTCATGTTATTCAAGAGTTCTTTAAGACATAAAATGTAGAGTTGTATTTTTTTTATTGTTTGATGGTTTCGAGAGATAAGACACAATTAAATGACACGTGTCCTTTATTACCGAAATAAACATATTATTAGAGTAGAGACACCTGTTTGGTGAACTGTGATTACTATGTAACTTGAAATAAAGCGTGTCTTTAAATAAATCAAGTGACAATTAAAACAGACACCTATTTTAATAGGATTATCTAGAGTAGAAAATGTGTAGCGTACGTAATACAAGTTATTGTACCGCGATGTTTCAAAAAATGAAACATACAATAGGCACAGAAAAACAATCATTTAAATCATATCAAAAGTTGTGTATACTTACACCTTAGTAATACTAATAGTATTAGTATGTTTCCAAATGTTAAGAAATTTTTGTAAAGATTACATGTGTACATTTAGTTTGATTTGTCACGGAACTAGATAACCTATTATTTAAATCCATGGACTTTGATTTTCCTACATAGATATAGATCTTCATTGTAAACTTAAGCAAACTTCTAAAGTTCAAATAATTTTACTCTTACTTCAAGGAAATTATCAATGCATAAGGATATTATATCTTTATTAATAAAATCATAGCGAACGCATTAATACACTTATAGAACAGTTTATAAATTTCCCTGATATATCTTTACGATACTGGGAAATCCATAAGGGAAAACAAAATTTAGTTTTGGGTTAAAAATTTTAAGGGCATAAAAGGGGTGAAAACCAAAAAGAGACCCCGGGAAAAATTTGTATACAGAAAACCCGGGAAATCATTTTTAGATAAAAAGAGACCCCTCCCATATCACATTCAAAAAAACCCGGGAAATCCTATTGGGATATACATGTAGAAAGATCCACTACCAAAATCCCCCATTCAAAAAAAGCCGGGGTTTCGTATTAAGTTTATATAAAATCCCGGGGAATGACCACTGTCACTTTCTTTTTCCCAGATAGCCGGGTGTTTTAAAGTTTATAAGATATCCCGGGGGATTGACCTCTTCTACAAAGCCATCCGGTTAGTCAATAGGAAAGAGTGTAAATGGGGCACCCGGTTCAAATTTCCCCCGACCCCGCAAATAAACCTTTCATTTAAAATCATGAAATTTTTTTCAACTGTCTTTTGGCACTGTTACCTTTGCTCTGGCATGTACAAGTTATCAAACCCCCAAAAGGGGGGGAAAAGAAAAGGCCCAAACTAGTTTTGGGAAAAACAAATTTGGGACAGCCTACCCGGGAAACCCGGGGCTAAAATTCAATGTGGCCCCCCTGTCGTAAATCTGGGGGGTTTAAAAAAAATTACCCATGAAACCCCCCTCCCCCACCATCACCACCCTTTTGTTTAAAATATGGATTTATTACATTCAGAAACCCGGGGATCGTTTTAAACCCATAATGGGAGATCCCGGGGCCCTTTTCATTTTTGTTTATACCAGAACAAATTTTAATTATCGCCCCTTTTTTTCCAATTATATATACTCATAATTAAATACTTTGGGTCCAGTTGCGTTAACTGAGTTACACAAAATGTAAATTTAAAGCAGCATGGTCACCGAAAAGCATTAAAATTACAGACATGAAAATTGTTTATCATTTCAAAATCATTTTCACACAATAAAAAATAATCTATCAACCTAGTATCATTGTAATTATAACATGTAAAGATATCCTTCACAAAATTATCACCCAAGCGATTGTTCACTATTCTAAAGGAGGTAGCTTTGCAAATGTCTCTTGATTCATTACATTGGAAATCTTTGCAAGGATGTAAAAATACAATAACCATCGGATTCGATGTCAGACACAAATTGATCATATAATACATTGTATTATAGTCATGTTTGCATAATGTCCTTGCATTACAATCACTTGAAACTAACACCCTAGCTGTCATTCGGCTTTAAATGTTCTATTCATTTAACAGACAGTCGAACAAATCTATATTTATCAAATTTGCAGTGGCTGACTTTTTCTCCCAGCTAAATAAATGTTAGAATAACTATTTATCAAATTTTAACCAAATAATCGTGTCATGTACATTTTTTACTACATGTATTGAAATATCATCTTTAACATTATTACGAAGATACACATCAATACCACCGCTATTTTTCTTTTACATTGCGATATTTGAATTAACGATATATATCATTACATGAAAACCCTTCCAACTCTATTTCACTCGATTTAGTTAACAGTATGACGTCATTTTAATTAAAAAGTCAGTAAAGTTTTTGTAGATGTTGTTTGGCTAGAACCATCCGCGTTTTCCAAGGCATCTGTAACTATTTGTTGTAGCCCATGCTGTATTTCCGGCCTCCTTTTCTTGCTTCATTTTTCCTGGCATTCTCTTGGGGAAGCTGTTCCGTTATGTAATTATTCGTGCCGTGTAGCAGCTGTAAAAAGTTGCCCCGTACTTCACTTCAGCGTTGTTATATTTTTCTGGTCCTTCGGGGATCATTTATGCCCAGCACTTACTATAAGTGTAGAGAATTTGAGTACCGCTCTTGAGTACCTCTCAAAACCGGTGCTAGGGGTGTGAGGGAATGTATTGCACTTATTCATTATCCCTCATGTACAGACTCAATTCAAACCGAGTCTGTAATTCTTATGTAAATTTTGTTGTGATTAATGCTGGCGAGAGATAACTTTGTTTCCAGATTTTATAGTTCACAACAGCAGGTGTCAAGTGCCGTGGTGGCAGTTGTAAAAAGTTGCCCTCGTACTTCACTTTCAGTGTTGTTATATTTTTCTGGTCCTTCGGATCATTGATGCCAGCACTATTAAGTTGTACTGAGAATTGAGTACCGCTCTATGAGTACCGCTCAAGCCGGTGTTATAGGGGGCGTGAGGGATGTTGCACTTATTCATTATCCCTCATGTACAGACTCAATTAAACCGAGTTTGCAATTTTTATGTAATTTTGTTGTGATAAAAGCTTCCGAGGGATCACTTTGTTATGTGACTAGATTTAAGAACAACTTTCCTGCCGATGAACTTATTAAATTTGCATACATTCCGTCGACTTCTGTTTTGCGCATTATTTTGATCTCTTAGTGTAGCACCCATGCGAATCGCACTTTCAAGTTTAAGGCTTGACGCAAAATCTTTTACGAGCCATAATTTTTTTCACCGTGAAATTTTTCAAAAGGACATCAGGGTTTTTTTTCTGGTTTTTCGTTAATCTCGTGTGCGAAATTTAGAGTGTATGGGATATTTCAACGAAATTGTAATGTGTATTATAACGGAAAAAATTAAGCAATCAAACGAATCAAGTTGTTGTTTATACATGTTATGTGGTATTTTTGTTTCTTCTATTTGGCTTTTTCAACTTGGGTGGTTCCAGTATTTCTACTTGAATAGTGTATAATCACCCTTAGGATATGTTGCCTGCTTTTTAATTTTTTCTTTTGACGTCATGTTTGTGATGTGCAGGCTTCATAACCTCAGATCCCCTTTCAAAATTCCATTTTATTTAGTTCCGCCCATTGTTTTCTCGTTTAGGACACATGCATTTCTTTTACTTGGGGACCATATGCCGCTTTTCATGGAATGGCACTAACGTGTCATATTGAGGGTTCCATGATGACCGCCATATAAACACATCTGTGGATGTTTCACAATTCTAAATTTTACCAGTTCATGTTAAATGTTGAATTCTGCTTAAGCAGGTGCTAGGGGGCGTGGACGGTAACTTGCACTTTCAAGTACCGTCCATGAACAGGCTCAATCAAACCGAGTCTGCAACATTTTCAATTTTGTCGTGTTGGGCTTTTCTTTTCATGGAATGGCACTAACGTGTCTGTATTTCTCTATTTTATGGTCACATCCGTGTTATTTGTGCCGTGTGGCGGCTGTAAAATGTCTCCTCGTACATTTTATCAATAATGTTATATTTTAGATCCTTGAAGATCGTTCAGCACGACATTATTGTTGTGTATACATGTTATGTGGTATTTTTGTTTCTTCTATTTGGCTTTTTCAACTTGGGTGGTTCCAGTATTTCTACTTGAATACTGTATAATCACCCTTAGGATATGTTTCCTGCTTTTTAAAGTTGTCTTTTGACGTCATATCTGTGATGTGCAGGCTTCATAACCTCAGATCTCCTTTCAAAATTCCATTTTATTTAGTTCCGCCCATTGTTTTCTCGTTTAGGGCACATGCATTTTTTTTTACTTGGGGACCATATGCCGCTTTTCATGGAATGGCACTAACGTGTCATATTGAAGGTTCCATGATGACCGCCATATGAACACATCTGCTGATGTTTTAAAATTCTAAATTTTACCAGCTCATATTAAATGTTGAATTCTGCTTAAGCCGGTGCTAGGGGCCTGGACGGTAACTTGCACTTTCCAATACCGTCCATGAACAGGCTCAATCAAACCGAGCCTGCAACATTTTCAATTTTGTCGTGTTGGGCTTTTTTAGGGATTCTGTATTTCTCTATTGTATACAACGGGGATATTTCTTTTGTTATTTTCAATAATGAAAACATTTTTGAAAGAAACACATTTTGCTAAGGGATAAAATGTTCGACATAATTAAGTTAGAACAATATTAGTCACTTATCAAATGATTGTGCATGGCTCGAGACACTCCAGAATTTATTTATATTTCATTTTTATTAATTTTCGTATAGAAAATACAAGATGAATCAGGACCTCTGTATCAGATAATAATTTAACCTCAGGTGGATTTAATTGTATCACTAGTAGAATACCACAAATAGTGGCCTATATTAAATATGCACATGTTATTTTGACGTTAACGGTAGAAGAAAGCCACAATGATATAATTATGAAACTTTATTTTTCGTGGTCAGTCTGAAAATTTATACCACTGCTGTTTTTAATATTTATAAATATATGGGTTTATCATTATTATCGCGGAACTTACAAGTGTTTATCAAATGTTCGAAAAAATACAATTATATGCATGGTGTTAGGAATGGGTAGACACCTACATGTTCATATTGTAACGTTTAGACATTTTTACTCAGCTTGTTTTTATTTAAGATTATCGTTTGCTGAAATGATTTTGTGTTACTTGTTTATGTAAATGTTTATATTGCGACAATATATTTTTTACGGTACTTTAGAATATACGTTTGGTATACGTATTTTTAATAAACGTTTGGTATCATATAATATAATAATCGTCTCAGTGATCAAGATCATTCTTATCAGCCAATGAAAATAAAGTCATGCTTGAGCGATCATCTCAGCAGGTATAAATAAGGCGGCAGAGCCAAAATTACTCAATCTGCAGAGGAATTCACCGGGACCAGGTTACTTTATGTAATTGAAGCCTCGCTTCATACATAGAGGATAATTTCGTCTACCTAACTGAAGCCTAGCTTCATAGGTAGAAAAGAAGAATTGCCAAAACTAAATACCCTTGTTTATCCAATAGAAGCCTAGCTTCATGGATATAGTGTCGTTATAGTTTAGTTGTGAAATTGTATTTGACTCTGGGTACTTATAGACCACCACATTTCCTGAAAGCCTCGCTATCAGAAAATTGGTAACATATAGGTATTAAAAATCCAGAGGTAGATTTAAAACGAATAAGCTTTGTATAGTTGGAACTTTGTTGTAAATCCCTACCAGCAACTTATCTTTCTATCTAAATAGAAGCCTCGCTTCATAGATAGGGAGGTAGTTGCTGGACTATAGGAAATTATCGGGTTGCAGCGTGATATCTATAGTTTTCAATAATTTTATAGTGTTATATTGTAAACATCATCTTTACTATATTGAGCCTTTTTGAGAATTTAATAGTGTATTTCGGAGTGTTAATTCAAGCTGATTGTTTATAATATTTGATCATTTAAGAATCATTTGTATCTAATCAAACGGCAGGTAGCCCAAAGAAAAAATAATAATATATTTGTGTACATCCGCTCGGTACACGTTACAATATGACCCCATTTTTACTAAATTGCTGGGTTTTGACGGAAACGATTCAAATGAATTTCAATTAACATATTCGGCAGTATACTACAGTAGTTAAGGTTACAGGAATAAACAGCTTAAGGGCTCCGACACGCATCCCTGTATAATAACAGAATTATTTGCCTTTAAAGTCATCACCATATTATAAGGGAATTAAAGATCCTGTAACACAATTTTTTCATGGTTATATTTTATAAATATGATGCTCAAATTAAGATTTGTCAATATTGTAAGTTCCAATAAGCATTATTTATTAAGATATTACCCAATTTAACATTTCATGTAAATAAAGCTAGGGAGGTAATTAGAAATTTATTTTCTATAAATTCTAAGTCAAATTTTCCAATAAAAAATTAATGCATATAATTTATTGATTAAATATAATGTGCACAAATATTTGCAGTACACATTTTACATACTCTTCGATGTTTGAAAATTGTTTTATTTGCATAATTATATACATATATAATTTTTTGCAAGTGTGATAAATTACAAACAGCGAAAGCTGCATTTTGTGCCCGAAAGGGCGGATGGACCCTCATTAAGCTTTAACTACATACATACATATACACACAGTAACAATATCAATCACAAAACATACAGGATCTTTAAAACATGCATTCATAGACATCAACAGATGGAATTATTTGTCACACAATCATATTGCTCTCCTTTACTCACAGGTCTTTGAAACAAACTATTTTAATGTTCTATATGGGCTATATACTATAATCTTTACAGGTACTTGAAACAAACTATTTTTAATGTTCTATATGGGCTATATACTATATAATCGGTACTTGAAACAAACTATTTTTAATGTTCTTTATGGGCTATATACTATAATCTTATTGTAGTATATAGCTCATATAGAACATTAAAAATAGTTTGTTTCAAGTACCTGTGACCATTACTATGTTTTATCACGGATTTATATTACTATATTATTGTAATATAAATCCGTTGTTTTATTTATGTGAAAATTATCAATATTATTTATTTACTTTGATTTAAAAAGCTTTTAGTTTATATTTGGATATAATAAATATATTGCTTGTTTGTTATAAACAATATAGTATGTCTCTTTTATATTCTAACTTTACTTATGATCTGCAAAATCTAAAAACTTGTCTGCAAAATCCCTCTTTGTTTAACTTGTCTGCAAAGTCCGTCTGCAAAGTATACCGACCCAATATTCGTGCGCAATATTGATACAAATGTAACTTCCTGTGCGCAGCTTGGTATATTGCTTTCCGAAAAATTACATTATTTGATAACAAACAACTTCGTTGCGCATCATGGTCACAGTAGAACAATTATACAAGAAGTTTGGAGTTCTCGCTGATGCTAAAGACAAGGCAGGAGAGGTAACATAATACAACATAATTTTTTATTATATCGTGAACGTTGAACATGTAAAATTAAGTGGGTGGGGTATTCACCGGCCTGGCAGGGGCCTACCTGAAGGCAAAGTCTGAAAGCGTTTTCTCTGAAAGAAAATATAGACCTGCTTAGAGTGATCGTAAACGATTTTAAAGCAGTATGATGAAGAAGTAGAAGTACATTTCAATATAATGACATATTCATTAAATCCATCAGCGGCTGCACACATTTAACATTATCGTGGTTTCTCGTATTATTGTGAAATTGTTTAAACGGATGGAAGCCAAGCTCGCGACTCCCGTCGATATCCTAATACTTGTCTATTTAGCAGAGCTGTTTCATTTCTGGCAAAAATAATGAAGGAAATGCGACAAAAACAGATAAAAAACAAAATAACTGTGGAAATTATCGTAAAATCCAGAGAAAAAGGGTAAAGAGACTCGGCCCTATACCAACTCAGCACGGGGCAACTCGGCACAGGTCAACTCGGCCCACTTTTGAAAAAACAACATATTAAACATATCAACTTAACTCTGATTACTTGCATGATATCAAGTCAAGCTGTTTTAAATGAATAAAGAGATATCTGGTATATTATTATATAATTGAGACTTTTCGCAGGAAAAGAGTCAACTCGGCCCTATACCAACTCAGCACGGGTCAACTCGGCCCACTTTACAAAAATATATATAACGTATTAACTTTGCTTTGCATGTTGTTCAGGTAAATGAATAATAAGAAATATCTTATTATTATATAATTATACTTCTGCCAAAATAAAGTACATTTAGAAAAAAAAAGTTATTTATTATGTAATAGGATGGGTATTTACGGTAATCTAAGTTAACAGTTAAGAGTTACTATCTTTCTTACTTATTGCATGGTATATACATTATCATTCTCAACCAATCAAATTGTTACAGTGAATACTGAATTGTATAAATAAGCTGACTTTGGCAATGTTAGCTAGGTTAGGTACTGTACCTACTCTGGTCAGTACAACAAGGCTGAGCCTTGAAACATTAAACTGGACTAGTCCTTAATACAAACGTTTACGTTTATTATAATCGACCACATATAAAATATATCATAAAAATAATCTTAATCAAATAATAAATATAGTTATTCTTAATATAAAACTAAATATAATTTGATTAGTATACTCATTAAATTTGTTAGGGCTTTTCATATATTAAAAGCATTGATTGAAATTGAATTTACGAGTTGTTGTTGTTTAGTCCATCATCTTTATAAAGTGACACTTATATATAAATCTACTGAGCCCTGAGAATTTACTCCAGTTATAACTTGTGATCGTTTGGTCTCCGTGTAAAGCATTGATTCTCATAAGAACCTGACCACTATTACAATTATAATACGTACCTGTTATTTGTCTTGCAGATTAGATAAAATTAATATAGATCTAGAAAAATGTGTTTCCTTGGATGCATTTTGTTTGTAAAGTAATATTCAAAAAATATGAAACAAAAACGTGTTTACTTAATATCATAAGCTTCTATTTAATTGCAGGTGGTCACTAATCAAATGAATGAATGACTGAGTCAATCATAATTATCACCTAATTAATCTGTATCCTTAACGTATACACTGATTGATAATAATAGCCCGTAACAATATCTGTTTCAACACATTGTTTGACACTGAAGGCATTTAAATTTATGGTTAAACCTACCACGAGTAAGAAATACAGTGAGATACGCAATTGGTAATCTTTACTCGCAATTCTACTGATACGAAAAGCCTGTCTGCTGCTAGTTCGGAAACTGTCAATCCGTATATTATAAATAATTACAATAAATAGTGATAACACAAACCTAAATATTAATAATTGAAAAGTGGACCGAGTTGACCCGTGCCGAGTTGGAATAGGGCCTAGCTGACTCGGGGGCCGATTACGTTTTAGGGCCGAGCTGACCCGGATTCCTTTTCGCATTGTGAAATGAAACAAATTGAGCATTTTATGTCCAATTTATGCAAGAAATGTGAATCATTCTGCTTTGCTCTAACCTTTTATATAAGAGAAAGATATTTTCTTTGAGATACAGAACCCTTTACTACAGTATACCTCCAGTGTGAAGTAGATATAACAAAACATTGAGTATGGCTCCCAATTAGTGCTGGCTCTTGTATTAATAAGATTTGAGAAATTTTGTATATATAATCTTTCATGAAATTGATAAGGTGATATTGAAGTGACTTAGCCCAACTGTCTGTCCTTTCATATTTATTAATCAGACATTAAGAAACACTTTCAAAATTTGTTTTCAGCATGAAGAAGAGTTTCTGTACATCATTAGTGCTGTAAAAGGTGGACCAGGCGAGAAAAGGCTTGCATCACAATTTGTGACAAGGTTTTTCAAGTACTTTCCAAAATTAGCATACCAAGCCATCAATGCACTGTTTGACCTTTGTGAAGATGATGATATAAATGTAAGTTTCCTTCTGGTCAAAAGATGGTTGTGTATATAAGTTGTAGGGCCGAAAATTGTAAACACTCTCCAGATGTATGTTAAATTTACCATTATACATTGTTGGCACTTAAACAGGGGAACTGTAATTATTTCCCTGGTTTCAAACTTTTTATTTTATTGAAAAGAATTGTATTAATACATGATATACTCAGAGATACTTACATGATATACTCAGAGATACTGATTGACCAATTCATTTTGGTAGCTGCCTGGACCCCTAACCTTTAAAAAAAATCTAGGGACCCAACAAAAAAAATAGATTTACTTAAGAAAATGATTGGGCATTTTTTTTCAACTTTCAGTTTCGGCCATGGTTTTTGTCACCACCTGGGGGATAAACTTTTAATTTTTCGTTCGCAAGCAATATTTTTACTTTACTTGGGCGACTAGGGAAGTGGTAGTCTGAATCCCTGATACTTTCAACGTCCTCGCAAGGAGTTTGACAGAAAAGGAAGATATTTATATCCATGTAAAATGAAGTGTTCATTTTATTGTTTTTGTTTTTAGATTAGAAAACAGGCTATCAAGGATCTGCCAACGCTCTGTAAGGTGAATGCGGAACATGTACCGAAGATTGCTGAGGCTTTAACACAGCTGTTACAATGTGATGATCCTTTGGAGCTAGGGCTTATACACTGCGCTCTTAATCAGCTGTTTACAATCAATGCAAAAAGTATACCTTTCATCTTGTTGAAATGATCTCTGGCCTTATCCTACTGAATTTCTAAAGTGGACTTGCCAAAATCCTATATCAAAGTTGACCTAATTTCTTCATTTATAATTTGGTACTGTAAGTGTTGTAAGATTAATCAAAGTTGAACACCTCTAGATATTTTTCTTTATTTACTGTAAATGATGTTGGTTTTCCTTCAAGTTGCAGTATTAACATGAAAAACATGCACAGTAATAACTTCTAGAACAATTGTTTATATACAGGTATATGTCTTTTATATTTAAGTATTGACCACTCTTCTACCTTTGAATGAAGTTAGGGGTTAGTTTAGTCAAGGTCACTAGTGCTAAAAGTAGATTTTTTACACATACCCATACAGCCTATATTATTCCCCTACCTGTTTAACCCAGGGGACTTTAGTTAACCATTTGTCTGTCCATCCATCCACAAAAAAGCATGAAAAACGAATTCTTACACATCATATGTCATAATGATGTCTTATAAACCAAACAACCTCAGGAAAATTACCTCTATGCTCAATGTAGTTTAAAATATTTTTATCAATTCTCTTTTTTTATCAGCTTTGCCACAGGAGTCACTTAGTTAATATAGTTTTGTATTGGAAAACACATTTAAATTCTTTTTTTTGTATAACTACAATACCTAGAAGTTAAGAAGTTAAGAAGTTTGATATATAGCATTGCTCTGTTGGCCTGTACAAAACTGCTATTAATCATGCCCCTTGGGTCAATATTGGCCTGCCCCTGGGGTCACTTAGTTGATTTCAGTCTTATTTTAGGAATGTACTATCCTATGACTTATATATTGCCCTGCCTTTGTGATGCTCTTGTTTTAGTTAGGCAGTTTTAAAGTTTATTCTTAACATTTGTCATCAATGCAGAGATCGGGAAGGTCCCGCAACCTGCGACATAGTCCCATTAAAATGATTTTAGTCGCATTGATAAGCCTGCAGATACGACATTAGGTTGCATGAATAAACAATGAGGAGACAAGTAATTTCTAAAATGCAAATTTTACCTGCAAGAAATTCAGCGAAAGCATGAAAGCCTTACTGTTTGTCAAACAATTAGCCGCATCAAATAAATTTCAAAGTGACAAATTTCTTTGCTCCGCCTACAGGTACACTAGGCGGGACTAATTATCTGCATTAAACAGATTAAGCCAATTATCTGCAAACACCATGAGGTACAGTATCTACGAGTTAGGACCGTCAATTTTTTATGCTTTTCTGTTTGAAATATCGTTAATATTCTGTCGATTTTAATAGGAAAGCAAGGCAGTCAGTTTTTAAATGTCCAAAATAATTTTCAAAAGTTTAGATTTTCCATTCATTTATAGTTATTAAAGCATTGCATTCTTCCTTGATAATTAAAAGATTGTTTGCTGTTTCCGTCAGACACATTCAAAACCCGTCAGTCAAAAAAAATATTAAATTAAAAGGTTCATTAATTTTCTTAGTATCTTCATTCCTTAACAAATATAATCCAAACCTTTTTGTGTTTAAAATCATGTTTGGTAACTTCAAACTTTATCCACAGAAAAAAACAATGTGTTCTATTTATAGTTGCATGCGGTAAATCTAGGTCATCATAATTTGCCTTTGAAAACTTAACAATAACAAAGTGAAACATGAGCTGAAGTGATGTTTATTTCGTCACTACAATAATTGACAGGTCACTAGCCAATCAGATATCTGAACTGCATGACTTCTGTAAGCTGCGAGTCCCTTTGATGTAGAGTTGTCAAAAAAAGACAACAATGAATGCTACTTAAGAGCCATTCAGTGCAAATAAAAAATGGACATTACACATTACGTCATATATTACTTGATATGTTATGGAAAGGTACTTATAAAGTATTTGATTAATTTTAATGATGGTCCTTTTTACCTTATTTATCTTCAGCAAATAAACAAACTGCTTGACACCAAAAAATAACAACAACAAATATAATGTATATTAAACCATGATGTTCATTCAAATAGGACCAAATTATTTTAATTTTTTCTGCAATTGTTGATGAAATTTACCTACCTACCTACTTACCCAATTGAAAATGGCCTGTAAGAAGTGGCAAACAAGTACATTGTAGCTAATTTTTCCAGGGTGATTTTATGTTGCATGAGAAACAGATACATATTGAATGTGTCCAGAAGAATACATATATTTTAATTAAAATTCAATATTTTATATTTTTTTTTCCAAATAACAAATCTTTAAAACTTTGTTTAAAAGTGTCTTTTACACGTGCAGCTACATTTTACTTGTCATAAAAGAAATCAAAATACACATTTTAGACCTTTATCTGTACTTTATAATCATTAAGAAAAACATGTCTCATTAGTTTTGAACAATGTCTCATAACTTTTAAAAATGTCTCATAAGTTTTCTAACAGGTGGAGACATAGTCTCATTTGCAAAATTTCTTTCCTGATCTCTGTCAATGATTATTGGTCAATCACCATAATCATTATAATAGTCGATTGTCTGAGATACATAGCTAATTAGGCTTAATTTGACAGCTAAAATATAAGTATAATGTAACATAAATGTTTGTTTTATTTTCCAACAGGTGTTTTAAATGGAATATTTACTCAAATACACGGAGATGATGACAGGGTCAGAGATAATGCTATAAAATTTTTGTTTATAAACTTGAGAAAGTTGCCAGAGGATACATTAAACAAAGAATGTCAAGACTATATTACAGACGAGTGCAAGAAGGTCAGTTTATAAAAGTTTCAAAGAGGTTATATTCTTCACAATTCTAAGAAATATAATTGCATTTTGTGTCGACTGCTACAAAAGAAGACATTGGTTTGAATTACTCATGGGATTAAGGTCACTTACTGAAAAAAGAAATTTGATTTCCAAGCAGTAACTAGAGTTAGGAATAAGATAAATGTAATCAAACATAATATAACAAGCATATATGAATGTGCCAGTTGGGAATGCTTTTGAACCAATTTGGGTCAAGGTCACTGTTATTAAACATAGAAAAATGGTTTATGGATGATAAGTATTAAGTAGTTAGCATTTGAGATATTGTTATCAAATTTGGTATATGTGATATGAAGAACTCGAAAAGTACTGAAAATATTTTTATGAAGCTTGAAATATGGATAGATGGCAGTATGAAGATTTTGCACATCATTTTAAGCTCGATATTACCCCGCATCAGAGTCTGCATCCAGATTCGTGATTAATTTTTCACTATAACTTCTTTATTTCTTTAGGTATTTATTTCAAACCTCAAATATATGTTTCTGATGTACAGCAGCATCATATGTGACAAAAGTTCACAACTATAGCACAAAAATTATCAGAAATAACCCAGAATCAATACATTTGTAAGAAGATGTAATACTCCTGCTTGACTATTTCCAGAAGTATGTCCCCCTTGAACTTAGATTTTTTAGCTCACCTGAGCTCCCGTTGAATGTCCGTCTTCCGTCCACACTTGTTCGTTAAAACTCTAGCGGTCACATTTTTGCCTCAATCATCATCAAACTTTGTCAGGATGCATGTCTAGGTAAAAGCTCGGATAAGCTCGAACATGGGTCATCTTGGATGAAAAACTAGGTCACAGGAGACTAAAATAGAAAAGCCTTGTTAACACTCTAGTGGTCACATTTTTTACTCAATTATCATCAAACTTGGTCAGGATGCTTGTCTAGGTCATTGCTCGGATGAGTTCGAAAATGGGTCATCTTGTATCACAGGAGCTAAAAATAGAAAAATCTTTTTAACACTCTAGTGGCTACTGTTTTGATCCAAATATCCTGGAAATTGGATATCCTGGAAATTGGTCTGAAGGTTTGTTTTGGTAATTTCTAGGTCAAGTTTGAATATGGGTCACCTGGGGTCAAAAACTAGGTCCCAAATATGGAAAAACCTTGTTAACACTCTGGTGGTCAAATTTTTGACTCATTTGTAATCAAACTTGGTCAGAATACTTGTCTAGGTAATTGCTTGGATGAGTTCGATGGGTCAGGTGAGCGATCTTGGCCCTCTTGTTTTTGACAAATTACTAATTTTTACTTCTTTATTATGCTCCCCGAAGGGAAAGCTTATAGTCGCCACCTTGTCCGTCTGTCCGTCCTTCCGCACTCACAGGACAGTAATTATGTGGCTAGAGGGACAATAGGTAACTGTTCTTTCTCTTTGATGTCATTCATTCGGTAATGCTTTTATGTGGCTATTTTCTTTTGTGTGGCTAAAAAAAACAATAGAGAAAACAATAGAGTAGCCATATTATTGCTCTCCTGTTAGAACATCTGTCTGTCCGTCTGTCTTTTCTGTCAGTCCGTTGTCTTGTCCGGAGCATAACTTGAAAACCCTTGGAGATCATTTTTTTAAAATTCATACAGTGGTAGAGGGCATTGAGGGGGAGTGCAGTGTCAAAGAACCATAACTCTATTTTGCCCGGTTTTTTAATTATCTCCCCTTTTAGAAAAATCTTGTCCGGGACATAACTCTAAAACTATAAAAACTATAAGAGATATCAACATGAAACTTTGTAGGTAAATAGATCTCAATGGGTAGATGTGCAGTGCACAAGAACCATAACTCTATTTTGCTTGTTTTTGAATTATCTCTACTTTTAGAAAAAAAAGAACTTGGAACTTTTTAAACAAATTTACTTAAAATACAGAAAAAACTATAGGTTAAAAGATTGGGAGGGGGGAACAACACATCAAAAACACAAGATCGGTTTATATGTTTAATATCACTACCGGTTTCGGGTAAGATATACCCTTCATCAGGTTATACATTGTAAAAGATAGTTTTGCTTATCTGTTGTATAAACATCAGGGAAACTTAACACATTACTATGATACAGACAAACTAAGAACTCTAAAGTAAAGTTCATTCATGTTTTCCACAGTGGCATTATTGAATGGCCATGGCCCTTCAGATGTTGTTGTCATACTTCTTGTAGGGTTCTAACTGGTATGGGACCTTTGTATTGCTTGCAATACTTTGATAATTGCTGGTTTAATGATGTCTTTCATATTTGGTAGTGCTCTTTAACATTTTTGAGTTTGGGATCACTCAGGTTACGGTCAAGGTCACTGTTGAAAAATCAATATTAGCTTGACAGTTCAAAAAATTGTAGGTTTATCCTACTCACCTAGGCCTTGGCGTCTGTATAATACTTTGGTTCAAGTTTTGCATGCAACATCATATCTCATTAACCACTAGAGATATTTGCTTGTAACTTTACCCACTTATTGATGAAGAGTATAATAGAAATTCACTGTCCAAGAACTGTAGAATCACAGAATATTCAGATAAGTAGTAAGAAAGACATAGTCTACTGAACATATTAGAATTTAAATGAAGAAAATTAAATAAAAATTGATAAACATAAACTGTTTTATTTGTAACAAGACGCAATTCCGCAGTTGACAATAGCGAGCACTTTGACGTCATATCAACAATCTGTATTTACAAAATAATGCTGTGGCAGTAAGGCTTACATAACTATATGTTTGCATACCAAAAGTCATCAAGATCTGAAATATTGTCAAATTTCAGTCGGAAAATAGCGAGTTACCTTCAATCGCATCAAGAGATTTGATTCATACTGAATTGATTAAGGTTTCTAGGAGTATTCATACCTGAGCGCAACAATCCTTGGGACAAGTCATTAAAGAAGATCAAAGTGAACTTGACCTTAATTTTACCTTAGTACTTGAGGTCGAATTAGTAAAATTATGGCACCTGTATTCCCAATTCAACTTTGTTGGTGGCATTTTGTAAAAAAGGCTTGAAGTAAAAATTGTCTTTTCTTAAATATTTCGTCACTCTAAGCATGCTCAGAAGGTTAATTATCCCCCGCCGATGGAATCGGGAGGGGGATATAGTTTTAGGCGTTGTCCGTCCGTCCGAATTTCGTTTCCGGAGTAGTTCTCTGCAAAAACTGGCTGGAATTCAACGAAACTTTATGGGAATCATCAATATCAAGAGGAGATGCGCATATCGTCGGCTTGTTCAGGTCCGACCCTTTAACTCAGAGTTATGGCCCTTGATTAGTTATGCAGTATCCATATAGAAAAATCCTCGCTACTTCTCTGCTACTACTGGCTGGAATTCAATGAAACTTTATGGGATACTAAGAGGAGATGTGCATATAGTCGCCTTGTTCCGGTCAGATACTTATAACTAAGATTTATGGCCCTTGATTAGTTATGTAGTATGCATACATCTCATTGGCATTTCCAGATTTTACTATTTAACACAAAGTTATGGCTCTGTTATTGCCCTGAATATTTATCAAGTTCAAAGAATATTACTGTTTATGCCATGATTAATATATAAATAAAGCCTTATGTCTTCATTTGTTGTGTTAATAATAACCAGTACTCGGCGGGGGATATAAATTCAACGAATTTGCTTGTTAAAAACTGGGGTACGGAAAACCTATTGTTTGGTAATGTAAAAAATTTTCATAAGATAGGATGGATATTTGTGAATACTAAATTTGACTTCAAGTTTTTGCTTTTCTTTCAGGTATTACAAGATGTTACAAAGGAAGAGTTTATTTTCATAATGGAAATATTGAAATCATTGTCTAGTATGAACACAGTGATGGGCAGGCAGCAGTTGCTGGAAATAGTCACAGAACAAGCAGAATTGGACCAAACGTTTGAGGTAGGCGTAATAATTGTTTAGCTAGGAAGTTCTCTTTTTAGTCCCCTACCGGTTTAACCGGAGGGGACTTTAGGTTTACCCTCCGTCCGTCTGTCCGTCTGTCTGTCTGTCCGTCTGTCCGTCTGTCTGTCTGTCTGTCAGTCCGTCAGTCCGTCCGTCCACAAAACTGGATCCCGCGATTACTCAAAAAGTACTGAAAATATTTTTATGAAACTTGATATATGGATAGATGGCAGTATGGAGATTATGCACGTCTTTTTTTTTTCTTCCTATGTTGAAAATTCTGGTTGCTATGGCAACAAATAGTCTGAAAATATGGCAAATTTAACACATAAACTGGATCCAGTGATAACTCAAAAAGTACTGAAAATATTTTTATGAAACTTGAAATATGGGTAGATGGCAGTCTGGAGATTATGCACATCTTTTTCTTTTCTTCCTATGTTGAAAATTCTGGTTGCTATGGCAACAAATAGCCTGAATTTCAAGATTTCTGATTTAAATTTTTCAGCATTTTCACTATATGTTCTTTATTTCTTAAGGTGTTTACTTCAAACTTTAAATATAAGTTTCTGGTCATCAACCACATCATATGTGACAAGGTTTATAACTCTAGCACAAAAAATATCAGTATTACCTCCCTTGAACTTAGATTTTTTAGGGGAAAAAATGTTGTCTTTTTTAAATAACTTCTTTATTTCCTAATGTATCTACTTCAAACTTCATGTATATGTTTCTTATTATCACTCGACATTTTTGAGAAGGTTAAATACTCTAGCAAGACTATTTCCAGAATTATGTCCCCCTTGAACTTAGATTTTTTTCGAGAAACTGGTATTTTCACTCCAACTTCTTCATTCTTTATAGGATTTACTTTAAAATCCCACATCGTAATAATATGACAAGGTTGTATAAACATAATTTCCTTACTAAGCATGGAAACTTAACACATTACTGTGATATTGACAAACTTATTTTATTATGTTTTGTGGTTGATATTTTCAAATACAGACTTCATCCTCAAATTCATTATAAATGGCAATACACAGGAGTGTATGACAATTAAAGAACTTTTTGAGGGACCGGTAGGGGACTACTGTATTGCCCGCAATACTATCAAATGCTTGTTATTACTAGTATTATAATCTATTTTCTTTGCAAGCAGCTGTCAGCTACACATAATGCTGTTGAGGTATTGGTTAACTGGTTGAATCAAATTGCCTCAGAAACAATTATTACATTAAAATATCAGAAAGGGTCCTAACAAAAGCATGCATATCATAAACCAGTGCAGGACATTATGTCGAAAGACATTTGATAGAATATGACAAAAGAAGGGACAAATGGCCAAATACGACAAAGTATAGAATGAAAATTTGATAGAAAAGAATATAATGTCAAATATTGTCGAAAAGATGTCGAATTATGTCAAACCCTTAAAAATTACATGAATATAATAACACAAAAGTAGTTGGAAGTAAATGTGTGCAGTTGGTTCATAATTTATTCTAATTCTTTCTTATATGTAATTAAATTGTTTTTAAATGTTCGTTATTTTAAATATACATTCATATTCAGTATCGAAAGTTGTATGCAACTTCTTATAAGGTCTGACATGGGAATCCTTACATAGCATCACTTCTGATATGTTTTCCCTGATTTTTCGTTGTGTCATAGGTTAATATATTTTTCGACCATCTGTTGCTCTGTATCATTTGTCCATTCTTATAATTGTTGTATTCTATAAAGTGTCTTTCGACTAAAGTCATAAACCCATCATAAACAATTAGATTTGTACATGTTTTACAATTTGTAAACAGCCTTTCCTGTATAAGATTAATAATATCATACATTGACATAATATATAAGTTGCCCCTTTCCTGTATAAGATTAATAATATCATATATTGACATAATATATAAGTTGCCCCTTTCCTGTATAAGATTAATAATATCATACATTGACATAATATATAAGTTGCCCCTTTCCTGTATAAGATTAATAATATCATATATTGACATAATATATAAGTTGCCCCTTTCCTGTATAAGATTAATAATATCATATATTGACATAATATATAAGTTGCCCCTTTCCTGTATAAGATTAATAATATCATATATTGACATAATATATAAGTTGCCCCTTTCCTGTATAAGATTAATAATATCATACATTGACATAATATATAAGTTGCCCCTTTCCTGTATAAGATTAATAATATCATATATTGACATAATATATAAGTTGCCATGGGAATTTTTGTCATTTCCCTTGTTTCTAAGTTAGAAGAAGTACAGTATAATGTAAATATTAATGATGTTTAGGACTTGCTGTTGTGTGGTTATGTTTGCTGACTTCAGTTAACTGTCATCTAAATCCTTTTGATTTGTATCTAGTTTGAACCTTGAACTCTGTCCAGTGATTGAGCTATGCTATGTTTACCTGGTTAGTTTACCTGTACGCCGTGATATTTTGAAATCATGCATCTCTCTGTTCAAGATAAAAAAAATCTGAAGGATAGAGATCAGCAAAATTCTGTATTTAAACTAACGTCATACTAATGTGTGTATGTTCTCCACAGGCAGCAGATTCAGATGTTGTAGATAGACTTATGTCATGTGTGAAACAGGCAGCTCCATTATTTTCGGTAAGTAGATTGTTATACCATTTTGCTTTTAAGTGTTTATTCCATCTTTCAATGATCTGTGTTAATGGCTGCCAAACTACAGGCAAATCGTGTGAAGGTCCTAGTGATTCTACTAGCCTGATGCCCTTAAAGTACCTGATATAATACAAGGAAAGGTGTTGAGTAAGAGCTGGAAAGTTTTTCACTGTATCACCAGAACCCCATTTCCAATTCAAATTAACCTCTTTTTCTCAAGCTTAAAGAATTATTTCTAAAAGCATTCCAAAAAAATCAAACTGTAACTTCCGAATTCTGGAACTTCTAAAATCAGGAAACTTCTGAAATCGACCATTTTTCAGGGTCCTGAAATTTCTCCTTCTGTTTTCTATGTAATTGATACCTCTGAATTAGGGAACTTTTAAATTCCAAATGATTTTCTGTTAAAATTTGGGTTATATCCTTTTGTGACTGTATATTTCATTATGTCTTACTTAAACAATTTTAATGTTTTATGTTTCTAATTGTTCAGATATATGTACTTCCAAACTTCTGAATTTTGGACACCTCCGAATTCCAAACTTTCTGGCTAGTCCCACAGGTGTTCGGCAGTATTTTTATTTACATATATTTCTCAAATACAAAATATTACAATTATTAGATCAAATGTTTTTCTTTTAATGACAATCTAGTGAATAACAACTGAAAATTTGATTTTCATATTCATGTAGTGACTGTACAATCCCATCAATTAATGTGCATGTAAACCACCATTTAAAAGGTATTTCAATTTCACACATTCACTGTATTTACATATTTATTACTCCCTTTGCAGATAGTGTAGATAATCTGGTCCTTAATAGTACAGTTTATGTGCTGTTCATTATTGATTTGCTTATCAGGTCATGTTGTGTAGGTGGCTAAGTGGGACTGGATGTAAATGGTTTTTTTTTATAGATTTCACAATTGTTCAGATGTGTAACATAATTGTCTTTCTTTTTCAGAAAAATGTACATTCTAAAGTGTTTGTGAATTACATGTGTAATAATGTGTTACCAGGACTTAGTTCCATGTCAAACCCAGAAGATAGAGTAGACAATAAACTTGACATGTTAAAATTACTTGCAGAAATCTCAGATTTTAATGGATTTAGTCAGGAGGATGTGCTAAAGCCATTGAGTCACGTTTTCACCCGCTTAATTGTAAGTATGATTGTATTTTTATAGCGATTCACCTCTGTGTATGTGTGTGTGTTTGTGTGTGTGTTATATAGATTATATAGTGAACTTAAAAAATCTTCTTGTGAAAAACCACTAGTCCAATTTCAACCAAACTTGGCAGGATTGTTCATTGGGTGAAGGGGTTCCAAAGTTGTTCAAAGAATTTCATTCCATGCAGAAATCTGGTTGCCATGGCAACCAAAAGGAATTATAAGAATAAATTAAAAAAAATCTTCTTGTAAAGACCCAAAAGGCCTAGAGCTTAGATATTTTGCATAAGGCATTGTCTGGTAGATCTCTAGCAAGATTGTTCAAATTATAGCCCTGGGGTCAAAATTGGCCCCGCCCCGGGGGTCATTGATTTTCACTATGTACATATAGTAAAAACTTAAAATACGTTCTTGTAAAAACCCAAAAGGCCTAGAGCTTAGATATTTTGCATAAGGCATCATCTGGTAGACCCTTACCAAGAGTGTTCAAATTATAGCCCTTGAGTCAAAATCAGCCTCGCCCCGGGGTCATTGGTTTTCGCTATATGTACATATAGTAAAAACTAAAAACACCTTTTTGTAAAGACCCAAAAGGCCTAGAGCTTAGATATTTTGCATAAGGCATTGTCTGGTAGACCTCTACCCAGATTGTTCAAATTATAGCCCTGGGGTCAAAATCGGCCTGCCCCAGGGGTCATTGGCTTTCCTTATATGTATATAGTAAAGACTTAAAAAAAATTCTTCTAGCAATTGACAAATGCTAGAGGTTAGATATTTTGCATGAAAAATTGTGTTGTAAAACTCTAGCAAGATTGTTCAAATTATAGCCCTGGGGTCAAAATTGCCCCCGCCCTGGGGGTCATTGATTTCAATATATACATATAGTAAAAAATAAAAAAATCTTATTATCTGAAGGTACAAGGCTTAGAGCTTTAATATTTGTTAAATAATATCATCTAAAGGTACTCTACCATAGTTGTTCAAATTTTGCCTCTTGTGTCAAAATTAGCCCTGCCCCTGGGAGCCATAGGTTTATATTATATGTATATAGTTAAAACTTAAAAATCATCTTCTCTAAATTTACAAAGGATAGATTTAAGATATTTTGCATGAAACATTGTGTAGTGAACCTCTAGCAAGATTGTTCAAATTATAGCCCTAGGGTAAAAATTGGTTCCGCCCCGGGGGTCATTGATTTTCATTATGTACATAAAGTGAAAAAAAAAATTTGTCTGAAGGTTCAAGGCATAGAGCTTTGATGTTTGATATATAATATCATTTATAGGTCCTCTACCAGAGTTGTTCAAATGTCAAAAATTGGCCCTGCCAGGGGGCAGTGATTCTCATTATGTACACATAGTCAAAACAGAAAATAAAACAAATGTTTTCTGAATGGGAGAAAGCTATAGCTTAGATATTTGACTTGAAATGTTGTTTAGTGGACCTGTATCAAGATTGTTATTAAACCCTTGGGTCAAAGTTATGCCTTGCCCAAGGGGACAGTGACCTACTTTCTTATCCTTTGATGTACAGCAATGACATTTTGACCATGTGCACAGTTTTAGTTGTAAAATTGAACTTTGACCTAGATTTTGATGATGTGACCTACTTTCTTGTCCTTTGATGTACAGCTATGAAATTTAAACCATGCGGTGGCATAGCATTTTTCTCAAATGCAATCTTGTTTTCATAATAGAAAGAGCATCGAAACACGAGGCTATCTGATTTGTACGAGGGGCATCCCCAAGTAATAATCAGATTGATTAGTGTTTTGATGTTTTTTCTCTTTTGTATCATAGTCAAACACCTGTTGTCATAATATGAAACCCCAGAAAAAAGTAACCAATGAACGAGCATCTGAATATGATATTTCTATCGTTTTCCCTTTCTCTGCCATCACAATAAGAAAACCGCAGCAAAAATGAGCCAATCAATGGGCATGCCCTGGAGTTCGGGTAACTAATACCTGCACTCGAGTTAAAGCACTGTGCATGTTTATGTATACGATTTAACTCGGACACATTTTCAACAGAAATGTCTCCAAACTATGATACAATTTATTTTTGGAAAATTATTCACTATCAAAACAGTATAATTTTTGAGCTGTGTTGAACTGTTCATCTATATATAAGAACTATATTTCCATACTTGTAACTTATTCAGATGACAACCTTACACATAATTCCCTTATTTTGATAGAAACACTTTGGATATAAGTGATCCAAGATTATACATTATTTTTCCACGTTTATTTTGACTTATGTAGTATTGATGGTTTATATTATTATAAAGGAGTACATGCCATTACCACCAGCAGAGGTAGAATCAGACGCAGATCTTGACGAGGAGCCAAAACTTCAGTTTTCCTATGTCGAATGTTTAATGTACACATTTCATCAGCTGGGACGAAAATACCCTGAATTCCTAACATCAGAAGATGCTGCAGAAAGATTAAAAGATTTTAGATTAAGGTTTGAAAATTAAGAGCATGCTCATGGTTATCATTTTGTTTACATATTTTGTATCATTTAGGGCTTTAGCAATACAGCTACCTTTTAGAACAGTGCAGTTTCATTAATTCGGTTTTGATGGTAGTACAATATAGTTAAGCACAAGGACGAAATGTTTTAAACTGTTTAAATTTCTTTGTCTTTACAAAAAAAACAACAACTCATAAATAAACATTGAAGATAAAATACATGCTGTCGGACTTTTTAATGCTTGTTTGTCTTAAGTAGAAATAGAAATACTTTTTAGCTCACCTGTCACAAAGTGACATGGTGAGCTTTTGTGATCGCTTTTCGTCATGCGTCAGTCCGTCTGGCGTCGGGCCGTTAACTTTTACTTCAAACGACATCTCCTCAAAAACCACTAAGTCAATTTCATCCAAACTTCACAGGAATGATCCTTTGGTAGTCAATTAAAGCAGAACTCTGGTTGCCATGGCAACCAAAAGAAAAAACTTTAAATAGCTTAAAAACCGAAAGAGCTAGAGCTTAAGTATTTGGCATGAAACATCATCTAGTCATTGTCTACCATGTTTGTTAAAAAAAAATGCCCTTGGGTCAAAATTGGCCCCGCTCTGGGGGGCTCATTGATTTTCCTTATTTGTATATAGTAAAAACTTAAAAAATCTTCTTTTAAAAACCCAAATAGCTAGAGCTTAGATATTAAGCGTGAAACATCCTCTAGTTGGTGTCTACCAAATTTGTTCAAATAAAAGTCCTGGGGTAAAAATTGGCCCCGCCCCAGGGGTCATTGATTTTCCTTATTTGCATAAAGTAAAAACTTAAAAAATCCTCTTTTAAAAAACCAAAATAGCTAGAGCATGAAACATATTCTAGTGGGTGTCTACCAAGTTTGCCCCAGGGGTCATTGTTTTCCTCTTTATGTATGTAGTAAAAACTTAAAAAATCTTCTTTTAAAAACCCCAAATAGCTAGAGCTCAGATATTTAGCATGAAACATCTTCTAATGGGTGTCTACCAAGTTTGTTCAAATAAAAGCCCTTGGGTAAAAATTGGCCCCGCCCCGGGGTCATTGATTTTCCTTATATGTGTATAGTAATTTTAACTTAAACAATCTTCTTATTAAAAACCCAAAGAGCTAGAGTTTAGATACTAAGCATGAAATATCTTCTAGTGAGTGTCTACCAAGTTTGTTCAAATAAAAGCCCTGGGATCAAAATTGGCCCCTCCGAGGGTGGGGGGGTCATTGTTTTTCCCTATATGTATATAGTAAAAACTTAAAAAATCTTCTTATAAAATCCCCAAAGAGCTAGAGCTTAGATATTTATCATGAAACATCTTCTAATGGGTGTCTACCAAGTTTGTTCAAATAAAAGCCCCTGGTTTAAAATTGGCCTTGGCCCAGGGATCTATATACAGGTGAGCCATTTCAGGGCCATCATGGCCCTCTTGTTTATAATGGACACAGAAATGATCAGAGTAATATGTTTTTTATCATTGAAGGACTTTCACCAAAAACAATGGTTCATATATAGTAGTTGGTCAGGTATATCAAGTGTAAATTTTAACATTTCATGCCATGCAATAACTTTCATTTTCATGTAAATAATGTACATTTCAATTTCAGGTTACAGTATTTTGCAAGAGGAGTACAGATTTATATAAAACAGTTGCGGCAAGATTTACAAGGAAAGACAGGTGATGCTCTTAAAACAGAAGAGGTAACAAATATTTTACAAATGTTCATCTTAAAATCATCATTGTATATCTAATAAATATGTGTGTACTGGTATATTTAAGCAATTATAGTAGATGAAGATTGTGTAACTACGTGTAGGAACAAATCAAAAAATAATATTGTTAAAAAGAAAGTTGGATCATGTGCCAAAGAAAAGTTTTGTTAGCATATGTCATAGAAAATACTTATTGTCAAATTGTCACACACAAAATATTCAGCTGCAAAGTTTTTGTAGTTCCTAGTTTTTAGCTCAACTTCTTTGAAGAAAGTGTTGACCTATTGTTACAGTTATGTTGTTGCCGCCATCAAGAAACTTTTAAGTTGGCCATTCCTTTTTATGCCTCCTAAAATAGGGAGGCATATAGTTTTTGTAGTGTGTTTCTGTCGGTCGAACTTTATCCAGTCCATAATTTTGTCATTTATGGAAGGATTTTAAAGTAATTTTGTATAAATGTGAAGCACATTGGGAAAATTGTCATGTGCAAGATCTAGGTCTAAATGAAGCTCAAAGGTCAAGGTCACACTCTGACTTTTAAGGAAATTTTTAATGTAAATGCACTGATGTTCATGTCTGGTCAACAATTCTATCATTGGTGGATGGATTTTAAAAATCATTATGCATAAATGTGTTGGACATAATGATGACTTGTCGCCAACAAGAATTGGGTCCCTTTCTCAAGGTCAAGGTCACACTTGCAGATCAAAATTCATGATATGATTTTGATAAAAGTATACTGTTGTTCATGTTTGGTCAACAATTTTTTCATTCCTAGATGGGTTTTAAAATGATTATGCGCAAATATGTTGGACTTAATGACATGTGACACAAAGCTTTGAAAGAAGAAACATGTACATCCTCAACAAACTTCAAAGCACCTCTTTTAGCATAGGATCTGAGATTGGCAAAAAATTTACAAGGGGTAATGTATATTCTAGAGTGTTGTGGCATTTTACTATTTATTCCACTGTTTGACAGTATTTGACTAAGTACTGAAAAATTCATGTTATATTTATATATTTCAGAGTAAGTTAAAGGTATGCGCACTCAAAGTCACATCTAACATCAACAGTCTTATCAAAGATCTGTTCCACAATCCACCATCATACAAATGCATGGTCACGTTGTCATGGAGACCAGCAGTAAGTTTATTTACATAGCTTATCAAATGTACTTTACAGCTCTTAGCCTGCTAGTGGCAACTGATTCTACCCATGTCACTAGGGCAGACCAAGATCAGCTGGCACTGTTCTCTTCTTATTCAATACATATTTTGTAACTTTTGGGGGAAAAAATGATGCTACAGTGGAATATAGCCATTCACATGTTTGAATGAGAGTGAATGTCTGTGTGTCTGTGTCTTTTTGTTTGTTTGTGCTCCTGTTACATAGATTATATAGTGAACTTAAAAAAAATCTTCTTAAAAACCACAGGTCCAATTTCAACCAAATTTGCCAGGATTGTTTCTTGGATGAAGGGCTTCATAAGTTTTTTGTTCAAAGAATTTGATTCCATGCAAAAATCTGGTAGCAGTGGCAACCAAAAGGAATAATAGGAAGAAACTTACAAAATCTCCTCTATAACCACAATGCATAGAGAATAGATATTTTTGCACAAGGCATTGTCTTGTTGACCTCTACCACAATTTTTCCAATTATAACCCTAGGGTTAAATTTGACCCCATCTCTGGGTTATGTGTTTTCCTAAGTAAAACTTAAAAAAAACACTTTCTTCTTTAAAACTAAAAAAATGTATTGGCACAAATTTCATTTTCAACAAAAACTATGCAAGTAATTGGAAAAATAGGATTTTAAAGTGGCCACCGAGATTTCCTTTCCATAATCACTTGGCAATGCTACATGCCAAATATCTAATATATAAAGCATATTGTAAAGATTAAACAAGTTTTCTCCTCCAAAACTACAGGGGCTGTAGCTTAGATATTTGGCATGAAATGTTATCTGCTGGACCTCTAACATGACTGTTCAAATTATAGCATGGGGTCAAATTGGCCCCACCCTAGGGGCCACTACATAAATACAGTAAATATAAATAGTATCACTTTGTGGTCTTCTACAAGAATTTTTTAAATCATATCCCAGTGCTAAAAAATAGCCATACCCTAGGCATCACTTAATTTACCTAGGCTTATATTGAAAAAAACATTTAAGTTTTATTTTGTGTAATTGCAATGCGCAGAGCTTAGATATTTGGCATGTAGCATTGCCAAGTGAACAAAATATATGAATCATGCCCTTGGGGGTCACTTTGTTTATATAGACTTTACTTTGTTTATATAGACTTGTATAGTAATAATGTCTTGAAAGACTTCTCAGATGTCTAGAGCTTAGATATTTTGTATGTAGCATTGCCAAGTGGACCTATACAACAAGCCCCTGAGATCAAAATGGAACAGCCCTGGGAGTGACTTAGTTTACATAGACTTGTATATAGTAAAAAATGTCTTCAAAATGTTTCTGCTTTAAAGGAACAATGCCAAGAGTTTAGATTTTTGGCACATAGCACCACCTTGTGGTCCTCCACAAAATTAACATAAATCTTGACCCTTGGATCAAAATTTGGCATTATACATAGGCATGTCCATGTAATTGTCCAAGTAGACCATATCCCTTGGTGAGCGATTAAGGGCCATCATGGCCATCTTGTTTTATTTTACAAAAGTTGTGTATTCTTGGTTACTCATTGGACAAATACCTTCTTTTTCTTTAGGAGCTTCTTAGCAAATATGATTTAGCATTTTGTATGCAAGTGAAAATACTACTTTGTTTACATTTTGATACTTTGATGACAAATTATTTGACATTTAGCACTACTTCTCTCTAGTACCAAGCATCTAACATGCTCTGAAAATTATTTTAAAATTATAAAACTCATGCTTGCTGTTTGTTTCTTAAAGAGTACAAATGTGCGTTTAAAGTATTATTTTACCTATTTGGAATTGTTTTCCAAGTGAAAACAATGATGTAGTTTTCATACTATTACATTAACTTAATATAATTATATACTGATTTATTATTGTACCATTCCTTGAGATGTGAAACATTCATTTCTTTATGTTTTATCTACAGACGAAAACTGTAACATCACCTGGAGGGGGAACCACTCAAACTGCGTAAGTTTGTAACCTTTTTATGCTTTTAGAACAAGAAATGGATATGATCTGCCAATGAAAATATTGTTAATTGTCAGTGGAAAGTCAAACTGGCATCTTTTAGGAATTTTCTATTATCCAGCAATGGAAAGAAATTTTTAAGTATAATAAAATTTACTAGTTGACCCCTTCAGTCATGAGATATTTTTCACACATTTTCTAGCTGTGATGATGATTGTTGAAAGATTTGTAAGACAGGTGTTAATTACACGTTTGTGTGATGTAACAGCCTATGTGTGAGAATATAAACATTTTAATTGCGGTAGTAGTATTTGAAAATAAACATTAATTTTAGTTCCGTTTTAGATTTTCCAAGATCCAATGTAATGTGATAATTACAGTAAACGCTAAATGTTTGCCCTTATTTTTGCTGTAGCGTACACTTGCCCCCTGTTTTAAAGATTTGAATATACTTAATTGATTGTTTCCATGGAAAAACACAGAAATGATGAAATTGGCGTGTTACTTTCAAAATAATTTCCTAAAAATCATTATTACAAAACCCTAGAGACAAAATGTTTATGATTCTTCCAATAAATAATGTTTAAAGTATTCTTTAACAATTTTATTTGTGTACTAGTATGTTATAACCATTAAGGATAATTAATTTAATGTAGAAACCCTACATATATGATAAAGTATTCTTTAACAATTTTATTTGTATAATCATTAAGGATAATGCATTTTATAAAACCAACACATGTTTACTGAACAAACTGCTGATAAATATCAGCCTTTCAATCTTTATAATTCAGGGGGGAAAATGTCCGCCCTTAAAATATTTTCAGGGTGTGGGCAAATGCCAGCCCTTTCAAAACATACCTGGAGGCAAATGTCTGCAACTGTAAATAAGTGGTGCAAACATCCAGGGGCAAATGTCCTAGAATCAATAATCACTCAGGTTATTGTTTACCATAAGCTTGTTAAATTTCAGTGAATCACTTTAAAACAGCAACAGCTCAAAATTTTCTCATTTGAAATTGTGGGGGAAACACAAGTCTAAATCCTGATATCTTGAAATTTATACACAAGTCCCTTCAACTTCCATTTTGGAAAGTTTTTACTGTGCTTTTGGAACACTCAGCAGAATAATTTCATCACAAACCTGTGCTACTTTTTCAACTCCATAAATATTGTATGGGAAAACTGTATTTATATTTTGATGTGACATCATATGCATACACAAAGGATTATTTTGACTGTAAACTGTACTTATTTTAGATATACTTTGACAAATAGAATATCTCAGTTGTATAGCTGTATCACTAAATTTATTGAACTTGTGAAATAAGATAATATTATTCATCTTGTTCAACCAGAAATTGAATGAACACTCATTCAATATCCTCTGTTTCTGATGTGTTAATTTTATTAACAGGCAGAAGAGATTTACTCCAATAACATATGAAGGGGCTGCCAATGGGGCTTCAAATCCAAAGAAAACAAACAGGGAAGCCAGACAGTTGTATGCACCACCTAGCGGCAAATTTAGCGAGAAAGCTGGTTCTTATGTAGTCGGACAGAGAGGAAGGGGTGGAGGTGGTCGCGGTGGAGGGCGGGGTAGGGGCTTCAGAGGGGGCAGAGGAAATCGATTTTAACGAGACAAAAGGAAAACAGTACAAAAGAAATATGTTATGGATGCTATTGATTTGGCTGTGATTTTATGTAAAAGGGCATGCAGATTTAATGGCATTTTAAGTGGATAATAGAATGCTATGTACTTGTTAAACAAAAATGCCTGGGCTTTAGAATAAGTTTTAAAATAAAAAATCAGAAAGAAAAACATTCTTAATGTAGTGAATTGAACTGGAGATAGTGAGGGGGGGGGGGGATTATTTCAAATTTCTGATATATTAACTATCCTATTTTACAAAGATTTCTCGTAAAGAAAAGATTCCTGTAATTAAAGTTCTTTTTATCAATTGAAAAAATCAAAGAAGCATAAATTATGTGTGAAATGTAAAAAGGTTTGATTTACAAATTATCAAGATTTGTCATTGAATGTTTTTGATAAAAAAAAAGTAAAATAGTACTTGTAGTGTTTTTTTGGACATTTTTCAATGGTAATAATAATGGGAAGTTGATCCTTTTGCAGAACAGTCTTGACACTACATTCCATCAAACCAAGCCTTTACCATTTATAATTATTACAAGTTATATGTATACTGTCAAATCACTTTTGCTTTAATGTTACATAATTTGTAAAAGAAATGAAGCTGGATCTCAGACATTGATTTTTATGCCACCGCAGCATCTGCGATGCGGTGGCATATAGCGATTCACCTGTGTGTGTGTGTGTTTGTTTGTGTGTGTGTGTGTTATATAGATTATATAGTGAACTTAAAAAATCTTCTTGTGAAAAACCACTAGTCCAATTTCAACTAAACTTGGCAGGATTGATCCTTGGGTGAAGGGCTTCCAAAGTTGTTCAAAGAATTTCATTCCATGCAGAAATCTGGTTGCATGTGTGTTTGTTTGTGTGTGTGTGTGTTATATAGATTATATAGTGAACTTAAAAAATCTTCTTGTGAAAAACCACTAGTCCAATTTCAACTAAACTTGGCAGGATTGATCCTTGGGTGAAGGGCTTCCAAAGTTGTTCAAAGAATTTCATTCCATGCAGAAATCTGGTTGCCATGGCAACCAAAAGGAATTATAAGAATAAATTTAAAAAATCTTCTTGTAAAGACCCAAAAGGCCTAGAGCTTAGATATTTTGCATAAGGCATTGTCTGGTAGACCTCTACCAAGATTGTTCAAATTATAGCCCTGGGGTCAAAATAGGCCCCGCCCCAGGGGTCATTGATTTTCACTATATGTACATATAGTAAAAACTTAAAATACCTTCTTGTAAAGACCCAAAAGGCCTAGAGCTTAGATATCTTGCATAAGGCATTGTCTGGTTGACCTCTACCCAGATTGTTCAAATTATAGCCCTGGGGTCAAAATCTGCCCCGCCCCAGGGGTCATTGGTTTTCCTTATATGTATATAGTAAAAACTTATAGTAAAACTTAGAAAAAATTTCTTCTATCAGTTGACAAATGCTAAAGGTTAGATATTTTGCATGAAACATTGAGAAGTGAACTTCTAGCAAAGTTGTTCAAATTATAGCCCTGGGGTCAAAATTGCCCGCGCCCCGGGGGGTCATTGATTTTCAATATATACATAATAGTAAAAAAGTCAAAAAATCTTATCATCTGAAGGTACAAGGCTTAGAGCTTTAATATTTGTTAAATGATATCATCTATAGGTACTCTACCAAAGTTGTTCAAATTTTGTCTCTAGTGTCAAAATTAGCCCCGCCCTGGGAGCCATAGGTTTTCCTTATATGTATATAGTAAAAACTTAAAAAATCATCTTCTCTTAATTTACAAATGCTAGAGTTAAGATATTTTGCATGAAACATTGTGTAGTGAACCTCTATAATGATTGTACAAATTATAGCCCTGGGGTCAAAATTGGCCCCATCCCCAGGGGTCATTGATTTTCACTATGTACATATAGTAAAAAATTCTAAAATCTTCTTGTCTGAAGGTACAAGGCTTAGAGCTTTGATATTTGATATATTATATCATCTATGGGTCCTCTACAAAAGTTGTTTTAATTATGCCCCTAGTGTTAAAATTGCCCTGCTCCAGAGGCGATAGTTTTCCTTATATGTATAAAGTAAAAACTTGAAAAATTTTCTTCTCTGAATTGAAAAATCTTCTTCTTTGAATTGACATAGGCTAGAGGTTAAATATATGGCATGAGACTTTGCGAAGTGAACCTTTACCAAGATTGTTCAAATTATAGCCCTGGGGTCAAAATTGGTTCCGCCCGGGGGTCATTGATTTTCATTATGTACATATAGTAAAAAAATAAAAAATATTTTTGTCTGAAGGTACAAGACATAGATTTGATGTTTGCTATGTAATATTATCTATAGGTCCTCTTCCAAAGTTGTTCAAATTTTTCCCCTGGTGTCAAAATTGGCCCTGCCCGGGGGCAGTGATTCTCAGTATGTACACATAGTAAAAACAGAAAATAAAACAAATGTTTTCTGAATGGGAGAAAGCTACAGCTTATATATTTGACTTGAAATGTTGTTTGGTGGACCTGTATCAAGATTGTTTTGAATTAAACCCTTGGGTTCAAAATTTTGCCTTGCCCAAGGGGACAGTGACCTACTTTCTTGTCCTTTGATGTACAGCAATGAAATTTTGACCATGTGCACAGTTTTAGTTGTAAAATTGAACTTTGATATCAGGTGACCTAGATTTTGATGATGTGACCTACTTTCTTGTCCTTTGATGTACAGCTATGAAATTTGAACCATGTGCACAGATTAAGATGTAAAGTGAACTTTGATTTCAGCTGACCTAGATTTTGACAAAGTGTCTTACTGTGTTGTCCTTTGATGTAGTCATGAAATTTAGGCTGTGTGAAATATGACCTTCACCACCAAATTCACTAGACTCGCGTGCATTGATATATTCCTACTCTGATCTTTTATTGAGTTAACAACAGATTTAACCACTTATCTGATAATAAGAATTAGATTATTTATAAGGTCAGGGATCTATGCATTATGACAATCTTCAAAATTGTATAGAAACAAAAAAAATCTGTTCCTACACCACTATTTAGTATTGTATTAATGCGGTGGCATAGCATTTTTCTCAAATGCAATCTTGTTTAAGTAATGTATTCTTTTTATTGATTTTTTTTAGACTAATGGTATATGATGAATATTGAAGATAATTGTCATCATAAAATGATGAAATTTTAGGATGTCTTGCAGTAATTAGTTTCAAGATAAGTAGTTTGTTTTAAGCTTACCAGAACAAAGTGTTCATTGGTGAGACTTTGTGATCACAATTTGTCTGGCATCCATTCTGTATTCTCAGTGTGTCATTCATCAACTTCTGCTCTGAAACCACTGAGTTAAGTTTCTTGAAATCTCTGGGATGTTCCTAGCATAAAGCTGTATTAAAATAGATCAATAGTTCTGCTTTATTAGTCCCCTACCGGTTTAATTATGGATTTTCTTCAAATAAACATTCATCATCAAGTAGTTGGAATTCAATACAACTTCATACAATGGTCAAGGGTAGTGAGATGAAGTGCAGTGCACAAGAACCATAACTCTATTTGGACAAATTACAGTTATTGCCCTTTGTTACTTTTTTTGTCCAGTGCATAACTTGAAAACTAGTAGTTGGAATTCAATACAACTTCATACAATGGTCAAGTGCAATGAGAGGAAGTGCAGTGCACAATTAACATAACTCCACAGGGCTCGACATTAACGGTTGTCCGACTGCCCGGGACAACTAAAAGTTTGGTCCGGGCAAGTTATTTTGAAAAGCACTTGTCCGACAGGGCAAGTGAAAATAAAAAGCATCATTGACAAAATGCATGTACAAAATGAATAGAAATAAAATATTTTCATATATAAACACCTTTAAAACAAAAATACACCATGAATCATTATCAATAATGTGAATATACTACGGTCATGTACATTTGTTGATATAGGAAACGGAAGCAAAAATATGAGCATGCGCCGCGGTAAGGTAATTCCCCGTTCTAATAATAGACTATATCTAATTTTGTACAAGGTAATTCCCGGGTCATGCTGTTGTTTAAATTTTGATGTTTGCATGTAAAGATATCATTGAAAATATGTAAATAATCATATTGATCTTTAAATATAATTGTTAAATAAAGTTTTTGCATTTAAAATGATTTATTGTTTAATCTAATATAACAACATTATGGACTTAGTCAACGAAGACTCGTTTACGGCTGTTGACTTGATGATTGAACGGGGAATTACCTTACCGCGGCGCATGCTCATATTTTTGCTTCCGTTTCCTATATCAACAAATGTACATGATCGTAGTATATTCACATTGAATAAACAGATGAACCGATGTTTTAGAAAAACTACTAAATACAAAAAATATTTGTGTCTAACTAACAATCAATTTCATAAACAATATATCCAGTTTATTGCCTTATGTTAACATTACCTAATACAAGAAGTATTAATGTATGAGCTTGTTTGTTTTTCTGGTTTATACATTTTTACCATTTTTAGGTCAGGACAAGTAAGTCTTAGGTCAGGGCAAGCAGTTTCAAAAACTACTTGCCCGACAGGACAACCTGATTCAAAAGTTAATGTCTAGGCCTGCTCCATCTTCAGTATTTGTAGAGTTATTGGCCTCAATGCAACTTCTTACAATGGTCAAGCGCAATGAGAGGAAGTGCAGTGCTCAAGAAGTGCAACTCTTTCTGGACTTATTACAGAGTAATTCAATAAAACTTCATCAATGGTCAACCACATTAAAAGGAAATGCAACATACAAGAAGCACAACTATCTTTAATTGCCCCCAACCATAACTCTATTTCAATTCTTTTGCAAGGTATTCTGTTACTAGTAACTTCCTCATTTCCGAAGCAGTCTTGTGGGGGTATTAATCACATTTAGTGATAGTTCTAGTTTCCTTAACAACCAGAGACTTCCATAGCAAACTTTTATATAGCAAACAGTAACTTTCACAGCAACAAATGGATATTCTATTTCCATAGCAAACATTGACTTCCAAAGAAACCATTGATTTTGTTTAGCAACCAGTGGCTCCTATAGTAACTTCTGATTTCCTTTAACAGTAGCACCCATTTACATGCACATTATTTCAGATTCAAATATGAACTTTGCGATATCAGTTTAAGATTTAGACTTTGTATATGCTTCATTTGTAGCTTACAATAACACTTGTTCCTAGTCATTAGGAGTATTTATAATCAGGTGAGCAATATTAGGACCATCATGGCCCTCTTGTTTTCTTAAAAATACGAACATGTTCTATAAATTTGAATAAAGTTAGAAAGAAGAGATGTTTTATCATGACATATATTTTTGTCTGCAGTCATTGTCACATTGTGAAAATACATTTTTTAATTTCAAAGTATATTGTCTTGTTCATTTTAAGCTCAACTATATGCATTGCTGTCCTGCTCACCCTGGGTCCACGTCCAGATTTCTGATTCAAGTTTTTTGTGGTTAGATATAGTTAAAATAAGTTTTATAACTTGAGAAGCAATATTTCCAGAATTATCTCCTCCACTTTTTTTGTTCTTTTTAAAGGAGACCGTACCATATTAAATGAGAAAAATAAGTAAAACCAGCTTCTTGTTAAAGTTATTTACTTCTATGTACATTTTATAAATACATTTAACAGAATCAGCCGTAGTATTAAATAGTTAAGTCCCAATTTTAAGCACACATATATAAATAAAAAAAAAATCAATTCATCATTTTCACATTTTTTAAGGAAATGAATCTAAGTGACAGAAAGGGAATTGTGCCAGTCATATATAATATACTGACAAATTCTTGTCTTCAAGACCAATTTTCTCTTTATTTCATGATTTATGTTATCTATTACATTTTCTGTTACCCGCACTAACATTTTTCTGTTATCCGCAACTTTTTCTTTTATTCACAACTAACATTTTTCTGTTATCCACAACTTACATTTTCTATTATTCATGGCTGATGAACGTTTTCTGTTATCCACAACTTACATTTTCTATTATTCACTAGGAATGTTAAGTGACAAAAAATAAATACAAACTAAATAAATGATGAATGTAGAAATTTTCAAGTATAAGGACGGAATTAGATATCTTTACATGAACTCTTATTTCATTTGCAATACTCAAATATTAATTTATATCAAATAATCACTGCTGATTAGTTAGTTATATCCGAATTGGAAAAACTGAAATCATAAAAAAATCACAATGTTATAATTATAAAATGGATCTTGCATAAATTGTCATTTCATAGAGACTTAAATTAAACAAGTTTAGAAAACTGCCTTAATGCAAGTCTGTATCACACTTCATTACATTTCTTGGACAAGGAATTTCAGCTTTTTGAAATATCATAGATTATAAGAATAAAAAATGGCAAAATCACCATTTCATGTTCATGTTTAAAATGTTATGTCATGTTGAAAAAAATGTCTTTAAATATCTTTATTCAAAAACTAATCTTAAAGTGATACTACTTGTAAACAATATGGAAAAAACTGAATAAAAAATGTAAAATATTATACGATAGCATCTTTAAATAATCTTCCACTTTGATTTGGAATGGCCCGTAGAATTAATCATGTTAGTTTTTATACAACAACATTTGTGAGTTTGTTTTTGGTTTCTTTGCCAATTCACATCAGTCCTTTCAACCATTAGTATTTTTCTAACCAGATTTAATAACAAGACTAATGATTACTTACAGGCTATACTTAAGCATTAATGTTTTACAAGTATTATCACTTTAAAAATTAACAAGATTGTTGACAAATAAATATAAATCCACTTAAGTTTCACAATATCTACATAAAATAAAATGTGAAACATCTGTTTCTGTAGATTACTATTCTAATACCTTTAAATACAAATGTTACTGGATATCCAGCTCAAAAACAATCTACAATGCAATAAACTACATAAAAAGGTTCACTCTTAATATATTATCACAATTTGTCTAGAGATTCATTATTAACTATCACAATATAAACTGTCTAATATTTAAAAGACCAATCACTACAGCTATAAATGTAACTGGCACAACTTTTGGAACAATGTCTCTGGCACTGTTTGTGTAGTAGAGAAACGGATAGAAGAAATCGTTGGGAATGCGAGCAATAAAGATGGGTGCTTCCCCGGCAAATTTAGAGGCTGGTTGTGATACATCAACAAATGAAACAGTCTGGCTTACTTCAAATGGCTGTGTAAGTGTTTGTGTTTGTGGCTGGCAGAAGGCTCCTTCACACTGTAAGAAAAGAAATTCAGAATTCTAAAATGCCTAGTCTCTTTCACATAACATTTAATTTTTTAATGAATTAAAATAATTTTCATGACTTCAATTTCATGCCATCAAACTAATTGTACAACTACCACAGTTGACACCTGACCAGGATTAAAATATTATAAAACTAATCATACACAAATCAATCATATGATAAATTTTCAGATTTCAAGTTTAATGACATCAAAGGTTCCCCTTCAATAATACATGTAATCATTGAGAAATAGGAGGTGATTGTTTAAGACATCCTAGGAAACCCACGATGCCTGGGAAATGACCAATTCTGACCGCAGCACTAACATTTGAACGGTCCTCCACACAATGTTTCATGCCAAATATCTAACCTCTAGCCTTTTTGGTTAAAGTTGATTTTAAAGACTTCACTATAAATATATAAAGAAAACCCATGACCCTCCAAGGGCAGAGCAAATTTTGACCCCAAGCCTAAAATTTGAACAATTTTGGTAGAGGTCCATAAGAAAATGCCTTGTACTCTAGAATATTTAAAGATTCTTCTTATAATTCCTTTTGGTTGCCATGGCAACCAGATTTAGCGGAAACTCGGCAGAGCCTCATTACCGCTGTAAACAGTTACCCTCGAGCTAGATATTCCGGTCTGTACCGGCATCCGGTGTAAGATTCTTATAATAACAGACACAGAAATACACACACACACTCACTATATCCCACTCAATCACATGGGTGGCATAAAAATGTGCCAACAGATTGGCAAAAAAATAACAAAACAGATGAACAAACAAACATCTGATTTGCAAATCCACAATTGTCAACTACAAGAACAATTTTTAGCAAATAAGCTTTTATAAAAAGAATCTTGGGTGTAAATAATTTGCTTACCCTAAATTTAACATTTTGTAATGAATCGTACAATAGGGCCACACCAATGATCTTGGCCTGAGGGTTAGCTAGAGCCCCTACATTGGCATACAACACTTGTATATGTAAACCCATGCTTAAACTGCAAGTGTCTGTCCCTACTATCTGTAAAAGAAACAACAAATATTTAAAAAACTATGTAAACATTTCAAAATTTTATGTTTTTGAAGCTTCTTTAATGACATATACAGTCGGACAATCATGTGTTACTCACCATCCTGTAAAAACCATATACATACCTATCATTTGGAATCATACCCTCAACTGTAAGTGGCAAGTTATAAGTATGCTGTATGAACCACTCTGCCAAAAAAGGACCACTTAGTTTGATTCATGAATTATATATAAAACAGACTATACTTGCTTGTTTTACAAGCAACTTTTTTAAACTCCAAAATATCAACAACATGTTTTCTTGCTTTCTTAAAGATGATGCACAAAAGAGTTTCATACCTTTGCACTTGAAGGTAAGGGACGATTGCTGGAAATGACCTTGACCCAATCTCCAACCTTTAGTCTGTCAGTGTTGCCAAATGTGGCGACATAACGATTGTTTTCAACCCATGCTGTCTGGTCTTGGTTCAGGCTAGGTACATTTGGACCTTCCAACGTTCTCACTATTGTCTCCTGTATTGTCTGGCATTGCGCAGTACTAATGGTACTTAGATTCAATCTAAAATGTATTTTAATTTGCTAACATTAAACAGCATACAGTAAACTCCACTTATAACAATATCATTTATAACAATATACCATTTATGTCAATGCTGTTTCCGTGATACAAACTTGTTTTCTTGGTTGCCACTTGGTTATGACGATATTAATTTGGCAGTCACCTTAATATTGTTTTAAGCAGAGTTTACTGTAGAGAATAGTCTGGTTATAATGCACAAACGTTCAAATTCATGAGTCTGTATACTGGTGCCATAGGCTTATAATTATTGCAGCCAGTGTTAAGTTTGTGGAATAATCTAAATATTAACTTGTATCACAACAAGTTTTACATTTCTCTCTCACTTTTCTATCTGAGAGATATTTGAGTAAACTTACTGCATTTCAATGAGTAAACATACAGGGTTTTTTTATCATTTAAGAAAAAATGGCATAACAGGAAGAAAATCTTTTACATCAGCAACTATATGATAAAATTGGTACATGGATTAAACATACAGTTGACTCTCGGTAACTCAAAATCCAAGGGACTAGGTATTTTACTTCGAGAGAAACGGAATTCGAGTAACGTGGAACTACCGCCATTACATTGACTTCGTACATGTATATACATGTACCTGATTGAATGTGCAAAGAAGTAGGTTTCTTATTGTTGTTAGCGGCAATGCTGCAATATTTAACCATTGAAATGACGGTAAATCACTTTCAACTACAAATTATAAATGAACAAAAATATATCATTCAAAATTTAATACCTGTATATTAATAGTGAAACATAAACACACAATTATATTTGATTTAATTGATCATCGGACGAAAACAAAATCAACATTTTTAAAGAAATGAATTAAATTTTAATTTAGTTATCTAACTGTTAAAACCAATTAAGTCGTGAAACGGATTAAAGACACTTTTACGACGTGTTAATAATACATGATGACCGGCAATTAAAAATTACTATGAAACGTGTAAATCACGAGTGACAACATCTCACCTTGATGTCGCCGACTTTTGATCAGTCGGCTGTTTTCACACTTCGACTAATTGAGATGAAAATATGTTGGACTTTAATTGACGGGACCAAATTTTCTTTTCGACTAAACAGGAGTCTCGGTAAGTCAAAATTTGACCTAAGCGGAGTTAAAATACAAAGATAAAGAAGGAAATTTGACGGGACTTTAGAAATTATTCGACTAAGGCGGAATTTTGAGTTAAGCGATTTTGACTTATTGAGAGTCAACTGTATTTTGCACAAAGAATAAAGTAACTGACACTAGTGAGGTTTTGCTTGCAACAGTTTTGAGTTATCTGCTCTTGCAAATGACATAGCAGAGCAAACAAAACATAGTTTCTGTACTGTAGGAAACATCTTAAAATTTGTTGTAATTTTGCACCTCCACTGATTCATGTTTAAGGAAATTTAGAAATATTCAAAATACTAAAAATTCTTAAAGTTAATAGCTGACTACAGCTAGTCTATAACACTTTATATTGTAAGGGACTGTGAATGTTTATCAACTTAATTACTTTTAGGACCTTGTAATGAATATATCAGTTGAAAACAGATAATGTTTATGACAATATGAACATCAAACTAGCATAATTTATTGACAAATGAGGTAATACTTTTCAGTCAATGCTTAAAACTTACCTGCCAGGATTTCTGAACTTTACCTGTCAGGATTCCTGAACTTGCCTCAGCCATTCATATTTGCTGATTTTATTTGTTTAGATAATTTTCTGGTAAAGGAAGGAATTAAGACCATGATATAGGACATTCTGAGGCTCTAGGACTATATAAGACACTTTAAGGAGGTTTATACTTCAAGAAATGATTTATTTACTTACTTTGTTTATCCTGGCATCAAAATGGCCGATAAGAGTTGTCTACCTTGATTCAAAACTTTAAATGCATGTATTTTCATAAACATATACAAATACTTACCATTTTACATGCAAGAACATAGAATGTAATCCTTATTTACCTAAGACCTAAGTTACTTTCCAAATAATTAGCTGGCATTGCTGTATTTCATAATAATGTTGATGACCGGTATGACCTCTAAGTTTGTCAGGAGGGAAAATTCAAATTCCTGACACTTGGAATCTTTTTATATCACTAGTTCATTTTTCTGAGCTATAACCATGATTGTTTTTGGTCCAGATCTTAAGTGCATCAAGTTAAGCATGTAATTCAAGTGTTTACTGCATATTTTGTTATTTGTTAACTTTGTTAATTTACATTTTCTAAATTATTCCTGTCAATATGGCTGCCATTTTAAGAAATTCCTGTCTTTCCTGCCAGACTGCCAGGGCAAATGTAATGTTATGATTGGTCAATTGTGACAGTCCTGGCTATTTCAGAGTCTATATAAGTAGCCATGACAGGCTGTGTTCAGTTTGCATTTTGGCTTTAAATCCTGACAGTCGCGAAAACTAGTGACAAGAGCATTTTGTATATTTTCATGGAAACTTCTATTGTTGATCTAGCAAATTTAGTGCTCTTCAGAGTTGAATAAAGAAATTGTGAAATTAACTTTTTATCAATAAAAGTTGTTATTTGAACAGTTTTTGACTTAGCTTACAATTGGTGTCAGAAGTGGGATTAAAAGAACTGTTTACATTTTTCCTGGAATTGACCTTGAACTTGAAGACTTTTATAAAATACCAAAAAGGACTTGTAACTACACAAAAGTTAATCACCATTAAAAAAAAAAATAAAAAAGAAAGAATATAATAATAATGTCAGACTCTGGAAGTGAAATTGTTTTTACAAATACAGAAGAAAATAATATTAGGTCTTCCTCATGTGATGAAGAAAATCGAAATATACAATTAACAGGCCAAATGAGTGACTATGACTCAGAAGCAGGGGGTGACAGAAATAATAGTAGAAGCCCATCACAAGCTCAAAGGCAGAGATATCTTGAAATGCCCAATAATAGAAGTTATTCATTCTCTCCTATACATCATAGAAATGAGAACAATTCAATAACTATGAAGCCAGACCTTTACACAGGTGAAAGTGATTGGGAGATATTTGAGACTCAGTTTGAAGTATGTGCAAAGTTAGGGAACTGGAATCAACGCACAAAGGCTCTTGTTTTGGCAGGCTCTCTTAGAGGGAAGGCACTTGAATTTTATAGTCACCTACCCACTGAAATAAAGGAACACTATGATTTACTTATATCAAGGTTTGAACAGAGGTTTGGTGGTGGAAATCAAAGGTCAAAATGGTTGTCACTATTAAAGGCACGGGTTAAAATCCCAGGTAAAAGTGCATCTCAGTTTGCTAATAACATCCAGCAAATAATAATAAAAGCATATCCTAATCTTTACCCTTGCGCCCAGGAGCTAATAACACTTCACACAATTTACAGAGGCTTAGGTAAAGACCTAAAGTACAAATGTATTGTAAAAAACTGCAAATCAGTTGGGCATGCAGTTGGGATAATCGAAACATTTGAGGGTATCTTTGGTTCTGGTCATAAAGAAATAAATCAGTAATGTCCTAAAGTAGAAAACTTTCCCAACTTGGATAAGAAAGCTTAAAACACAAGTGGGAAGTGAAAACATAATTTTATGGACTACTAAAATTGTTAAACTTTATTATTGGTTATATTTGAAGTTAACTGTTGATTTGTTATAAGTTATGACTGTTAAATAAAAGCACCAGAAGCTCCAGACATTAATATTAAAGAATAGTGATTAATTATGTTTTGATACAATGGTTCAATAGGAATAATACAAAGTAGAGCATCAGAAAGACATGAACAGTAATTCATTCAGCTTAAATACAAAAACAATGGTAATTAAAACTAATTATACATAAACTATGGTTCTATGAAATTGAAACAAAGTAAAGTAAAGCAAAGATGGGAGTTAGCTGTAATACATAATTATACAATCATGTACAATGGTTCAATGGGATTGATACTGAAATGACAAGATTAATCAATGTAAAATTTTGGAAGTGAATCACAGAGCTCTGTGTGGTGTTGTTGAAATTCATAGTTGGAAATGGCCTGATCAACCATGTTTCACTATGTGGATTATGGTTATTTGCGAACCTTTTTGCAATTATACATTGCATCGCTTTAACCATTGGAATTCAAAACCATTGACAGGCAATGGTTAGGAGTGAATTCCTGGTAAGTGGTTTCAGTATCTATCTCTTGGGTCTTTTGGAACTTTCCTTGGAAATGATAATTAGTATTATCAGCGGAAATGGTTATCTGAATTTGCTGTAATGCTGTGAACAATACACTTTATCAAACATAATAATAAGGATATCTTTGGAATCAAGTAAAAATTTTAAGAAATTAAAACTAACAATGAGTGAAAGCTTACATGAATTACTAGACATATAGATGTGTGACAGAGACATTGGAGAAATAATACAGATAAATGCATGATAAAAAGATGTTCAGTTACCCACATCTGACAACTACTACTTTCTTTAACTTAACATCCAAACAAAACTGTAAGAATGAAAAGAATTTTTCTACACTTTAAAGCCTGCAAGAATTCATTTAATAAGGAAATGATGCTGACATTGTATCCATGCTATTGACAACAAAGATGTTTCCACTAGTGGTGTCCTAACGTAAAAAAAATTGACAGAGCATCAACCATACAGAAGAAGAAAATAGGAAAAACAGACAGAAAACATTTAAAAAGTATTTTATTTCTTTTAAGAGGGGGAGAGTGTAAGGGACTGTGAATGTTTATCAACTTAATTACTTTTAGGACCTTGTAATGAATATATCAGTTGAAAACAGATAATGTTTATGACAATATGAACATCAAACTAGCATAATTTATTGACAAATGAGGTAATACTTTTCAGTCAATGCTTAAAACTTACCTGCCAGGATTTCTGAACTTTACCTGTCAGGATTCCTGAACTTGCCTCAGCCATTCATATTTGCTGATTTTATTTGTTTAGATAATTTTCTGGTAAAGGAAGGAATTAAGACCATGATATAGGACATTCTGAGGCTCTAGGACTATATAAGACACTTTAAGGAGGTTTATACTTCAAGAAATGATTTATTTACTTACTTTGTTTATCCTGGCATCAAAATGGCCGACAAGAGTTGTCTACCTTGATTCAAAACTTTAAAATGCATTTATTTTCATAAACATATACAAATACTTACCATTTTACATGTAAGAACAAAGAATGTAATCCTTATTTACCTAAGACTTAAGTTATTTCCAAATAATTAGCTGGCATTGCTGTATTTCATAATAATGTTGATGACCGGTATGACCTCTAAGTTTGTCAGGAGGGAAAATTCAAATTCCTGGCACTTGGAATCTTTTTATATCAATAGTTCATTTTTCTAAGCTATAACCATGATTGTTTTTGGTCCAGATCTTAAGTGCATCAAGTTAAGCATGTAATTCAAGTGTTTACTGCATATTTCGTTATTTGTTAACTTTGTTAATTTACATTTTCTAAATTATTCCTGTCAATATGGCTGCCATTTTAAGAAATTCCTGTCTTTCCTGCCAGACTGCCAGGGCAAATGGAATGTTATGATTGGTCAATTGTGACAGTCCTGGCTATTTCAGAGTCTATATAAGTAGCCATGACAGGCTGTGTTCAGTTTGCATTTTGGCTTTAAATCCTGACAGTCGCGAAAACTAGTGACAAGAGCATTTTGTATGTTTTCATGGAAACTTCTATTGTTGATCTAGCAAATTTAGTGCTCTTCAGAGTTGAATAAAGAAATTGTGAAATTAACTTTTTATCAATAAAAGTTGTTATTTGAACAGTTTTTGACTTAGCTTACAATATCCTTTAACCCAAGCTAAATATCATTGATCATAATTAGGGGAAATTTCTAAATCTATACAGACTCAGTAATGTGCCAATTGATCTTGCTCCATACTGGCAGCATGAAGCCAAAATTAAAGCAGGTAAAAAATTACATTTTAGTTTGATATTCTTAGAATTTGTTACTCATCTAGAGGCAAGTGACTTTATAGGCTTAACTTAACCAGTAATTCTTATAAGAAATCAAAAATTTTTAAAATATTTTTATAAAGGACACTGACCCAATTTGACATCCAGTGCGTATATTCTCACCAAACAATACTGGAATTCTAGCACTTGCATCAGCACATACACCACTTGCCGACGGTCTGACCACTGTCAAACCGAGGCTTGCCTCTGTGGCAATGAGAATCTCCTGGGTACAAAATGTTAAGGGAAATACTGCTCTTTCATTATCTTCAATGTTTTCTAAAGACCATACTATTTAAACCTGTGATAGAAGATGACTTTCTTGCATCTCAGACAGGATTATCTACCGTTTACACCGGTGCAAGAAAACTCTGTCTTACACCCCCCATGTAAGACAAGTCGCGTGCATTAAATAACGTCATTGACGCGCGCCATTTATGAATTAATCGCGTTCTTAGGATGACGTCATTTTTCCGTTATGAATGAAGTTGTACGTTCATACGCTACTATAAGAAAAAAGTGCGTAATGAGAATATCAGTTTTCTTAATTTCTGTTCCGAAAATATTTGACATGTAATATGCAAGAAAAAGAATTAAACACCGGCTGTTGGTACAGACATGAATATCTAGCTCTCGGGTAACTGTTCAGCGGAAACTCGGCAGAGCCTCGTTACCGCTGTAAACAGTTACCCTCGAGCTAGATATTCCGGTCTGTACCGGCAGCCGGTGTAAGATTCTTATAATTTTCTCTCCTGCCGTGTACCAACGCTTATATAAAATTTATAACCAATACACATTCAAAAGCATATCTAGAACAAATCTGGTATTTATATGCTAATTAGTGATATCTTTTGTCATCTGTCAAGGATATTTAAGAGAACATTCATTTAAAAACATCTTCACATTGAATAATCCATTATCAATTATATATACTTTTTTCGTTGGTTTTGTTTGGTTAGTGCGTGAAAGGATCCAAAGCCCCTAGTATACTTCACACCCACAACAATGCAGGGAATTTTTGTTTTGTTTGGTTTAACAGTGCACCAACACAATAAATGTCATATGGCGCTGAAACATGAAAGATGATTTTGGCCAACCTTGGGTCTTTCAAAGTTAAAGCAACAGCAGGGGTCAAAACCACCTCAACTGCTGCAGCTAAGAGATCATATACTCCAGTAATTCAAATCCATTTAGTCAACCCTAATGCCTCAACCCTTAAAGACAACCTCTCAGCCAAGCCACAAGGGGGCTAATCTGTAGAGGCCAATTATAAAAATATCATTTGGTTGTCAAACTTGTGTTTAAAAAGTGAAGAAAGGATATGATTCAACACCATCAGCAGACACTGTTACATTGAGCGTACCATACAACAATGGTTTTCCAATTAGATACCCTGGGTTTCCACTTCTTGCAAATGTGTCATTGCTGTCTGTCAACTGAAAAATAAACAAACAACAGTGCTTTTAAGCTTAACTTTTTCAAAGGACAAGAGTCATCAGTGATCACATGTTGCCTGATAATAGCCAGTTAAGCTGTTATATTGAGGGATGATTGACCAGTTTGTTCCCTATCGCAGGTACTTTGTAGCATGTTGTAGCTGTAGCAAGAGATACAAAATCATTGACTATAACTCAGTCAAAAATTATTTAACTGAAAAACTCATTTATTATAAGCAAGTACTTGAGGTATCGATCATTCCTGTAAAGTTCCACTCAAATTGCATAACAATTAAAAGGTAATAAGGAATGCTGATCAGCATGTAAAGTTGTGCACCTGGGGTTTTGATTGTTGATTTATTCAGTTTTGTCAGAGTTATTGCCCCTTGAAAAATTTGCAAATTTCAACTTGTGTCGCGAGTTGCCCAAAAAGTATTTGACCAAGAGTCATGAAACTTCACTGGAAAGTTGGTCAGTATGTGTAGAACTTTGTGCACTTTCCGGTTTGCTTGTGGACTGATTTTTGTAGAGTTATTGCCCTTGATACAATGAAAATTTGCAATTTTCAACTGTGTAAGCATAGCCCAAAAAGTATTTGATCTGAAATCTTGAAACTTTCCAGAAATGTTGGTCAGCATGTATAGGTGTGCACCTGGGGTTTTGCTTGTGGGCAGATTCTTTATTTGTAGCAATATTGCCCTCAACATAGTTAAAATTTGCATAGCTCATAAAGTATTTGACCTGGAGTCCTGAAAAATTGCAGGAATATTGGTCAGTATGTGTAGAACTTTGTGCTCCTAGGGTTTGCTTGTGGTTTTATTCACTATTTGTGTATTTGCCCTTGACTTAAAAGATTGTAAGAGATTTGCAATTTTAAACTTGTGTCATGCATAGCCCAAAAAATATTTGACCTAGAATCAGTAGGCTGACAAAACAGTGGAGTGTGGGGGCAACCGTGTCCTATGGACACATTTCTAGTTAATAAACAGATTCATTTATGATCTTGACCTTGAAACTCAATGTTAAATTTTTAATTTTCTTAAACTGTTATAATTTTGATTTCTGAACTTATCTCAATCAATTTGTGAATTCTCTTTTAGTTTCTCTATGAATATTCATCTGCATAATTCCTCAATTTAAACACTTATTGGATTGTTATGACTTCATCACATTTGCAAGGACTCTTTCACATTGCCCATGGCACCAGCACCTAGTTGATAGCTTGATCACATGTGAATAAATGTTAGTATTTTATTTCTAACCAAGCCCTTTGAACTTTTTTTGTTAAGCCAAAGGTGAGGTTGGCACAATGTTTTATGCACGATTAACTGGGTCAACATAAATTTTATGATAAAAAAATCACTCAAGATATGTCTTCTCATAAAAGAAAACAAACAAGTTGATATTTGGTAAAAGTTCTAGCAAATTCATTTTGAGTTATTTTGTATCGAAAAAGCATCCAAAATGATGAGAAAAATATTCTATTTGGCAAAGCATTCTTTGATATTTGAATAACAAGCATGTTCATTTAAATTTGATAATTTTAGAAAACAGTGTTTTGGTTACAGAAGTATTGAGGACTTTCATTTAAACAGATCACAAAGTAGGTCTTTAATAAAATTGCATTTTTGGGGATTTAAAACATATATTTGTGATATTACATGTATATGGAATCGAATCATCATTAAAGGACAAAATCCAAGGAGCTTTTGTGGGCTTGACCTCCTGTATATAAACTTGTATGTACATTTCAAATTGCAAATTGAATTTTTGCGGACATAAAACTTACTCATCTGGCAGAGACTACAGGATTATCAACACATCAAAATTGAAAAGTCATGTTAATATAGATTACTCACAGAATTATAGGAGATACTAAATCTCTGAGTAAGAGGCAAATTTGCTTGTTGAATGTTCCTGAACACAAACTGAACTTGTACTTCTGCAATACCATTTGATCCGTCTGTCGTGAAAAAATAACGAGCCTGAAAAGTGAATTATGTATATGCAAATTATAGGTTACAAGAAAAACAGCATTTACCAGGGTTGTTTGGAAGGTTTTGAGACATACACTATAACTTTTGTAACTTAATACAAACATTTAAACTGCTATTAAATTTAGTAACAACACTACAATTATAAGTTATAAAACAATGGATAAGAAATATATAAATGTACTCTAATTCTTCAATGGTGCCCACAATGATGTCAATGTCATTTTTTTTAACAATACCATGTGACGCTACCTGTGTGTCAAGTGCTGATCCACCAATTAATTATAATTCTTTTTGTATGACAAACTGTTTATATCAAACATGGTGCTGCTCACTTTTATTTTCTGTTACATTTGTATATAAAGTGATTCAGATTTAATAGCAGTAAACACTGCAATGTGCAATGGAAACAAGATTAGGAAAGTAAGGAGGGTGTTCTAGTAAATCGGGGATCACATTTCTAGGTGACTTGGACAAAATAGCCACCTTGTCCCTCTTCAATTTGAAAGTTTGCTTAGAAAAGCAAAAGCAAACATCAAAGTCTCCCTCAACTATCAAAATCATCCACATTCCGCCTTCTTCAAAATAGTTTGTAAAACCTATTTTAATTGTTTGGTAAAATTAGAAAACCGTTGGTAAGAAAATTTAAAGGGTGTTCTAGTCAACAGGTGACATCTCCGAGTGTTGTCAAATGCAGACTTAATTACCAATAGACAACAATTTAACAAATAAGCGGTGATTCATTCAGCTAGATCAAGCAATGGACATACTTAAATTCAAATCTCAAGTCTCATAAGAAAGTGTTCCTCTTCCATCAACCATATTTCAACTTAACCAAGGATTGTTATTCCGAGATACATTGCTAGAAAAGTTCACAATTCTTTTACATAAAAATCAGTAATTAGGTCACATTGGGTTGACATTTTTTACCCAAGCTGCATAATTTTAAAATATTAGTAGATGTCTGCCAGAAAGTATCAAAGCCATGGGCATTAAAATTTCACACAAAAAGACTAAAGTGTGTTTTACCATGTATGTCTATTTGAACTAGAGTGACCCCAAGACTGGACCTTTTCTGAGGTTCAGGGGCATGAGGTTGCTTTTGTAAAGGACCAAAAAGCATTATGCTAAATGTCAAAAAATCTAAAATCTGGGCATTAGAGTATTTTCTTTTGTAAGTGTACATCAACCCTTGGAGTAGGGACAGTTTTGAAAATATAAACTAAGTGATCCCCAGAGTGATCCAAGGGGCATGACTTGTATAACTTTTGTGGAGGACCACTTGGCACTGCTGCATGCCAAAAATTCAAGAAGAAGATGTCTTAAATGTATTTTCCTACATAAGTCTATATAAAATTTAGTGAACCCCAGGGCAGAACCATTTTTGACCCCTGGGGAATGATTAACTTTTGTAGAGGACTTTCTTCATTTATGACTATTGTCCTTACTGGTTAGCACAGGAACTAGACCAAGGGTGATCCAAGAAAGCTAAAAACTTAAATGAGGAAGCTTAAACTCATAGTATCAGGTCAACTGTAACATTTTTTTGAGATGCCATATGAACTGTATGTTACAGTTCTATAATAATCAGGAGGGAAAATTGTCCATTACTTCTACTTTGTTATTTAAATTATTTGTGCCTTTCCACATTTACAAAATTTACTAGATATATAAACAGGTCTAGAAATAAAAACAAGAGGGCCCTTATATTGATCACCTAATTATTAAGGCTTTTACATAATATTGTTAGCAATGGATGAAAAGCAGATAAAATGTCATAATCTTAAATTAATATCATGATGATCATATCTGAAATAGTGCAAATGTAAACAATATTTTTCATATTCCAGCTGTGACATCTTGTTTTTTTAAGGAAATTTTTTTTTAAAATTTGATGCTGAAGTGGGAAATAATTTTAATCACTTTGGTGCTTGATTTATGAACTGTGTCACATATGATGTGGTTGATGATATGGAACATATATTTAAAGTATGAAGTAGACACCTTAAGAAATAAACAAGTTAAAGTAAAAAATTAACATTTTTAAAGGAAATTCTAAGACTGAGAGGCACAATATTCTGTTAATATTGGTGCTAGAGTTATGAACCTTGTCATATATGATGTGGTTGATGATAAGGAACATATACTTGAAGTTTGAAGTAGATCCCTTATGAAATAAAGAAGTTATAGGAAAAACTGCTTCACTGTTATCAGAAATCTGCATGTGATTTGAGTAAGCTCTCCATATACTTGGTATGGTTGAGCTAAAAATAATCAAACTTTTTGCAAAAACTACAAACCTCTTGAACTACATTTTCACAAGTTGCAGCATTGAATGTTGGATCTGGTACATCTGTGAAGGTACAAGCCACGATAGAGTTGTCTGCCTGCACACATAAATGGGTCATGGTTGTCGCGTTTATTTCCACGATGTAGGGATTATTATACAAGGTCTGAACTTGACTGGGATCAACTGTTGCTGTAACCATAATAAAAATAGTTTTATGTAGCATTGTTTTGCTGTAAATATGACAAAAAAAACAAAGTTATGATGTAAATCATTAAATGCACTAAAAACAAAAGAGTTATACTGTAAAGATGATAAGAAACAAATAGTTATATTATGCTTTAAATACGGTAAGAGCAATAATTTTTAAGATAAAAAACTTCAGATTTTAGAGATTATACAAAACTAAAAAGAAATTCAACAATTAAATTAAATTAAAGTATCAGTAATTTTAGAGTTTCACCTCATTGAAAGAAAAATGTTTTTAACTTGTGAAACATGTATATGATTACAGAATTTTGAGTTGAATTGTAGACAAACCAGATCTCAAACCTCTAAGCATTCATAAGCATTTTAGCATAAGTGTAAAATATTAGGTACATAATTATACAACAATATTTACATTTTAAATCTTGACAAACCATTGGACATTTATTGGGAAAATTTCAAAATAATTAAGTGAATTCTATAAGGGTGACATTGTGTTATGTACAATATGTGAAAATACAAATAACGAATTACAACACCCTGCCATGTAGGGCCCAGTCACTTTAAACTATACATGTATTAAATTTACAATAAGTAACAACTGAAATGCAAACAATGCAGACCATGATCAGAAAGCACAGATGTGCCAACAGATCTTGCTTTGTATTGGTAACATGGGTAAATGTTGTTCACAACACCAAGCTATACATAATGTAAAGACAGATTTATTTATTAAGGTGATTCCGCATTGTCAGCCATGTTTGATTTTTAACTAGACCAAAGTGAAAGTAGACCACAAAGCTCACAGTGTACAATGAGTACCATTTGCAAAAATTGGCCTACTTGAACCTTTGGACTGTGAAAATCAAAAATGCCTGACAATCCAGAATCATCTTAAACAAAATATTAAAAAAATCATCTTTGTCAAAAGTCATCAAATAATTTGGTGAAGTTTGGTGTAAACATTGTTCACACAGGTCTTGAAAAGTGCTTGAAAACTATTTGTGTCTTGATAAGTGCTTACATTGAGGGTATCCTTGAAAAAGTTCTTAAAAAGGGCTTGATTTTGAAAAAAAAAACCTTGAAGACCTCTGATTCTTATACAAAGGACAGTCATCATCAATTGAAAAAGAAATTAAAAATATTTTTGTTTAAAGGAAAACTTTGTCAAAAAATTTCATTTACCCATATACAATTGTATGAATGTTTATTGAAATGAACATGGAATGTGTTCTACGTCAACAGTATTGATAGACATGTGTATTTTCAATGTCATCCCGGTTTACATTACAAGTTTTCCTTAGTATTAACAAATTAGTAAACTTTGGAGATTTTGGTTAAAAAAATCTAAGAATGAAAAAATATAAATTCTGAAATTTAAAAAATGCATAAAATAAAGGGATGATTGAAATGCCTATTGCTGACTACAGGCATGCAGATAATTGATATAGTAAGTGCATAAAGAAGCAATAAAAGATGTAACACCCACAATGTATATGATGCAGGATAATGATTGTGTTAAGGTGTCTGAAGTATACTATAATTTGAACATTTTTTGTAGAGATCCACTTAACAAATCTCATGCTATATATCTACATGTAAAATATTTTAGTTTTCAAGAAGGTTCTTGAAGTATTTACTACATAGGGAAAAGCCATGACCCCCTAGGACGAGGCCAATTTTAACCACACAGCTACAATTTAAACATTTGAACAATTTTTTTAGAGTTTCATTAGCCTATGCTTCACATAAAATATCTAAGCTCAAATCCTTGCACTTTCAGGAATGATTTTTAAAGATTTCATTTTCAAGATTAATTTTTAGCCCTTCTGACTCAAATGGAGCAGAAACATTTAAACAATTTTAATAGAGTTATGCTAGGAACACCCAAAGAAAATTTCAACCTTAGGTTTCTGAGAAGAAATCATTTGAAAGAAAGTTAACAACAGATGCAATGACACACTGACAGACGATGGACAAATTGTGATCACAAAGTTAACTTTGAGCATTTTGTGCTCAAACGAGCTCAAAACTGTGCAATGAAGAGTTATAGTTCTTTGACAATGCACTTCCTCACATTAGTCTCTACAACTGTATGAAGTGAGTATGATATATTGAAAGCTAAGAAAATATACCCTGGACAAGCATTTTTTAACATTTTTCAGTATCATAACAGAAGATAATTAAAATATCAAGAAAGGTAGAATTATGGATCTGTGACACTGAACTTTTTTTCACTGGTATTTATAAACTGTGTTTAGTTTTAATCAAATTCCTTCAATACTTCTCAAACTATTATCTGGACAAGCATAAGGAACGAATTCAAAACCCAATCAACAAATAATTATGATTCTTCGACACTGCACTACGTATTTCTAGTCTCTACAACAGAATGAAGTTTAAATGACATATTCATTTTCAATTAGATGGCCCCATATCCTTATTTGGTGGTGTGGACAGATAAAACGGTGACTATATGCTCTCCCTTTGGGCATGTTGGGGAGTATAAAAATGTGCTAGAAGAATTTTGCATGTAACTGAATTTCAAAATAACACATAACCAAGTGCTGTACAACAAGAAAAAAATGCCTTACCCTACCAACACTGCTTCATTTATACATCACTCTCTGATAGTTAAACTTTACAATATCTATTAGTAGTGTTTCATAATAGCCCTGTTCTCAACACTGATCAATGATAGTAATTGACTGTAAAATCTTATCAATCATTATATATTGAATGCTTTATTGTGTTATGGAATGTAAACATTACAGAGCTGTTTTCAATATTTCATCTTTTTTTAATAATAACTTTTAATTATGGAGTTAAACCATTATAAATATTCCTAAAATGGAAGCTGTTTTCAATATATCACTCATTGAATGCATTAACCATTGTAAATATTAATTAATAAGGAGGTTTTCAACAGTTCATAGATCTTTATTTCTCACTTGAATTAATTTCATGTGTAAATATTTATTATCAAGGAGCTGTATTTCAATCAATCATCAAATATTGACTATATTACAGCATAAAAATACTTGTAAATATTCACAATCAGTAACCTGTTTTACAAATGAGCATCAATAAAACATGTTTTAACTAAAACTGTATTTTTTACTTAAGCTTTATCAGATTAAAATTAAAGGGCCCCATGTCTATAGGCCTCTTTATCTCTACATGCATACACTTCACATTGTTTAAATATTTCTATTCAAAAATTTATTTATTTTGATAAGTTATTCCAAAGTCTTTTTAATATTTTACAGATTTTTAATTACTGTCGATCTTTCACTGAGGGTATGCAGCTTAAATGTAATTTCCAAATTTTCTTATGTCAAAGTATGAAAGCAATACATCCATTAGTAATGAATTTATTTTATATCTTATTTAAACAAAGTCATCTTACATGCCAATGTCGTTTATGTGTCAAGTCAAATTCCTTTTAATAAATGCAAGACGACTTCATGTCAATTTTATTTAAAAAGGTTGAGCAGATTTAAAGAAGAAATGCACATATATGTCCAGATATTCTCATACCAGTAAAACCCCTTAAAAACTCTGTTTTATAAAAAAAATCATGGTTCTCTTAATTTTAAGGCCAATGACCTTAAATGACCTACTTGGTTGAGCAGTGGTGGTTGGAGCAGGCGTTGTTGTGGAAGCTGTTGTCGCAGCAACAGTTGTACTGTTGTCGGTTGTATTACTTCCTGGTGAAGGTGGCAATGTGGTGGCAGGTGTCGTTAGGGGCGGAGCTTGTGTTGTCGTGGAGATACCAACGAATGTTCCATTCACTACATAACCAAACAAACCAGATGTCTGTAATTGTACATATAATTTCTTTTTAGATTTATCATAAATAGCAATACATGTACTTACAACAACTGCCACATTGACAGCTAGCTTGATTTTTCACTCAACCTAAATGAAGAATTTTTTAAGTTTTACAAAGGTTAATAATTCAGAAAAAAGCATGCTAGAGGTATAGGACAATGTCCTACCATTATGACATTAATCACATATGACTATGAGTAAAGTTTTATGTAAGAAACCTTGGTACAGTACTTGTCACAGCGTGAGAAAATGTGAAGCCTGACTGAGACTCAAACCAGAGCCTCAGAAGACTGTATCCTAGCTCTACCAACTGAGCTTTCTAGTAACTTACACATTCATATTCTTGATATAGATTGACCAAAATTATTCAAAATAAAACTTTGTTAAGTGTGTTTCTGGAAAAAAATACTGGCTGTCAAATTTGAAATTTGAAATTCCATGGGAGGAGCCAACTGATCATTACAGGTCATGAACCTTCAGTAGTAAACAGATGCACGTGGCAGTGTTTATTTCAGTGAGAGAGACTTGTAGCAGACGATATATATTTCAGGGAGGGAGATTTTCAGCAGACGACACATTCGAATGCTGAATACATGATAAGAAAAAACAATTACTTTTACTGATCTTACTTTATCAAAAAAAGTATTTATATCCAACAAATTTACAATAATCCATTAATCTATGATTTTTTTTTATTTCAAAGTACTAATTAAACTTGTATTTAAATGGTTTAAACTTCATGAAAACAGTAAAAGTAACTTCCAGGTATAGTTCATTTACACAATATATTTTGTTGTAAGTATCTTGTAGTCAAAATAACATTTCACAAATGTTTATCATTTGTATAAAATTTTTATATATTAATAGTTTAAAAAATTTTTAAATTCCTGTCAAGATCATTTTTAGCAGTTTTTCTTAAAAGAAATGTCCCATGTAAGGCACATCTTTTGGATTTGGATATAGTTGTATGGCTTGATGAAAAAAAACTGACTTCAAAAATAATATCTGGACAAGATGGCTTGATAATGTCTTTTAATTAATCTGATTAATCTGTGAGTTATATAAAACATCCATTAAACCTCTCCTGTGTAAAATCAGCTGTTTTGTTTATATTCTCTCTGTAGGTTAACACTGCATTCTATTTTTAGCTCATGGTTTATAACAGACAGTTTTACACCACTGATTAGTCACACCCACAAATACTCGCTGCCGCGGCAGCGAATGTTGCCCCTTTAAATTCCATACTAGAGCTATGGGCTTTATATAAGTTACAAGCAAATATCATTAGTGTTTGATTGCAAATTTTTTACAAATTTGCTCTTACACCAACGCAGAAGCTAGAGTGAGTAGGATAGCCCTACTATTCGTTGGATAGTCAAGCTGAAATTCACATAACAATAACAAAGTTACAAATATAGGGATTTATAAGCCAATAGATGTAGGCCACCATATACCCTCACTTCTTTAATGCTGAGCCTCAGGATACTATTTGTTTTCTAAAAAACAACCCTTCTTGACCCAAGTATATTCTCTAAAATGATTAAAAAACACACTTTACCTTAACCACTCTGAAGTTCTGGTAGTAAGAGCTAGCAGCAAGGCCTGCAGTGTTGGTACATGTGTTAGCATCTAAGGTCAAACTTCTTGTACATTCAGTCGTAACCTCATTCAGATAGCCTGTAAAAACACGCTTATCCATTAAAATTTCTGTCACTAATATATATGTATTGAAACATAATTAAACAAATTCCTAACTAAGGCTGTACATCTTTATAGACTTACTTATTTTCAATAGGCTAGGTGAAATGCTATTACCATTCAGATAATTTAATAACCTTAACATTTCAAACAATAAGTAATCAGATGTAATACTGACTTTTTTTTTTTTTTGCAAGACACAAAATCCTTAGAGGTAATTTAAATTGCAAGAAACTCAATCTTGGTCAGCAACCTAAAATGCTTGCCTAAAGATGCAATTTATCTTCAACTAACCATAAGTACCTCTCCAAGTTAACTTACCAACTGAATTCTGATCATTACACTGACTAGATACTGATGGTGCTGGAAGTACGAATGTTCCCTGAGCTTCATTTGGATAAACTATATAGACTGTGTCCCCTTTTCGATAAAAACTATTCAGGTCAAAGACTGGTTCCTGGACAGAAACAGGTTCCTGGCGACCTGGGTTTGCATATCGTTCCACGTAACTGTTGAATGATGGGATATCAAGGATAAAGTCTGGATCCAGATAGTAGTTTCTCTCCTTATCTGAATTTATTTATAAAAAAACAAATAAAATATTTTGATAATTTAACATCTACTTGTAATTACTTTTGTTGTTACAATAAAACACACCATTTTAGTACATGTAGTATTATGTATATACTATTGGATTAGAACCTGGTCTCCTTTTCATTAAGAAAGATCAAATGATCCTGACTTTATTTTCATTTCTTTATGAAACTAACATTCATCATGTTAAGCTAAAATGATATAATTTACATGTCATTTTTTCTAATGATATAGGAATATTCCTATCTTTATATGGCTTTGACCTACATGTCAGTTGTTATGTGGGTGGTTTTGTCTTATGTGATCTTTTATCCAAGTTTAAATCAAATCTGCAAAAAGTAATAAGGTTATGACAATCTAAGCAGATTTCAATAGTCAGACCTCATTGGTCAAATAAAGGTCAAGGAATTTTAATTATTCAACATAAAAGTTTTGTCATAAGGGTTATTTTGTCCAAGTATGAATCAAATCTGTAAGTAAATAACAATATTATGACAATTGAAGCCAATTCAATATTTGACACAGATGTTCATGGTCATATCTGAATAACTAAACATGTCAGTTTTGTTAAAACTGTTCTCTTGTCCAAGTATAAATCAAATTCAAAAATAAATAACAAATATTTCATGCTTTTCGGTGGTTTATAGAAATATATCAGAGATATAAAACTGGTAATTTCACTGTTTTAAACAGTGAAATTATCAATTTGATAAGTTCACTGTTTTGAATTTAAGCCCCTTACGTTGTTTCAGTGAAATACCAGCGTGCACAGTACTGGGAACCAACTTTATGACGTGACGTCGTAAATGATGTCACGTTGTATTATAATTTGGCGAGCTTTTCATTAAGAATTAGGTTTAATGTCTTTTAAAAACGTTTCTTTGCATATAATAAAAAGAAAATTTGTTTAGTATAGTATAAGATCGAAATATATTTTACCTTGTGAACACCAAAAGTTCAAATATACCTTTTGGTGCTCACTCGGTGAAATATATCCAGATCTTACACTGAATTAAACAAATATCCTCTATATGTATGGTCAAATGTAGCAAAATTCATTCGTTTGACCTTTAGTGTAGAGGTAAAATTTAGGTCAAGTTTAATTCAATCATCCCAAGGATTATTGTTCCCAAGTATAATAACAATCCATTCATTACTTTTTAGCTCTGGTGCCAATGGTGGACATTTCGTTCAGTAAAGTGGAACTTGCCTGCAATGTGCACAACTTAGATTGGTACTGATCATTCCAAAATCCTTTCGGCAGGTTGACCTGTGAAAGCTTGTCCTGTCTGGACATCATTTTTCTATTTTTAACTCTGATAGCCACTTTGTGCAGCAAAGCAAAACATGCAAGTGATATGCACAATGAGTTTGTACTGATCACTAGTGTGAATTTAAGTCAAAATCTGATCAAAGAAAAAGTACTGTTATCTATTGTTCCTGCAGCCACTTAAGTACCCAAATGTGTGGACAGACATATGGTTAAGTTTGATCTTCTCTAAAAATGGCTTTAAAGAAGTTGTGCTCAAGTATGAAGACAATTCATTTATAAATAAGTAAGTTATAGTCAAGTATAGCAAAATAGCAAAAAATCAGGCAATAATTTGACCTTTAAGGTCCAGGTAATTGATGTGTAAAGGAGATAATCAATTTATTCTACTTAAAGGTCTTGGCCAAATGATGCTGTGTCCAAGTATGAACACAATCTATTTATAAATAACAAAGTTATAGCAAAAAAATTTCAAATATTTGATCTGAAGGTCAAGGTTACTTAATTATGAGAGAAGGTCAAGTTCAGTCTGGTCAACTTGAAATTCTTGTTCAAAGGATTGTTGTGTCCTAGTATGAAGACAATTCATTTAGAAATAAAAAGATGTTGACCAACAAAGTTTTAGGACGGAAATGGCATCAACACCAGCAAACGCAAACAACAACATGACTGTAGCAATAACTCCATTTTTCTTCGAAAAAGTCAAGCTAAAAATGAGAAAACATGTACATAAAAAGGCTTTCAGTGAATCCAGCGCATGCTGAGTTTCCGCAACCATCTTTTTAAACTTATGTATACACGTGTTTTATTTATAAGGAAAAGAATGAAGCTGCAAATTTTCCTATAACATGTAGATCTAATTTCTTTTTTTAAACTGAATACAAAATTTTTGGCCATATTTTTTTCTATTTTAGTTACAGTGACCTTGACACCTAGGGGACGTAAAAGCAATCCTAAGTGAGGTCTTCACATTATTTAAAGCTTGCTATATATCAAGTTTTATTAAGATGAGTCAATCTGAACTTATTTTATTGACTAGGAACCATCTTGTTTGTCGCCTTTTCCTCTGCACATCTTACATCAATTTAATAACTAGGATTTTCAAAATTGAATAACATGATTAAAAAGTGAATAGACAACACAAGAGCGATCAGTAATCACATGTGTCGCCTCATGAAGGCAAATTTCATGTTGGGACAAATTTTGTGACAGACAGACAGACAGACGGACAGACAGTGCACAACTAGACTTGGTACTGATCATTCCTGTAAAGTTTGGATAAAATTGCACCAGTAGTTTATGAGTAGTAGTCCGGACAAGCTTTTGCGTATCTGGCAACACACAGAAAAAAACACCTTTTTATCAAAGGGCCATAACTCGGCCAAAAATCATTCAACCTGAAAACCCGTGCAATATGCGCAAGGACTTGAGCTACAGATCAATCAAGTAAAGTTTCATTGAAATTGCATGAGTGGTATAAGAGAAGTAGTCCGGACAAACTTTAAAATTAAAAATTATTAAAGGGCCATAACTGTGACAAAAATCATTGAACCGGAAAATGCTGACAATATGCACAACTAGACTTGGTACTGATCATTCCTGTAAAGTTTGGATGGAATTGCACCAGTAGTTTATGAGAATTAGTCCGGACAAGCTTTTGTGTATCTGGCAACACACAGAAAAAGAAACCTTTTTATCAAAGGGCCATAACTCGGCCAAAAATCATTCAACCGGAAAACCCGTGCAATATGCGCAAGGACTTGAGCTACAGATCAATCCTGTAAAGTTTCATTGAAATTGCATTAGTGGTATAAGAGAAGTAGTCCGGACAAACTTTAAAATTAAAAATTATTAAAGGGCCATAACTCTGACAAAAATCATTGAACCGGAAAATGCTGACAATATGCACAACTAGACTTGATACTGATCATTCCTGTAAAGTTTGGATGAAATTGCACCAGTAGTTTATGAGGAGTAGTCCGGACAAGTTTTGTGACGGACGCACGGACAGACAGACAGACAGACAGACAGACAGACGGACAGACAGACGACGGAGAAGTGATCCCTATATGTCGCCACTACTCCGTGAAGCGACACAAAAAGCAAGCAAAATAAGTCACTTTCTTGACAGAAAATTTCACAATCTACATAAACCTTTTCATGTTTTTTTCAAACAAATTAATTTGATATTAAGTGATGATAAGTGTTTTGAAACACTTGTAGCAAAAATGCATATTTATATGGTAAAATTTTCTTTTGCTAGTGTTTAATTACTTAACCTAAATAGATATTTAAAAAAAGCATTTCAAGTTTGATTGTTAAACAAGTCTATGTTTATATATAAACAATAAAGGAAATTAGCTGCATATTTGTCAGGGTAGAACATTGTCCATTATACACTAGGAACTAGATTTGGTGTGTATAAAGACCTTGATTTTCTCCCTCATTTAACAAACATAATGAACATTTTCAAATAAATATTGTATAACAATAAATTGAATAACAAACAAGAGGGCCATTATGGCCCTGAGGTTGCTCATCTGTATAGAGGCACCCGGAGCGGGCCAGTTTAAACCCCAGGGCTTTTATTTGAACAAACTTAGAAGACACCCATTAGAAGATGTTTCACAATGTTAAGTTTTTACTACACACATATAATGAAAAACAATGATCTACTCCCCCCCCCCCCCGTCAGGGCCAATTTTAATCCAGGGGCTTTTATTTGAACAAACTTGGTAGACACCAATAAGAAGATGTTTCATGCTAATCATCTAAGCTCTAGCTCATTGGGTTTTTTAAAAGAAGATTTTTTAAGTTTTTACTATACACATATAGTTAAAAACAATAACACCCCTGGGGCGGGGCAAGTTTTGACCCCAGGGCTTTTATTTGAACAAACTTTGTAGACACTCACTAGAAGATGTTTCATGCTTAATATCTAAACTCCAGCTATTTGGGTTTTTTCAAAAAAGATTTTTTAAGTTTTTGCTATACACATATAAGGAAAATCAATGACCCCCGGGGCAGGGCCAATTTTGACCCCAGGGCTTTTATTTGAACAAACTTGGTAGACACCCATAAGAAGATGTTTCATGCTATATATCTTAGCTCTAGCTCTTTGAGTTCTTTAAAAGAAGATTTTTTAACTTTTTACTATATGCATATAGGGAAAATCAATGACCCCCTGGGGCGGGGCCAATTTTGACCCTAGGGCTTTTATTTGAACAAACTTTGTAGACACACATTAGAACATGTTTCATGCTAAATATCTTAGCTCTAGCTCTTGGGTTCTTTAAAAGAAGAGTTTTTAAGTTTTTACTATATGCATATAGGGAAAATCAAAGACACCCTGGGGCGGGGCCAATTTTGACCCAAGGGCTTTTATTTGAACAAACTTTGTAGACACTCACTAGAAGATGTTTCATGCCAAATATCTTAGCTCTAGCTCTTTGAGTTCTTTAAAAGAAGATTTTTTAAGTTTTCACTATATGCATATAGGGAAAATCAATGACCCCCTGGGGCGGGGCCAATTTTGACCCTAGGGCTTTTATTTGAACAAACTTGGTAGACACTCACTAGAAGATGTTTCATGCTTAATATCTAAACTCTAGCTATCTGGGTTTTTTCAAATAAGATTTTTAAGTTTTTGTTATACACTGTCATATAAGGAAAATCAATGACCCCCGGGGCGGGGCCAATTTTGACCCCAGGGCTATTATTTGAACAAACTTTGTAGACACTCACTAGAAGATGTTTCATGCCAAATATCTAAGCTCTAGCTCTTTGGGTTTTTTCTTTTGGTTGCCATGGCAACCAGAGTTCTGCATGGAATGGAATTCTTTGAACAACTTTGTTAAGGCTTCACACAAGGAACATCCCTGTGAAGTTTCATTATGATCTGCCTTATGGTTTCTGACGAGATGTCGTTTTAAAAATGTGAACGGACAAGGTACGACGGACGACAGACGAAGAGTGATCCTAATAGCTCACCCTGAGCATATGCTCAGGTGAGCTAAAAATTAAGTTAATTCATCAAAATCAACATGTCTCAAAGAAAGCAACAAAAATAAACATGAATTTGAATGGTAACAAAGATTGTTATTCTTACTGTTTAATTTCTTATCCAAATAAGAATCAATATCTGTAAGAATGAGAATTGTCTTTAAAATTATCACTGTTTACCATAAAGCTTTCCAAAATCCACACTTATGGAACCAGATCCATTGATTTCTCCGGACATTTATATACTTAAATAAGATATTTGGTAACAGCTCATTATTATTCATTTACAAACATTTATGGAAAATCATGAAGAAGTCCTTTATCCCTTGAAATCCATTCAAAAATAACAAAGGTGTTGCCAATTATATCAAAAATTAAGCAAATTCAAACATTTGGCCTTGATTCAAGGTCATGCCAGGATTATTGGGTCTGATACAATTAGTTAATTGTTTTCAAAATAATCAGAATCAAGCTTTATTTACTTTAATACGCTTAGTTTATGTGATATATTTTTTTGCTCATTATGTAGATGTTGATTTATATGTCATTAATGTGACCCCATTAAATGGAAATAAACTCTTTTCTATTCTATTCTAGTCTTGAAGGTCTTGTCCAAAAGGTATCAAGACAATCCATTAAAAACAGGACCTGTCGGCATAGTTGAAACATACAAAAAGGGGGCATAATTCTACAAACATGCTTGTCAGAGAAAAAATCCTACTATTTAAAACAAAGTGTTTGAATTCTTAAGAAAAAACACAAATATTCGAAGTAAAAAACGGAAATAATTAAGCAAGAACGGCTTTCATAATTACCCCCTTAGAAATGCATTTCAAATTTAGTACATGTAATGAACAAGTTCTCCAAGTTTAAAGTGAGTATCTTTGATACTTTTTGAGAAATGAAAAATGCAAATCAATTTCAATTCAACAAGTTTTCTTACTTCAAAATAATTAATTTTGAAAGTTTTCTGAAAAATTAAGTGAAAAAAGAAGCATAACTTTGCAAAAATGAATTTTATGATTATCTGCTCTTCTGAAATGGTGATGTAAGTTTGAAATGAATTACTTTGATAGTTTCCGAGTAAATGGTATTCAACAAAAATGTTAACCATGGCTAAAATCTAAGTTGAAAATGGGGCATAACTTTGCATAAAATAATTTTAGGATTATCTGACCTTTAAAATGGTATCCTTTTATTACAATGAACATGTTTGCCAAGTTTTAAGTCAACAGCTTTAATACTTTTTGAGGAAATGGACCTTAACGTAAAGGTTAACAACATTTTGAACCATTGTAATTAAAGTCAGAAAGATTGAGACTTTGATATTACATTGTACTGACCTGCAGGTTTACCTTGCTCAAAGATGTTGGCCTAGATTAGTTATTATATTGTAAAAGTCAGATCTACTTACAGTTATCATAGAAGATACAGAATAAACCCCCATCTGTAGTAGTGTCTGCAGGTGAGTTGGAGAATGGGAAAACTTCTTCCTTGTAGCATACCTTATTGTCAATGCTATATAAAACAAAAACAAAACAATCAAATTTGGTAAAATTACAAGAAGTTTTCATAGAATAACTGTTATTAACATACATTATATTTCATTTCGTTTTAAGAATATCTTTCACCTCTTTTGGCCAGTTTTAGTTAGGCAAAACAGCCTGTACTTTGTGGTAATTAACACATAAGAGTCACTGATGTATGACGAGGATACTGTACTATTAAAGTTAAAAAAATAATCAAACTTGCCCCATGTTTTGATATAAAATACCTATAAGCTAAATATAAACAAGATCATTGAAAGTCTTCAAAAGTTATCCTGCAGAAACTGATAATGCTCTAATTTTTAATTTCTAAAGTCAAACATGTAATTGGAGGAAGAATATTGATATAAAGAATACTCCTAAACATTTTTTTCTTGTACATAAAACTCAAATTTCATATTTGATATTAATGGCCAAGGTCATTCAAAGGTCAAGGTCAAATTTTAATTAATCATCATGTCAGTTTTGTCATTAGTGTTCTTTTGTCCAAGATTGAATCAAATCCATAAATAAATAACAAAGTTAAGACAATTAAAGCAAACTTTAATGATTTGACATTGACATGAATAACAAAGTAACAGTCAATTATAGCAAAAAAACTGTGAAATTACAAATTTTGACCTTTAAGGTCAAGGTATTTATAAGTCAAGGTCAAATGAGGACAATCCATTCATATATAACAAATTGACCAAGGTAAAGGTCACTGATGAGTGAAGGTCATATACTCAATTTAGTCTACTTGAAGGTCTTGTCCTAAGGATTGTTTTGTCCAAGTATGCGGACAATCCATTCCTAAATAACAGAGTTAGTCAATTATAACAAAATTCAAGAAAAATTTGACCTTAAATGTCAAGGTCATTTATAAGTCAAGGTCAAGTTCAATCTGGTCAACTTGAAGGTCTTTTCCAAAGAAATATTGTTTCCAAGTATGCAGACAATCCATTAAGAAACAGATATTAAAATAATGGCCAACATTAAAGTATCTAAGGGGCAACAGCAACAACAAACTGACTGTAGCAATAGCTCGATTTTTTTTTTTTGAAAAGTGAAGCTAAAAAAACAATAACTGAGAACCTGACATTATTTACATACAAAAAGGATCTTGTGTCACAAGTGAAGGCTGATTTATCTGCCTGAGTGCAGTCCTCATCACAACAACAGTTCACATCACATTCATTACCAGTTAGATCACACAAACACTGTCCAATAACTGAAAGTATAACATGCTTTACTTACATAAACATAGTTCTTTATAATTATAAGTCTAGATCATATTTATACTTGACAGTTGATCATAGTTCTATTTTTGTCAACCTGTAATGGTGATAAAAGCTCTAAGGTGCCAGTCTGTGTAATGTTAACTTACTTAGACAACTTACCTAAGATCCCTGAAAAAAATCATATAAAACTAGAAATGTGTCCATAGGACACGAATGCCACCTGGTGATACTCCACTGTCTTTTCTACAGCAAGACAGTATGACAGAGGGACAGACAAAGGAAAATCTACATGATTTCCTTTAAAAGGGACCCCTAAGTGGTTGGGGCATAAAAACAACATCCAATGTTGACATCTGGACTTTTCCCAATATTAAGAATTTCACATCTCAATTTTACAAAGTATGCGCAGCAGTGCTTAAGACAAAGTCATCTACAAATTTTGAATTAATCCACAAGCAAACCCCCAGGTGCTCGACTACACATGATGACACACAAATCTGTACAATTTCATGACTCTATGTCAAATTCTTTAGGGCTATGTTTGACACAAGTTCAAAATTGCATATTTTAATTATGTCATGAACAATAACTCTACAAATACTGAATAAATCCACAAACAAAGTCCTAGGTGAACAACTTAACATGCTGATCAACATTTTTGTAGTTTCATGACTCAAGGTCAAATTGCAAATTTTAACTAGGTCAAGGACAATTACTCTAAAAATACTGAATAAATCCACAAGCAAACCTCCAGGTGCACAATTACACATGACTTTAGGTCATATTTTTTTGTGCTATGTGCGACACAAATTGAAAATGGCAATTTTTTATTAGGTCAAGTGCAAGCTATGACAATCAAAGCAAGTTGTTTTCCTGACAATTTTTGTGCTTGCATAAGTTGAAAAATTCAAATAGACAAGTTTGGAAAATTAGAATATTTTCTAACTATGCAAGTGTTATGGCTTTTTTAAGATACATGATTATATTAATATCAATCAAGAACACATGTGTACATAAAAAACATTAATTACCATATACAAATAACTTTTACAGAATGTAGAAGAGGCATACACATCACATGAAATTAAACAAATGGTGTGCCAGTGAAGCCATTTATAAAAGACCCACAGTGTAAGACATGTATAAATGGAAACTAAAAGTTACACATAGAATATAAAGTTTTATAACATGGCACATTCATGCATGGAACCATATATTTGTTTATGCAGGTAAAATGAATGATTAAATTTCTTTGATGTTACATTTTTAAAAAAATTACAGATGAAAATTGACACTACATTCCTCGCCTGAGCAAAAAGATTTGTGATCTCATGTTGTGTGTAAGCATTAATTGTTATTAATTAAGTTTTGAACTTCAAGAGAAGTTTAAAATGTTAGAATTTTAAATTAAAATTTTAATATCAATATTTGATTTCGCTTGCAGAGCTGCATAACTGGTACTGCAGGACGTACTGCAGCAATGTTTAGTACTGATACTGAATTACTCTTAAACAAGAGCGATCAGTGATCACATGTGTCGCCTCATGATGGCCAATTTCATGTTGGGACAAGTTTTGTGACAGACGGACAGACAGGCAGACAGTGCACAACTAGACTTGGTACTGATCATTCCTGTAAAGTTTGGATAAAATTGCACTGGTCAGTAGTTTATGAGGAGTAGTCCGACAAGCTTTTGTGTATCTGGCAACACACAGAATAAAACACCTTTTTATCAAAGGGCCATAACTCGGCCAAAAATCAACCTGAAAACCCGTGCAATATGCACAAGGACTTGAGCTACAGATCAATCCTCATCCTGTAAAGTTTCATTGAAATTGCATTAAATTTAGTGGTATAAGAGAAGTAGTCCGGCCAAACTTTAAAAATAAAAATTATTAAAGGGCCATAACTCTGACAAAAATCATTGAACAGGAAAATGCTGACAATATGCACAACTAGACTTGGTACTGATCATTCCTGTAAAGTTTGGATGAAATTGCACCAGTAGTTTATGAGGAGTAGTCCGGACAAGTTTTGTGACGGACGGGCAGAGGGACGGACAGACAGACGACGGAGAAGTGATCCCTATATGTCGCCACTTCTCCGTAGAGGCAACACACTAGGGGCCTCCGTGGCTGAGTGGTTAAAGTTGTTGACTTGAGATCACAGGTCCCTCACCACTGTAGGTTCGATCCTCACTCGGGTCGAAATCTTTCATGTGAGGAAGCCATCCAGCTGGCTTACGGAAGGTCGGTGGTTCTACCCAGGTGCCCGCTCGTGCCTGAAATAATGCCCGGAGGGGCACCTGGGGTCTTCCTCCACCAATAAAACTGGAAAAAAATTGACGAAAAATCTCGGCGGGACACTCTAAGATGACCCGACTTGAGTGTACGGTCGCCCATATGGGCTCTCCGGCGGCGACCTTAAATAAACGCATCAAAAAAAAAAAAGAGGCAACACAAAAATGTTGCTACTTCTGGTACTGATACTGCATTACTGTCTTAAAAGTGGTACTGCTAATGCATTACAAGGCAGTACTTTGGTTTTGATAAGAATAACATCAATTTTTCTCATTAAATAAAGCTGTAAATTCCATGTATTATTTTATTTTTGTGAAAGAGTAATTATCAAATATGTAGATAATTTGCTGCAATATTCCTTCAAATGTTAACATAGAAACATAAAAAATACCTCAGACAAAATGTCCAGTGTGGTTGGTTTTAATGATTTCGAGACATTTCGGCCCCAAGATGTATCGGCCCCAAACTACCCAAGACGTTTCGGCCCCGAACGTTTCGGCCCTTTACCAAATCGGCCCCAGAATAAGTACTGTATTTTAAACCGATATATAAATAGCATTTCAATAAATAAATGAATCAATTGATATATATATTTAATCATTTTGTATAAAAACTAGATTATAATAGTAGTAGGGTTCCAAAAGTAATCAATACAAACAGAACAGAACATTAACTTTATTTGAAAAAATATAATACACAAACAAACAATTATTTACAACATATATAGATAATATTTTATTTGAAAGATTAAGAAGCAAGACACAAAACAATACACGAGACAGACATTAAATTATCATCAACAACTATTTAACAGTGACGAGTTTGATGGAAACGAAAACAATAACAAATGAACTATCAGTGCAATATATTAATTTTTTGGAAATCCTTTCTAAATTAATATATTCAAAACTGACCTACCTGTATCGCATACCTATATCGGACATTTCATAATATTTACACTTAAAATCCGATTGTAAGTATTAGATCACAGTTAATATCCAGCAAATAATTTCTCTAATTTAATTTTATATATAATGCAATTATAATATCAGTGTTTCTGCCAGAGCGCGTTTTTGCGTCTTTGGCGCACTTTTTTCAGCCATGACGCAATGAAATTTAGTTAGTGCGTATTTTGTGACGCAAGAATTTCACCGTCGTTGATTTCAACACGAGTCGGATATACAGACTATAAACCGTCAATTCAGTATAAAAATGTACAGAATGTTTTCACTATGGGCTCCACTATAATTTTAATGAGAAATGAAATTTACCGAGTCCGTGGTCCGGCATTTAGCCAATTTCAACTAGTTAATAAACGCTTGCTTTTATACGATACTGCATATATTGAAAGCGCCCAGACAAAATTATTTACTTTGTTGTCGTCATATTCCGCGAACGAATGGAAAAAATGTCGTCTGCTCCAAAACAGCGGAGATTAACTAATTTTTTTACGCAAAACACACAAAATATTGTTGTCCATGACCAAAAAGAAGAATCAGATAAAAAAAATGTTGAAAATGACCCTAATCCCCCGAAAGAAAAAAAATCCATTACAAAAGTAAAAGTTGACCGTGAATTTCGTAAAGAATGGCTAACAAAATATCCATGGCTTTTGTATGAAAGTAACAAAATGACATGCAACATTTGCATCAGTGAGGGCAAAGACAATCCCTTTACAAGTGGTTGTACAAATTTTCGCCATTCCACACTTGTTAGACATTTATCATCGAATCAGCACAGAGCCGCTGTGGAGGCCACGTCTTTGCGGAGAAGTATGAGTAAACAGACTTCTAGCATCATTTCTAAGCACTATGAAGCAGCCACAGGGGTGATGAGATCTGTATACTGGCTTGCAAAAGAACAACTGCCAACATCTAAACATAAATCGCTGTTGCAGTTGCAAAAATTACAAGGGTGTAATTTTGTTGATGATTTACAGGTGAATAAATTGACAAAAAAAATTAAAATAACTAAAAATATAACACAAAAACAAGTATTTAACAATATTTTATTCACATATAGTTGAACTGCATGATGGTATGTATATAAATCAGAATCAACTTTACAATAGCATGCTAACTGTAGGGCCTCTATAGATAAATTAATATAGGCTACATCAGAAAGGATAACTAAATAGAAAGGATAACTAACTAGTTTTCTGTGCAAATAATATAACATGCAAAAATTAGAATGTAGAAATAAATACAATAATAAAATATATATTTAGAATTATAAAGAAAAAAAAACAACAATGAAATATAAAAAAATGTTTATTAGTTTTATTATAAATTTCATATTTACAATTTGACTTATGACTTTGAGTCACTGTAATTTAAAATTAAAAATGCAAAGTAATTATTCCTCTTGATCTTTTTAAGGTTGGTACAGCTACATACTGCTCAGATTCTGCTGCTGAAGAAATGCAAGATGCAATGGCCAGTGTTCTCCAAGATTCTTTAGATGACAAACTTTCTTCTAGCCCATTTGTTTCTAAAATGCTGGATGAAAGCTGTGATATTTCTGTCAAGAAGAAACTACTTCTCTATGCAAAATCAGTCAATGAAAACTTTGACATTGAAACACATTTTGTAGACAATGTACAAATTCCAGATGGAACTGCAGATATTATTTTCAAAAATGTTCAATCAATACTGGACAGGCATAATGTTAAGTTTAAAAATGTCTTGGCTGTAGGTTCTGATGGAGCTTCAGTCATGACTGGTTCTAAGAATGGTTTTGTAGCATTGGTAAAAAGAAAAGTTTCACCATATGTCATAGGAGTTCATTGCATGGCACACAGGCTTGCCCTGTGTACCAGCCAAGCAGCTGATAAGGTAGCATACCTAAAAGATTACCAGAAAATTTTGTCTGATATCTTTTATCATTTTAAGAGGTCTGCTCTGCGTAGGGAGAAGGTTAAAGAAATTCAAGTTTTACTTGAAGAGCCCCAGTTACAGTATAAAGAGCTTCACAGTGTGAGATGGTTCTCAATGTATGCTGCCTTAGAAGCAGTATATAGAACATGGGGTTCTCTTGCAACTTATTTTGAATCTGAAATGGAATCAAAAAATGATAGTGTAGCAAAGGGGTTCTTTAAAAAAATAACCACCTTTACATTTATTGCATGTACATACTTACTCATGGATATTATTCCAAAGGTAACACAACTCAGCATGTTCCTACAAAAGGATAATCTTGACCTTGCCATGATAAGACCCACTGTTGAAAGTGTTGTGCAACAACTTACATGGCTTAAAATAAATGATGGTACACACTTGTCTAATTTAATGTCAGTTGCATCACCTGAGAAACTAACTGAATTTAAGGGAGTCAGAGTCACTGACACACCAGTTTTTCGACAGCAATTTAAGAAAATACGTACACAGTTTTTGAACTGTTTGATTATAGAGATAGAAAGAAGGTTCCCAGCTGAGGCAACTGACATTATATCAAATATGGCAGTATTGTGTCCAAGGGGTCTCTCCTTGCTATCTTTAGAAGACAGAAAGGAGTATGGAGCTAGTCAGATGCAGACCTTGGTGTCCTATTATGGTACTTGTAATTCTGACACAGGGGTAGAACCTTTTATTGATGGCACTGAAGCTTTACTAGAGTGGGAAAAGTGTAAGGACCTTATTGTACAGCAAAGATATCCCTGTCACACTCTTCAGTCTATCTGGAAACTTCTGAGTGTTCAGCATCCTGGTGCTTTTCCCAATTTAGTAAAGCTTGCAATGGTAGCAGTCTTGGCCCCACTGCAGACTGCTACAGTTGAAAGGGGCTTTAGTGTTCAGAATAATATCAAAGGATCTGGAAGAAACAGGTTGTCTTCAGACAGACTTAATGTTTTGATGAGAATCAGTTTGGGTCCAAATATTGAAAACTTTGAGTTTGCTAAGGCAGTGAACAAATGGAAAGAATCCAAAGAAAGACGTCTGTTCTCTGGCAAGAAGTAAAGTGCCTTAGAAAATAAAACTTATAAAGTGTTACCTGTTGTTTTTTACATTTTTGTTCAATTTATTGGCATGACCCTTATGAATTTGAAATGACCCCTAAAATTTAATACAGGGGGTCATAAAAGACCCTCAGAAAATCAGAGCTGGCAGAAACACTGATTATTCCAACAATTTAATATACGCACAAACACTTTATTTTCGAATGTTATAACTTAACTTATCTATAGCAGGTACATAGCATTTTAATATAATTTGGTTTCAGTTTTTCAATCAGTTTTATTACATCTAGCATCTATCATTATCTAATAACAATAATAATTAAAAATATTATCATGAGATGATAGCAAACCGTTTTTTTTTTAACATATCAAGCAATATACTAAAGTAGGGCCGAAACGTCTCGCGGAAAAGGGCCGAAACGTCCAGGGGCCGATTTTTCGACAGGGGCCGATTTGGTTAGGGGCCGAAACGTCCTGTTTGCGTTTTAATAAACATATCTATTTATCGATAAGATCGATTGCGTGGTTAAAAAGGTTTTTGTACAAAAAATATTGTTTCAAATGTATTTTCCGAGATAAATGTTAAATATATGAGCACTTGTATCTTTGTACCTGTGTCACCAATGACAGTTCTTGGTTCATCTGGGGCAATGGTTGTTGTTGGGGGAATAGTTGTGGTAGTCGTTGGCTCAGTTGTTGTCGTTGGCGGGTCAGTTGTAACTGTGACATTAGGATCAAGCGTAGTAGTAGGTTGGGTTGCCGAGTGAACATAAGAAACACAATTTAATGATATTAAAAAACAAAGAAGACAAAAATAAAAAATCGGTTTGAACAAGCACCGACATAGTTTCATTTTCGCCGCCATGATGTACACAAATGTGGAATTGTGGGAATCTGAAAGGTATACAAACTGTCCCATTTTCGTTCACCGGTATTATTCCGGATAACAAATACAATAAATTGCACGGTTACCGTACGGGTTTAGTATTCTTTAAAAATTTATTTTTTATACCCGATTTTCTCTAAACTGTTAAGGTATCCTTACACTAATTTTTATAGACCTACTATATTAATAAATAATATTATTCCGAATAACAACTATAATCAAACTATGCGGTTACCATACAGGAATAGAATTGATCCCTTTTAGTTCTTATAAATTTCGAATTACCCCGTTTCCTCTAAACTGTTATTGTATTGATAGTACTTTAAAATATACACATTTTGACCAGTCAAATATTCATTTGATTTTTACGTAAATTAGGTCAATGTTGTAGCTTCCACAACTTAAGGACTTAGCACTTTCTAAAAGTCTACAACTCTGTGACTAAAGATCACCGGTTTATATTACAAGGATCGGACACTATTAAAATCGCGTCGCGCGCACATTAGATAAAGACGGAAAGAAAGAAAGATGGCGGAACGCGCAGAAAGCAAAATATGGCAGATTATCACAAGAGTATGTGGTGTTATTGCAGCTTTTTTGGAAAAAAAATACACATACGAATGCATTGATACAGTATTATTTTGTGTCGCTAAAGTATTAATATATGAAAATAGGCCAACAGAAAGCTGAAACGATCAGTTAAAATGTACCTAATTTAAAAAAATATTCGCCTATTGTTTAAGAATACTCTCTACACTTTGACCCCCTTTTACTTCAAACACAATCTATTACCGCGATTCAGATTAAAATAATTTTTTTACATGGTTTAAAGGGACTCCACTGAGTTTTTTGACATGATGGGACTCAAAATATTTTTTCCAGATAAATGTACCATTTGATGTAGCTTTAGACCACTAATCTTTGTGCAAAATTTCAGATCATTCGCGCACTTCGTTTTTTTCCAGAATTATTATTCAAATTTTAAAAAATTACCCAAAATAAAAAGCGTTTAAACGCTTTTCACTCAAATCGGGCTGAGGAAAGCATAAATATACGATTTTTAATTTATTTAAAAGTATATTTCTTAACTATCTTTGCATATATTTCTGTTAAAGGTGCCCTAGCTCATTTATGTAAGAAATTCAAATGTTATGTTTTTAGGCTTTTAAACCTCAATGGAGTCCCTTTATGGTTGCATTGTAAAAAATGTTTTTTGATTGCTTAAATACTTTTACAGAAATTCATGTTTAAAATTTGTCTTTATTTCTGTGAATTATTTCCAAATGATTTGTACATTTTTTTATTCGATTTCCTGAAAATTAGTATTAATATACATGTAGTAAATATTTTACTAATAAGTCTATCAAATATATTTTCAGATTTTCAAGACAAGCGTTCATATGTAGATGAATTCATTAGATTGGCAAGGAAGAAACTTTTATTTGCATACAGAACAGCTGTTTTATAATATTTTGTTTTTATTTTGAAACAGATATTTTTTCATAGTTATCCTTCACAATTCGTGTCAAATGATTTATTTGTCGTATGTTTATTTTCATTATTTTTCAAAGAAAGGACTATAAAAATTTAGTTGTATATTTTCAATTTCATTAATAAATGTTAATAAAGAAAATAAATTTATATTGTATTTAAATATATCCTCTTCAGAATCATTCCCTTGTTACACATACCACTGTAGTTAAAGACCACGCACATACAAAATATACATTCAAATTCTATTTGTTTTTGAAGATTGAGTGTTGCAATTATCACATGTATCCTGGTAATGAAAGTTTAGAAATAATTTTTTTCAATTATCACTTGTTACCTGGTAATTAACACTCCTTCAAAAGTAATTAAACTTCAAAGAAATTTAAGCGATGTGTAAAAAATAATCAACATTTACTTTTATTTCGCGTAATACTGACTCAAATTGTAAAGATTTTTATTGTTTTCTAGGGTTACATTAAATAATATCAGAAATATCTTTCTACAGGCATTCAAGTAAAAAGAATAATTAAAATATACGAGTGACATTAAAATGGCCGGAATCGAGACAATTACACGAGAGTACTTTACTGTTACGATGATTGTGTCTACTTCACTGCACCGACATTTGAAAACAGATTTTCAAAAAAATAATAATAAAGGATCTAAATGATGAATGAATTTTTAATATTTTATGAATATGTCAATATTGACAATTATCTCAGCAATATTTTGTACTAAAAATTGAACAAATTTACTTCACGCGTTGAGCGAATTGTAAAGCCCGTTATATTACCCGTAAAACAATAGTGCGTCAATAAATTAGACTAAATAACTCAATAAATCTTAAATATTTCATCTTTGATCATCTGTGAATAAGTTACATCGGCTTCTTTTTTATTTTGAAATTGAACTTACGATGTTACCCTAATAATAAATTTCAAGTACCTGCTTTTTATATAAAAAATGTCAATTTACCGCGGATTTCTTCAAGTTAATTTTTTTAATTGCCGTTGCGGAGAGATTACTAGTAGGTATTTGTATTAAACAAGTATTTTTCTTCAAAATAAACTTTAAATTTCCAAAATCGGATAATAAATGGAAAAGCTATACAGTATGGTATTTTGTAAAGTAGGTATCCGTTACGAACGGGCATTTACGTTAAGAGCCGGTAAATTATCGATCGATGTACCTTTATCGGGTGCGCGACAAGATATTTAAGCATTTATATAGGGTTAACAGGAGTGCCCGATCCCTGTAATATAAATCCGAGATTGCACGAAAAGATATTTAAGCATTTATATAGGGTTAACTGGGAGTGTCCGATCCCTGTAATATAAATCCGTGACCGAACTGAAAAAAAAGGAATAGCTGCATACGGCTGCGAAGACATTACTCTTTATCATCAAGCTTATTTCCACGAAATTTTGTTTACTTTTCAAGATCATTTGTGAAAATGATGACTTGACTACCGTTTTGAGCGAGATTTTGGCTTTCTGTCGGCTCTTATAAGTGCAACAATGCATATTATTCCGTATAATTTCGATTACCGAAATTAACTTTTCATTACCGAAATCAATTCGTAAAAACTAGCCTAGTTAAATTTCATTATTTGACGAAAATTATTGAAATTGACTTTCAGTAAAAAAAAAACCTAGTGTACTACCGATTCAATAGTGGTCTCAGTCCTTATAGGAAGAAAATACACAGTAGGCATATTAAACGAACACCATTTTCAAAATGGAGACCTCGGCCTCGGGCAGAAAAATTTTGACACATCATGACGAAATGAAAAAACATGTTTTACCCGATTCAGGTAGCAAATTCTGGGCTTAATTTAAAGTCACACCAAGATCCCGTCTTCAGACAATCATAATTGTCTAATAAGGAATTATTCAGGAATTAAAGTATGCAAAAATGTGAGTGATGGCTGCATCGGTTACCCCACCCGGCCACAGACACATGGATTAAACTAAAAGACATCACCCTATCTGCACCTGAATATTAAAAACTAAAACCAGTATTTTTACATTATTTACTGTGAAATCATTTGTATTCGTGGGCATGAAATTTCGTGGTTTTATCAAAACTGGCATTTTCGTGGGTTCTTAAATTCGAGCAATGGAAAGTATTCTTTCACTTAATCATGGGCTCTGTTTTGTTTACCTCGTGAATATAACACAGCTCTTGTGAATAAATTTAATCCTTGCCTCTGGGAGTAGCACAGTTACTGTCGATAATTGACAGCAATTAACAAGTTTGTGTGACATGATAATTTATTATGATGATATGCAGCTCCATTTGTAACACTGCCTGTAGTGGGGCTATACTGTATAATTCGCCAATGTAAACATCGTATAAATTAAACGACATCTGCCACTTTTTAACCAGCGAGTAAAAAAGTTTACACCCTGAATTGGTCCAAAACTACACACTACATCACATCGACTATGTCTAATTATGCATATAAATTAATATGAGTAAGTGGCTCAATACAGATATATATGTATGTGTGTATCTAGGAAGAAGACGGCGGCTTCTTTGATACTTTCGGAATAGCTGTCACACAAATACATATTGAAATTTTTTTAAATGGATAATATAAACACTAATCGTGTAAAGTTTTATCGGAGTTAATTAGTGCACTGGGTTCCCATATTTACTTGATTATGTCAATATGTGACATACTCTGGCTAACACAATCAAGTAGCCAACAACAATCAAGTAGTCCCCCTGATGTTTCGGAAGCACATAGTCGCCGCCTTGTCTGTCTGTCCGTCTGTCTGTCTGTCCGCACTCACAGGACAGTAATTATGTGGCTAGAGGGACAATAGGTAACTGCTCTTTCTCTGTGTTGTCATTCATTCTGTAATGCTTTTATGTGGCTATTTTCTTTTGTGTTGCTTAAAAGAACAATAGAGAGAACAATAGAGTAGCCACATAATTACTGTCCTGTGAGAATGTGCGTCAGTCCGCTTTTCTTGTCCGGGACATAACTTTGAAACAACAAGAGGTATCAACATGAAACTTTGTAGGTAGATAGATCTCATTGAGTAGGTGCACTGCAGTGCACAAGAACCGTAACTCTGCCTTTCCTAATTTTTGAATTATTGCCTTTTGTTTATTTTTTCACTTTGAACTCTGTCCGGGACATAACTCTAAAACTATAAGAGGTATCAACATGAAACTTTGTAGGTAGATAGATCTCAATGAGCAGGTGTGCAGTGCACAAGAACCGTAACTCTGCCTTGCCTAATATTTTAATAATTGCCCTTTGTTTATTTGTACACTTTGAACTTTGTCCAGGACATAACTCTAAAACTATAAAAGTTATCAACATGAAACTTTGCAGATAGATAGATCTCATTAAGTATGTTTGCAGTGCATAAGAACCATAACACTGACTTGCTTAATTTTGGAGTTATTGCCCTTTGTTCATTTTGAAACTTTGTCCGGGACATTACTCTAAAACTATTAGAGATATCAACATGAAACTTTGTAGGTAGATAGATCTCATTGGATAGAACTGCAATGCTAAAGAACCTAAACACAGCCTTGTCTAATTTTGGAGTTATTGCCCTTTGTTCATTTTTACTTTTTGAACTTTATCCGGGACATAACTTTGAACATCACAGAACTTTATAGATAGATAGATCTCATTGAATAAAATTGCAGTGCAAAAAAACATAACTCTGCCTTGCCTTATTTTGGAGTTTTTGCCCTTTGTTCATATTTTTATATTTTCCTGTGTCCAAAACCTTCTCGGGGGAGCATCAACCGGTTCAACTGGTTCTTGTTTGATGAGTGAGCATAATAAAAGTTTTTAAACATAATTTACTATGATTTTTGTACGGGAACTGCTTGCATGCCAGTATAGAAATTTATTTATATATTTTTTTATTTGATTTCATTTTAAATGTACACTTATAGTCTATAGCTGGACAAGCCAAAGCCCGGGTCCTGTGTTAATATTTAAAGGCAAAGTCCCAAAGCGAAGCTCTTTGAAAGATACATTTTAGTATAATTTATGACCTTATTTATTAACCCTTCTTTGAGCAGAGGCATGAAATACCCAAATATTGCCAAAATATAGCAATATTCATGTTTGTTTTTATAAAATATAGATTATAATGAGAAAATAAATTAATATTTAAAAATAATATGACTAAGCCGGCTATAATTTTCATTCATTCCGTTGAAATGGGCATTTGAGATTTTGTAAGTAACTTAACTTGAGACATTTCCTGATCTACGTTCATTAATGAATAAAGTTTCAATAAACATGCAATTTTAGATTAAGATGTGATTAAATTTGTTGTCTACATTTTAATTTTTAGAGAATATTTTTGTTGTAATTATATACAAGTGTCCACCAGCATTTTCTTTGTAATTTTAAATAGCTTTAATGGAGTACTATATTTCGGTATATTTCGGTTCAAAACACAGTGATAGGAAAATGTATATTTGGGTATATTTAGTTAAATCTTGGTGAAAGGATATATTGTATTCATAATTAAAACAGCATTTTGTTGTATAAAATATTTATTTTTAGCATATTTGGGCAATATTTAGGTATATTTGGGTATTCTGTGCTGCCCTCTTTGAGTGCCTTTGTCTGCCTGTTAGGGATTTTGTTGGGTGACAAAATTTTCTTATTTATTGAATTTCAAAACATCAGTTTTAACGCAAGTATGACTTTAACAAGTGATGTTTAAATTGTGATTGCAGCAACATATGTGGTAAATGAAGTCATTTTTTCTGGCCAAGTCAAAGACATGACTCGGGCATTATTGCCATTGTCTACCAGTTGACAACAGTGATTTTCCTACTTATATAACAGACTCCGAAAAAAGGCCTCTTCCCAGTTGAAATTTTCTTTAAAATCATGCAGTTTTCCCAAAAATCTTAACTTAAACCAGCGTTTTTACTTCCCAATTCAGCATTTTTAGCGTTAATTTTTCCCAAAATGAAGAGGCTAAGGCCTCTTCCCAATTAGGAGAGAAAAATCACTGGACAACAATGATCCTTGATGCTATGTATGTAGGTCACATGAGTGTTTGTAATTTATTGGCGTAAACTGGTTTAATGCAGATAATTCGTCTTGCCTACTGTATCTTAATTCCTTTGAAGCAGATCATTATGGTGGCATATTTCTGCCACCAGATAACCTGATACCTAACTAGTTAATTAAGAGGTTAACTAGTTACGTAACTAGTTAACCTGATAACTAACTAGTTAATTAAGAGGTTAACTAGTTACGTAACTAGTTAACCTGATAACTAACTAGTTAATTAAGAGGTTAACTAGTTACGTAACTAGTTAACCTCTTAATTAACTAGTTAGTTATATGGTTATCTGGTGGCAGAAATATGCCACCATAGATCATTGATTGACAAACAGTTAAGCTGAAGATCACAGATTTTAAATGGGGGCATTTGTGTTTAATGAACACATTATTTTTCATACTTTTTTTCCAGAGCTTATCTCAAAAAGTATTTGAGGTTATCAACTTGAAACTTCATAGGTGGATAGATCATATTGAGGAGGAGTGCAGTGCACAAGAATGATAACTCTACCCTGCATAATTTTTCAGTTATTGCCCTTTGTTATTTTTCAAACTTAATTTTTGTCCAGAGCATAACTCAAAAAGCCTCTGAGATATCAATATGAAACTTCATAGGTGGATAGATCTCACTCAGGAGGTGTGTAGTGCACAAGAATGATAACTCTACCCTTCATAATTTTTGAGTTATTGCCCTTTGTTATTTTTCATACTTAATTTTTCATGTGAGTGGAGCATAATTCAAAAAGTCTTTGAGATGTCAACATGAAACTTCATAGGTGGATAGATCTTATTGAGGAGGAATGCTGTGTGCAATAATGATAACTCTTCCCTTTATAATTTTTGAGTTATTGCCCTTTGTTATTTTTCATACTTTTTGTCCGGAGCTTGTCTCAAAAAGTGTTAGAGGTATCAACTTGAAACTTCATAGGTGGATAGATCTCATTGACAAGGAGTGCAGCACACAAGAATGATAGCCTACCCTGCATTATTTTTCAGTTATTTCCCTTTGTTATTTTCAGCCATCAGTATATACATAGGTTTTAATAGCTTATATCACTCCAGCCATAAGTTTTCATTACCAAAAGACCTCTTAAAATTGAATTATTCTGCTCTACTACATATATGTTCTGTCAATGAGCAAACACATTCGGTGAGGGATGGCCATGTTAACATGACTCTTGTTGTTATTGTTTTGTATGAGTATACTTATTGATGTTTTATAGGTTCTGATGAACAAGAGTTTACACAGTTGAAGACAAAAGAAACGTTTCATGCCAGTGCAGGGATACAAGATGATAGTGGGAGTACCAGATCATTGATATTGTTGGTTCTGATATTTTTAACAGCTGTAGCAATGCTCAGTCTGGTCTACCTCAACTTTCCTAAACTAACACAGTAAGTATTGTTTAAACATTATTTATCAAAGCTTGATTTATGAAAAAAAATATTGTAACTTGGTAATATAATGATTTGCCCCACTGGTGATATGCCCCATAACCACTTGTTCTTCTTTACAAATTTTAGTAACAATTCCTACTCTAGTTATGATTCACCCTACTATATTATACATTTTATTAACTCAATTTGTTTGAAATGTATAATATATATGTTTAAGGCACTGTTCAAAAAACCTAGGTATTAAACTGTAAAATCCAACCCAGTGGGTTTGATTGGTTAAACATGTATTTTACTGGGTTAACTTGTGAAATACTGGGTTAAAACCTTTACCTTTATGATTAGTCAGGAGAAGTGGAGGTGTTAAAATCTATCTTATTCATGGTTTCATGTATCGATTTGTCAATATAATCAGTTTAAAATAACAATTAAAAAACATCAAAATGTTGCTGCATTTTCTTTATACAGATTATCGGACAAATTTAATAAATTTCACACCTTTCAGTTAGTGACAACCATTATCATTCTTAATATCATAAACACATGGGTCAATAATGTGATCAAAACTCCTTGTGGCAGTTGACATGCCTAATTTTACAACTATCAAAAGTGTGTTCTGAATAACGGGGTCTAAATACAAAATGTACATGCAAAATTATAGATTGGTCAGGAGAAAGAAGTTGTATTATAGCAAGGTGGGAACTACTGTTGAAATAATACGAATTAAAAAACCGGTCGTAATAGTGGATTATAGTTTTTAAATGATTGTTTATTTTTCAAACTTAACTCAAATATTTAATTTTCTTTAAAAAATAATAGTTAATTGCACTGTATAAGAATTATCTTGTGTCAAAGAGATTAGGTATTCATCACTTTGTGGCAGCCCTAGTTCAAAGCGGGACTAATACACAAGTGACATGACACATATTAATTTAGCAGGTTAGGGTTTTGCACTGACTTTAAAGGCAATGAATATAATTTTCTTTTAAACAATCTGTGAATATTTGCTGGCATGTGAAGAGTATAGTTTAATTGTCAGTATGTAATTATTTTATTTCAGGGAAGAAAAACATCATATAAAGTTACCAAGGGATATAGAAGATGCCAAGAATCTCGGGAAAGTTTTGTCAAAATACACTGATAAATATTATTTCCAAGTTCTGTCAGGGTATTTTGTCACATATATATTGTATCCTTTACTTTGTAACAATTAAAATCGAAATAATAGAGTTACAACCATCAGACATGGATCATGGATTATTTAACAGAGGGGTTTGCAAAATTTCAACAAGGGATAATGCATATTCCAATGGAGGGGTGGTGTTAACTTGGTTACAAGTTTTCAGGAAGGGGTCATGAGTCAAAATAATTTTTTTCAAGTTTTTGCACGATTTTCGCAATAAAAAACATGTGTAAGTTGATCAATCTTGGAGCAATTCCTTATACTATCCTAATCTGAGTGGAGTCATGACTCCCTTAAACCACCTACTTCCCTCCCCCCTCTGGATCAGTACATGACCATGTTTTATCATAATGGTGGTGTCTATTTTCTAATATCTTCTTCCTTGCAATGTTAGCAGTAAAGCTTGATAAAATTAAAAATGGTTTGAAAACAAATAATCTGTCAAATCAAACTTTGTAAAACAACATTTCAAATTCTTGCAATTCTACTTTTAGTTGGTTATTTGTATAAGTGTCAGTCTGAATAGTAATGGTGTGTGAATAACATGGTATTGAACCCTACCCCTTACTGGCCATAAACCTGTCCGAAATTTGAGTTACAACACTATTTATACAAGACATTTACTTGTAACATGTGACTAATTTCTAATAATGACAATGAGAACCATGCTATGCCTTAAGTTTTACTTTTAACATTCTTTTTACAATTTGTTTAGATGTGATTTTCCTTAACTCTAGACAGTTTGCAATCATTTGCTATACCTGGGTCTATATTTCTGAGTATATTGTCAGGGTTTCTCTTCCCTTTCTTTCTAGCCTTGTTTATGGTGTGCTTCGTAAGTTTATTTACTTATTTCTTTATTTTAAAATAAGTTTAATCTGATAATGACATCACAAATCTGCTTACTTTAAGTTTAGAATTCAGCCTAGTTGTCAGTTTAGTGGTCAATTTAGTTGTGAAGTTGTTTAGATGTCAGCTTAGTTGTTTGCCTAGAAGTCAACTTATATGTTGGTCTAATAGTGATTTTAGATGTCAGGATAGTGAAGTCATCAAATTTGTGTATCTAGAAGTAAATTTAGCTTTAAGTCTAGTTTTTAGCTTAGTTGTTGGTCTAGTTTAAGTTAACTAAGTTGTAGATTTAGAAGTAATCTTGGTTGTTGGTCTTTCGTCTTTTGTCAGCTAAGTTCTGTCTATTGGTATATCTAGTAAAGTAACATACAGTATAAATTCTTTCTGCAAATTTTAAAGAATTACAACAAAGATGTGCATTACAATGTATATATGACACTCTTGGTCAACCAGTAATTGAACAATATTTAAGCTGAAGATAATTTCAATCCAACTTGTTTGTAGATGGGAACATACATAAATACATTATATTAAATTCTAACACGACCCGGATTTTTCCCTATTGAACATAGAAGAACAGAAAGTGTGTGTTATTATGCAACAGTTCGGAAACAAATCAGACGGAATTTTGCTTAACTATCATGTACCGCAACATTTATTTGTTAATGTCGTGTTAGAATCGAAATAATATATCCAAAGCAGTGATTTTATCGCTTGAAAACATCACTGTTTGTCGTTCGGATGCGCATCATCATATCACTCGGGCTACGCCCTCGTGATATAATTCCTCGCATCCGAACTCCAAACAGTGATGTTATTGAGCGATAAAATCACTGTTTGGGATATATTATTTCTTAAGTATATGACACCTTTGTAAGGCCAGCCATATGCCCGCTTAGATCAATAGAGAGAGGAACAAATCTGTATTATTGTTAACCTCGGGCGAGGCTAAATTTCTCAGTGACAATTGATCTTACACTTTGAGGACAATGCATGAGGAAAGTATTGAATCTCAGAGTATTGGGTATTTGAAATTGTTAATGAATGTTTGAAAATAGTTTCTGTGTTTGTATTTCAGTGTTCAGGAATTGGGGCAACCTTTTGTTATCTTCTATCATACTTGGTTGGTAGGCGACTTGTGATCAAATACATTCCTGAAAAAGTCTCGGACTGGCAATCTCATGTAAGTGATAATCTTAGCTGTTCATGTTATGATGAAGTCTGTTGACTGATATTTTTAAATTTTCATCTTGATATCCCTTAAATTGATCAGATTGAATAGAACTGTGCTGTTTTTATTATCATTCACTTTTGACATAGGTTTAACATTTACACAGGATTTGTGCAATTTTAACTTTGACAATTTTTAGATAAAATTTCCAGCTTTTTACTTCCCCACATTTTTTCCCTAAATCACAAGACTATTGTCTGTTCCCAATTAAGAGAGAAATGACCCTTATAATTGATCTAGCATTTCAAGGAATATAATTATTATATACTAAATTCTATTGTTTTTTTTTATTTATTTCAGGTGAATCATCATAGAGAGCATTTATTAAACTATATAATATTTCTGCGTATTACACCTTTTCTACCTAACTGGTTCATCAATATAGCATCACCTGTGATAAATGTACCTCTACTGCCATTCTTCATAGGAACTTTCCTTGGTAAGACATTTTTCATGCTTCTCAAAAAAATCCTGGATGCAGTCTCCACTCCTGTATTCTGTACTTCTGTAGCCCTTTTCCTAAAGTTTCTTTTAGCAACTTCATTTATTGACCAATATCTTTCATATTGATAGGTAGATTAATTTGATAGTCCCTTAACTTCGGTGGAGTTTTAGGTCACTGGGGTAAAATGACCCTTTCATGACTTAATTCTACTACAGTTGTAGTACATGATCATGAGATTTGGTTTCACAGGTGGCACACTTCTTTATAACATGCATAAACCATTTATTCAGCGAACTATTGACTATAAAAATATGACCCAAAAAGTTATTAAAACATTAAAATCGAGTATTGTTAATTTCTTTTCTTTAAATATTTATTATCTTTAACCGTTGAATAACATTTAAAAAAATATTATAAGCGAGGAGAAGCATCGACACAAGTCTGTTTTTTTGGCATCATGAATTCTGTCATACTGGACTTTAATCTATATTCTAGACAGATACGATCTGTACAAGTTGTTATTAACCAAGATATGTCTCAATTAAACATTTTAATAGAGAAATAAAATTGAATTGATCGTTTTTTATGTGTTTTTTTCCATATTCAATAGAGTCATGAGATAATAACAGGCATGGATCAACCGGGGGACTTAAGGGGCTGAAGCAAATGTGATGAAGATTTTTTTTTTCGTATATATATTCAGCTACTTTTTACTCTTTAATCTATATAAATACAGAAATGCAAGCGAATTTTAATTAAAAAGCATTTCTAACGTATCGCTGTCAGTGTTGTACCATTTAAACCAGATTTATTACGAGCACTATTTATGTTTGTTTCAGGTGTAGCACCACCATCATTTGTAGCAATACAAGCAGGAACAACTCTACATCAGCTCACATCTTCAGGAGATGCTGTGTCATACACATCAATGATTATACTTGCAGTATTTGCCCTAGTTTCACTTCTGCCTGTTCTCTTCAAAAAGAAATTAAAGGCAAAGTTTGATTGAATCATGTGGTCAGCTTTCAGGGGTTTCCTTTCAATCATGTGTTCTGCAAAACGGTTTTATTTTAATGTTGAATTTTGTGGATTTTTTTTACCCAACATTTGGGGACGCCAGATGTTCTGGAACAAATTCTTTTTATGTTGAAGGACGTTATGAGGCACACTTTTGTTTTTAATTTCCAAGTAAGATAATTTCATTTACGAAATTTTTTTGGCAATAAACTTCCATTGAATTGATTAAAAAAAGTATTTCTGCATATGAAGTATTCTGCATTTTGAAGTTAATGATCTAAACACATAAATTTTTTAATGTTTATTTTTAGTCCGTCTATGTGTTTTTCTTATTTTGAATTACATCAATGATGTAGTCTGTAGGGATTATAATACGTTAAACAAATCGTCTGTCGGTCGTGTAACTTGAAGTTTCTGCCTTTGTCCCAAAAATTTCATGAAATTGGACAACTTTGTGTTAAAAGTCATTATGAAATATTCATACTTTGTGTTAAAAGTCATTGTGAAACAATTATTGTGTTAAAAGAATTATTCTCTTTGTCCAGTCCATACCTTCTGTATACATGTACATGATGGGATGTCAAAATAAATTGTTACACTTGACTGCCATAAGAAGAAAATGAGGCAATATCCTCAGAATTATCTCCCCTTTGAACTTGGAACTTTCCAAAAAGAAAAGTTATTTTTAAAGGGAACTACTCCAAACATATGTTTCATATCATCAAATACATCAAATCCGACACATTTCATAACCAGAAACCCAATATTTGATAACCAGAGACCCAAAGTTTGCAGAAGATTATCCCCTCCCTCCCCCATAATGTTTTCTGTAGCATCCATCCTTCTGTCCGAACTTTTGTCATTTATGGATGGTTTAAAAATTGTTTTGTGTAAATGTGTATTACATTGGGGCAATGTGTCAAGGTCACACTAACTTAAATAATATATCTTATATACTTCTGGTGCACATTAGGAAAACTTGTCACATGCAAATACCGGGTCAAGAGTTTAAAAGGTGAAGTTTATACTTTAATATGGGAAAGCATTTGTTTATGTTTCTATATTCATGTAACGCTTTGATAGTAACCATGCCTTTGATGCAAGTCCCTCTACTGGGCCCTGCTTCGGGTGCATTTTGTTTCCAACTAAAGTTCTTGTTTACTATCAATCTTTATTCCTTAATATATCTCCTTCAAATATTTGTTCCGTATCATCGCCTACACAATATTTTACAAGATTCATAACTGTTAACACATTTTTATACTTTTTCCTTCCTTTAACTTATTTCTTTTCTAACAATTGTTACTTTTTTTTTACAAGAACCTTTTTAGCTCGACTTTTCTATGAAAAGGGGAGCTATCCTACTCGCCCCGGCGTCGGCGTCGGCGTCACACCTTGGTTAAGTTTTTCGTACCACCCCACTTTATTTCAGAAGTATTACAAGTATGGCTTTGAAACTTACCATACTTGTTCACCATCATAACCTCCATCTACAGACAAGAGTACATAACTCTGTCAAGGTTTTTGACAGAATTATGGCCCTTTTTTGACTTAGAAAGTGTATTGAGCTTGGTTAAGTTTTTTGTACCACCTCACTTTATTTCAAAACCATTGGAGGTATTGCTTTGAAACTGACCATACTTGTTTACCATCACGACCTTCATCAACAGACAAGAGGACATAACTCTGTCAAGGTTTTTGACAGAATTATGCCCCTTTTTGACTTAGAAAATACATTGAATATGGGTAAAATCCACTTATTGCCTTAACCCTTTGAGATATTGCTTTGAAACTTTTAATGCTATTTCACATCATTACCCCATCTGTACGCAAGAGAAGGTAACTCTGTCAAGGATTTGTTTTAAAAATTAAGGCCTTTTATCGACTTAGAATCTTGGTTAAGTTTTTAGTACCAGTCCACTTTTTGACTGAACTGTTTGAGATATTAATTTGAAAGTTGGAATACTTGTTTACAATCATGATTCCCAAACATGTCCAGGAGAAGGTAATTCTGTCAAAGATTTTATTTGAATTATGGCCCTTAACTGTCAATGTTTTGTATTATAGGCAAGCACTAAAAAACTTAAAAAATCTAAAAAAAATCATTCCTATCCACTTGTTCACTTTACCATAAATTATGTCATATAAACATTGCTGTAATATTCAAGGGTATCAAACAACTAGTTCACTTTAAAAATACAGAGATTCTTGTATTGCCTTTTACTGCAAAAACTTTTTTTATTGGCAAGCAATAAAAAAGTCGAGCGCGCTGTCTTACGGACAGCTCTTGTTTAATTCTGTAAGAATTTACTTCAAATTAAAGTTTATATCAACTCCCACATCACATTTATGATTTTAATGTCAATATGTAAAGAATTATCTCCTGAAACTGGATATTGTCCTTAATTTTCTGTAACTTCTTTATCTCTTTAAAAATTTAGTTTAAACTTTAAATATATGTTTGTTATCAACACCAATATGTAATAAAGTTAAGTCTAGTACCTATTTTTCCAGAATTATTTGCATTTTGAACTTGTAATTTATTTGATAATTGTTGTATATGTTTTATTAACGTTTCTTTTTTGTAAATGTAGAAAGTTTTAAAGGAAAGTTACCATTTTGAGCCATATTTACAAATGAATAGTTGGATTGTTAATGTTCTGATATTAGGAATAAATGTAACATGGAAATGATGCTCATCAAATACAATTTAAATCTGATTTTGCATTTTTCACTTATTGTCCTTTGTAAAAATAAAATCAATACTGCTTCGCTAGATTTTGATATATATTGGCATAAATGTGTATTTCATTTAATAAGGAAATAATAAACATAAAATTAAATTGAAGTTCATTTGTGTTTTATTGAGTAATGGCCCTTTATAAATTGAAACCAGCCATTTGGAAAGTAATAATTTCATTCAGAGCTAATGTATTAGTACAAGTGGAATACAGTAGTTACCTCCCTTTTTATAACATCTATGATTTGTTACACTAAAAACGTATGTGTAATTATATGTAACTGCAGTGTCTCAGAATTTAGTATCTTAATTCCATAATTTTTTGTTATGATCTTGATTGATTGATATGGAAATAAATCAGAATTTATATTTAAATTATACTTAATCTTATCAAATTATTTACAATGAATTTAATGATTTGAGTAATTTTTCACTTTAATCCTAAAATTGTTATTCCGTTTAGTAACATACTTAAAACGAAAAAGCAAATCATATTGAAAAATGTATTATTTTCTTCATTACTCAAACAAATTTACATTCAGGCGTATATTGTCCCACCTTTGTGGTGCTCTTGTTTGTAGATAGAGCCACAGTTATGAAATTTGAACTGCAGTTCAGATGCAGATTTGAACTTTGACATAGATTTAAAACATTTGATTTGTGTTCAATTGACTTGGATTTTGACCCAGTGACTAACATATGAATTTATAGCTTCAGTAACATTATTATTATACCCCCACAAACGAAGTTAAGGGGGGTATATAGGAGTAAGCTTGTAGGTCGGTCCACGTCATAGTTTTCGGACGATAACTAGAGTTTGGAATGAGGTATTGTAATTAAACTTGGTGTATAGAATTGTATTTGGACCCCCCTGGGGTCAAGGTAAAGGTCACCGTTACTAAAAATAGACAAATGGTTTCCGGACAGTAAATGGAGTTAGGAATCAAACTTGGTGTATAGCAAGCTTATATGAAGACCCCAGTAGGGATTGTAATTAATTGAAATAATTAGTACACAGTTGATTCTTCATTTACTACAGGTTGAGTTCAAATTTTTCTTCAGACCACTTCGAATTTTTCAAAAAGTCAAAGTTGCTGGTGGGGGTATTAATAACCTTCAGTAATAGGTATACTTATAATTAGCTACTGCTATGAATTTGAACTATACCCGCAGTTTCAGATGCAAATTTGAACTTTTATATCAATTCATGAATTGGCCTACTTCTTTACCCAGTTACATACTTTTGAGCTCACCTGAGCATTACATGTTTTTTACAGTGTTTCTCGAGTGAGCGATATAGAGGATTTTTGCGCTCTTGTTTCTTATAGTGGCAGCTTTTACGTTCAATGTGTTCACAATAAACAGATACACTGCACATGATGTACCTACAGAAAGGCAACAACAGTGTGGGTATTTACCATTGAAGTAATGCATTTATCCTGCTATGAAATTGGAACTGTTTATTCGTAGTAAAGGGACTTAAAATACATCAAAGCCTGGTCACTGCACAGATGTTCCAGCTGGCCAGGCTCTCCATGAGGGGCACATTCCAGTAAGTTAATTGTTAAAAGTTAAACCTTTGACCAAGGACTATAAGATAGGGATTTGCCAAAATTTTAAATTCATGCCATCTTGCACATGCATGAAGCCCAACCATATTCTACTGCTAAATTTTAGTATTTCCATATTAAAATATCTTTAACTAGAGGCACCCGTGGCCCAGTGGTTAATGTCGTTGACTTCAAACCACTTGCCCGCCTCTCACTGCGGTGAGTTCGGATCTCAACAGGGACTTCGGAATTTGTCATGTGATAAAACTATCCAGCCATCTTATAGAACATCGTTGGTTCTACTCGGGTACCCGTTAGTGCCTGGATGCACCAGTAAAGATAGAAAGTCGTCATATGACCTGTGCTGTCGTAAAACCCAACAAAAAATATCTTTAGCTATCAATGTAAGCAGTGTCAATTACATGTTAAAGCAAGATGACTAATAAATTCAGTGAGATAATGATTAATATGGTCAGTTGCACTTAGTTTTAATTTATCAATAAATTGTCAACTTTGCAAAAATGTATTAAATGAGTTTTATAGCTCGACTTTTTTAGGAATAGTAGGACTTTATTACTCACCAGGGCGCCGGCATTATCGTCGACTTAAATTTCTCCAAGATTTGAAGTACCGGAACGTCTTACAAATTGTCCTCTTCACAATCATCAATGGATCCTTGTCAGACATTGACATTGAAAACTCCGATAATGTCCCCGAATGACACAAGAACATCATTTCTTGCTCTTCAAATGTGCAACAACCTTTACAGAATTGTAGCCCTTTTTGAAATTTAAAAATTCTTTATTTAAACTTTGCATGTAACATCAATGTTAATATCATAATTGTAGGTCACTACCTAAGGTCAACAAATCAAGCAAGGA